TTTTCTTTTTGATCTTTTTTACTTATTTCCTTTTGGAATGAAACACATTGTACCAAATTCTTTTGTTTCAAATCATCCATAATACTTCAAAATTTGGATTGAAATTATTTACAATTATTTGCGAATTGAACCTCCATTCTTTATTTTTTGTTTTAAATCTTTAATATTATCATCAAACTGTTTTTTTGTTAAACTTATAGGTTGTTTAAAATTGGGTCACACACACACACATATATATATATACGGAGAGTTATCTGTTGAAATAACGAAATATTCTATAACTGAATGATTCGGATAAATTTATGAATTAATTTTAAAAAAAAAAAAAATTTGTGTGTAATTTAAAAAAAAATAAAATTTTTTTATTTTTTTTTTAAAAAAAAAAAAAAAAAAAAAAAAGTTTTTAATTTTCCCGCAATGGAAAAGGTTTAAATGAATAGCATTAATAATAATAACAATAAAAACAACAGCAGTAATAATAATAATAATAATAACAATGGGGACAATAGTAATAAATGCAGTAAAAAATTTGGATTAATATGGGAAAATAAAATTTTAAGAAATAAAATAATTTTTTTTCGTGATTTAAATAATGACTGGAGAAAAAAAAATATAAATTTTATACTAGAACAACAATTTCAAAAACAAGAATACTATAGTAATTGTAGCATAGAGCAACAGGAGCAACAATTCTACTATTCAATAGAATCAGCAGTCCAGTTTGTCAAAGAAACACCAAGTTGCAAAAATATAGTATTAAATTATATCTACAGTAAAGAAAAGTTAATTAAATTTATGAAATTATTGGGTACAAGTAATGGGTTGGGGGGCAGTACAGAAAATAGCTTTATAAATGCAATTGGGAATAGTATATATAGCATTTGGTTTAGAAATGATGCTATATCAATTCACATCAACGAGTTAGAACTGCCACTGTCAGTTAGGGAGTTAAACCTTGAGGGATTGGAAATTAGGACACTAGATTTATCACCAAGTTCAATATTTACAAAATTATTTGGTAGTAGTAATAGATTAGTAGAGATATTTAGTAGCCCATTTTATAATATTGTATCATTGGATTTGGGTCAATTTAATGAGCCTCTGTTATCCGGTAAACACTTATCAAATGCTGTGTTTTTACAATATTTGGCTCTCAATTGTCAATTTAAATGTCCAATTTCAAAAGGAATGTTACCAGGGCAAAATTTAAAAGTCTTATCAATCCAAAGCAATTATAGATTTACAACCATTTATTTGCCAAAGTCTCTTAAAGAGTTGGAGTTTAAAGGAAGGAGCTATAATCAAATTATGTTCGAACCAGATATTTTAGATTGCATCCCAAAGTCTGTCGAGTCAATCAGAATGATATATTGCTTATCTTATTATCAGTTCTTTTTCAAAAAAAATCTTGTAAATTCATTAAAGAAAATAACCATAAACAACCCAACTATAAAAGAAAAAAATAGTTTGCGAACATTGTTAATACATTTCGACTGTAATATTAGCTCATCGATAGATATTAAAAAAAGAAGACCCCCAACACTTACTACACTAGCTATGACATGTACAGCAGGCCCACTCCAAGTCATTAGTATCAGTTTATTGCCACCATCTTTAACAGTTTTAAAACTTCCCTACAATTTATTATTATCAACAGATTCAGCAAGCGGTACAAAAGGTTTCCCAGGATCCATTACAGATTTTGAAGGTACACTCTCGCATTTATCAAGTAATTTTGAAAAGCCACAAAATATCGAATCGTTATCTATAATAATAACAAAAGTTTACACCAGAAATAATAATGATAGATTAAATTTATATGAGGAAGAAGATACTAATGAAAATCAATATATTAATATATACGAAAACAATCAACTATTTCATAGATTTACAAATTTAAAATCACTCATACTCAAAATTGAAGAAACTAATTTAATTTCAGAAATACCTACCCCAATCGAAAATTTAGAAATTGGAAAATTTGGGTCAAATAGATTAATAAAAACAACCAGTGAACTTAACAACTCATCTTTTCAGAAATTATTTGATTTTAATTTAAAACATTTATCAAATTTAAAATCATTAAAATTAGATGACTATTTTTCACAATTATTTTTAGACTCTATTAATAGCATACCGTCACAGTTGTCATCATGCACACAAGAAGCATCGTCACCTTTTCCAGCATCATTACTGTTATTAGAAATTAACTTTAATTTAGCAAGCTCTAGAGACCTAGGTTGGTTTTTTACATCAGATATTTTATCTTCAATCCAAGTTATAATCATCAAAGGTAAACATAATCCAGAAATTAGATCACTGCCAAAATCAATCGAGTATTTATTTATTCAAGATATAAACCCAATATTAAATGATAGAGTGTTTATGAAGAAATACTCTTCAATAGTTAGGGATTTTAATATAGTGGATCAACATTTACTATACAATAAATTAAAAGAACAAATAAACAATTATTTTAATTAATATGATATATTTTATTTTATTTATATTTTTATTTTTTAATTTTTTTTATAAAATAAATGTAATAATACAGAGTATTTCGCTTTTTAATATTTAAATAAATTTACAAAATTTACAATAATAAAGCAAATATTGATTAATTTAATTTCTTGGTTCTAAAACTAAATTAAATTCAGTTGGTTTTAAAGTTAAACCATAATCTATTGTTTAATGAAAAAAATACAATTATTAGTGTTGGTTTTAAATTGGCAATTTTTTAATATTTATAATTTACACTTACTCTCATCATAATTTATTTTATTACCATCTACTGAGGAAATTTTATAATTTAAAATTAAATTTGTAATAAATAAGTAATATTCATCTATGGCTAAATGCAATCCTAAACAAGCTCTAGGACCTAAACCAAATGTATAATATTCTTCATTTGAGATATGGGCAGTGGAGTTTAAAAATCTATTTGGGTCATATTGTTCACAGTTTTTATATATATCTTCATTGTAACTAAGTGAGAAAAAGTTTACAATTATTTGTGCACCTTTAGGAACAAAATAACTATCACCAACATAACAGTTTTCTTTTGCTACTCTTGGGATACCAAAAGGACCTGATGGCTATGAAGTTTTTTTAATATACGTTAGTTTTTTTTAGTTTTTTAAAAATAAATCTAATAATACTTACATGAGTTCTAAAGTTTTCTTTGATCATTGCATTGGTATAAAGTGTTTTGGATTTATCAGTTAAATAAACTCTATTACGATTTGGTCCAACTACAGATCTTAATTCATCATATACTTTTTCTTGTACCTCTGGGTTATTTACAAGGATCATAGTAGCTAATTCAATGGCAAGGGCAGTGGTTTCAATACCTGCTAATAAAACATCAAAAATAATTTGAATAACAATATCTATTTTTTTTTCATCACTTCCAAATTCTTCGATTAAATAATCAATTAAATCCCTATGTCTAATGAAGTGATTAAAATATTAGTTATTTATTATAATATACTATATAAATAAAGAGTATACTTACTTTTTAGAATTAAAGTTTGATAAATGTTCATGGTATCTTTTCTTGACTTGTTCCTTTACATTATAAAAGTGTTTATCTGTATACTTTGAATAGTAATAAAAGAATGGTTTAAATAAGTTGATATAATCTCCTAATTTTCCAGTACCCAATTCTTTGAATATTTTATCTATGGGTTTTGCAATATTATTGATGTTTGACATTTCATTGTCATCAAGGTTTAATTCTTCACTGAATACATATTTAAACATTGTCGAAATTGAATATTTTTGTGTGAATGTTCTAATGGGGAATTGTTTTTTATTTTTATAATCTTTATTAATAATATTTAATAATTGATTGACTTGTAATTCTAAGAAATTATATACACCAAGTTCATTCAAATTAATTCTTCTTAATGCTTTTGAAACTACAATTTTATTCTTTTTCCAATATTCACCATTACCTGATGAAATTCCACTAAAATTTGAGGAGTGCAATTCAAAAGTCTATAATAAAAAAAGTTCATTAGTGATTATTTAGAAAACAGTACTGGAGTTTTAAATACTTACTGTAGTGGCTGATCTATCTGAAAAGTTATCAAATTTATCAATATAAATTTCTTTGGCAATGTCTAAAGAACAAACAACAACTGTATAGGTATCCCCGAAATATAAACGGAATATTGGTCCATAGATCTTTTGTAAACTCATAAAGGTTCTATGAGGAAGCTTTCCTAATTGATGAAGATTGCCCAAGAAGGGAATTGGAATAGGACCTGATAACTGATTTGGATGTATTGATCTAAACTTTACATACTTTAAATAAATTATAGATATTAGAATATTTATAGTTTTATAAAACAAATAAAAACAAATAAAAACTTTTTGCAATAGGCAAACGAAAAGTGAAAAAGTCAATCAGACTTTTCTCTTTTATTAAAGTGTAAAAAACCTTTTAAAATATTTACGGATGAGTGTATTAAATAGACTATTATTAAAAGTAAGAAAAAATTTAGTATATCCATATTGATTTTAAAAAATATATATATATATATATATATATAAAACTATAACGCTTCAGTAAAAAATAATTATATTTTAAATCTTTTGTTTTTTTAAAAAGTGTTGTTTGGAAAATAAAAATATATATTATAAAATAATAAAATAAAATTTTAAATTCAGTCGATTTATTTTTTTTTTTTTTATTATTTTTTTTTTTTTTATTTTATTTTTTTAAAAAATTTCTTGTTATTTTATAATTAAAAATACTCCACATACACACACTTCTTACACTCAACATATTAATCAATACTTTTATATATAATTTCTCAAATAGTTAAAAAATGTAATAAACATCTTTAGAATGGGTACTTATATATATTAATAAAATATATTTTGTACATTTAATAAAAAATGTTGACACACATATAAAAATATCCAAAAATAAATTACATCATCTGTAAGTACACACTCTACCACCATTTTTCTTTATAACACACACTCACTATTTTTAAACATATCCCCAAATAAACCCACACTTTCACACAAACACGCTCACGCTCCATCACACAAACCATAATAGTTAAACCTTTTTTCTTAACGAAATTTTTTTTTTTTTTTTTTTTTCTATTTTTTTTTTTTTTTTTTTTATTTTATTTTTATTTTTATTTTATTTTATTATAAAAAAATAAACTATTAATAAAGGATAATGATTATTGTATGATTTAGGATTAATTATTTTTATTTATAGTTCTTTTTATAAAAATTATTGATGATGGATAAAAATAACAATAATAATAATAAAAATTATTATAATAGAATGTATGTGGGTGTGTTTTTGTGTTAATGTGGGTGATAGAGGTGGTGGTGGTGGCGGTGTGTGGGTGAATTGATTAATTAATATTTTTAAAATTAGTGCCAATGTTGTGGAGTTGGTGGCGTTGTTGGAGTTTTTGTAAATATTTTTTTTACCTGCTTATAATAAATTGATTTTTAATTTTTATTTTATACCATTTTTATATTATAAAATTAATATGAGTGATTGTAAGAACAAGGGTGTTACAATTAGATTTAATTTGTTTTAATTTTTTCAATCTTAATTTTTACTTTAAGATATTTTAATATATACAAAAAAAAAAAATAAAAAAAAAATAAAAAAATATAGTTTTTAATCATTTTAGGGAATTGTTTTTTTATTTTTTTTTTGTGAAAAGTATAGAATACATTTAATAATTCCAAGAAGAAAAAAAAATAGCAACAAAATTATAACTAATCTTGATTAAACAACAATAAAAAAAAATTAAATATTCAATGATTATTTTAGTTTTAAATTTTTTTTTTTTATTGTTATTTTTGTTTGAAAAATATTATAATCAATACACTATTAGAGGTGAGGGAATTTTTTAAGAACTTAATTTAAATGGATCTTGACTTGATTAACAATAATTTTTAGATAAAAATTAATTTGAAAGAAAAGGAAAAAAATGTAGATTTAATTTATGAAAATATTCATTAATCAATTTAAAATCTATCAAAATTTTTTTGGAGTTATTCTCAGTAAAATTTTATTAAAATTAATGTTTTTTAAATATAATAAATAATTGGGTATTCCAATGTAGAAATTATTTTTTATATTTTATTTTTATTTTTTTTAAATTATTTTTTATTAAACATACAATTGTTTTTTTAAACTATATAATATATAATTTATATCATGTAAATTTTAATTTAATAAAAATAAAAAACCTAATAAGTTAAAAATTTAAAAACTTTTTTATTAATAAAAATTATTATAATATTAAAAAGTTATAAATATATAATATATATTATTTAATTAGTTTATACTAACCCTTTCATGACAGTTGACATATTGTAATTTCAAAAAATTGGTTATTTTATTTTTTTTTAGGTTAAAAATATTTTAATATCTTTTACTTTTAACCTCAATCCTTTTATTATTTTTTAATTTAAAATTTAAAATATTTTTTGTAATTATTTATTATATTAATCTTCTAATACTTAAATTTACTCAAATTTCATTTAATCATATCTTGGTAGGAATTAAAATATTAATATCTTTAGTGAAAAAAAAAAAATCATATATTTTACAAACCCCATCTCCCCCCACTTTTTATTAATTTTAAAAATAAATAATAGGTTGAAATTATACTATCGATCATAATAGGATTGTAAATAAAATTGTTTTTATTAATTAAATAAAATAAATAAAATAAATAAAAAAAATATTTTTAATTCAAACATTTTATTTATTATTTTAATTTTTTATTTTTTTTATAAAAGTTTTTTATTTTTAAATTTGTTATTATTATTATAATTATTTTTTTATTTATTTTATTTTATTTACTTATATTAAAAAAAAATTTTTTTTAGAATGCAATCAAAATATAATGAATTCTCAAAAATACAATTAGAAACAATTAAAAACAATTCAAAATTAATTGAAAAATCAATTTGTATTATGATAGAAAATATAAAAAATGGTAAATTTCTAATTAAAAACAATAATGATAGCCCTGTTAGAATACTGGATATTGGCTCTTCTCATGGTAGAAACTCAATAACTCCTTTAAATATTATTATATCAAATATTTTAAAGCAAAATCCTAAACAATGCTTTGAAGTGTACCACGAAGATTTACCATCTAATGATTTCAGTAGATTATTTAATGAAATTAGTCAAAATTCCCAAAGTTATTTAAAACTATCCAATCAGATTTATTATTATGGTATAGGAAAAACATTTTATAATCAAGTGGTACCATCGAATTCCATTGATTATATATTTTCATTTTCAGCCTCTCATTGGTCCTCATATAATGAAGAGTTTTATAAAAACCCAGATTCACTATTAATGATCTATCGAGAAAGAACTCCAGAATACACAAAACACTGCTTAGAATGTCTTTTCAATAATTTTTCAAGTAGAGCTAAAGAATTAAAAAATGGTGGTATTTTCATTATTACTATTATGAATGAAAATGAAGACCTATCACCAGAAGAAAACACTGTTTACCAATATTTCAAATTAATGAAGGATGTTTGGTATCTAATGGTTAAAGATAATTTGGTTCCTAAAGAAGTGGTAGAAAAAATGATGTTACCTATCAATTTTTATAAAAAATCAGAGATCTATCAGGTCATTGATATGGTAGAAAAGCAAGAAGGTTTAAAATTGGTATCAATAGATCAAAATGTACAAACTTTCCACAATGTAGAGCTTAGCGATCTAGATAAAGCAGAGCTACTATTTAAATATATCAATGTTGCAAGTGAACCTACAATAAAATCATTTTTACCAGGCGACCAAAGAAAAAAAGATTTACTATATAAAGTTTTTAAAATTAAGTTTTTAACTTACCTAAAAACAAATAAAATAATTCCGATCAATAATCTTTACAGCTACTATTCAATAATTTTTGAAAAAGATTGTTAATAAAATGAAGATAATAAATATAACCTTTTTTTTTTTCTTAAATAAATAAATTACCAAAAAAAAAATGATAATAAATTTTAGTTTATTTAAACTTTTATTATTTATTAAAAAATAAATAACTTATTTATATTTTAATTGTTGCTTAAATTTAACGCGGGGAATTTTTTTTTATATATTAATTTGTAGATAATTGTCTTTTAACTAAATTGTGATAAATACCATCTGGATTTGATAATAGCTCTTGATGTGTACCAGATTCTTTAATTTCACCTTTATCTATAACAACAATGACATCTGAATTAATAACTGTTGATAAACGATGAGCGATTACTACTACTGTTCTATTAAACATTAACCTATCGATAGCCTCTTGAACTAATTTTTCTGAAACTGCATCCAAAGCACTAGTACTTTCATCTAATAACAATACCTTTGGATCTAGAATTAATGCTCTTGCAATTGCAATACGTTGTTTTTGACCACCAGACAATGATATACCTCTTTCATTAAGCAAGGTATCATAACCATGTTCAAACTCTTCAATGAACGAATGTGCATTAGCTTTCTTTGCTGCATCGATAACCTGTTCCATTGTTGCATTTGGGTTTCCAAACATAATATTCTCTTTAATGGAGCATGCAAACAATACTGGCTCTTGACTAACATAACCTATAATACCTCTATACCAAACTGGATCCAACTCTTTAATATCAACACCATCCAATGTAATTGTGCCATTATCTGGGTCATAGAATCTTTCTACCATTGATAAGATTGTTGATTTACCTTGACCACTTGGACCTACAAGACTTGTGACTCTACCAGTTTTTAATTTCAAATTGATACCTTTTAATATTCTTTCATTTGGACGTGATGGATAAGAGAACTCGACATCTTTAAGCTCGAGTTCACCAACAGCGTTATCTAGTACTTTACCACCTGATGTTGGAATGGCTGGTACTCTATCGAACAATTCAAAGATTCTATCAGATGAACCAATTGCTCTTAAGAAATCGGTCATTAAACTACTAACGAAGGCCAAAGCCATTGCTAAACTTAAAGTATATAAAAGGAAACTTGTAAGACTACCAGTGCTTAGTGAACCTTTAAGTACCTGTACAGCACCATACCAAACTATTAATGCAATAGCTAATTGGGCTACCAAAAATACAATTCCACTAAATACACCAGTAGCAACGGCTAAAGATTTACCAACTAAATAGCTACCATTAATATCTTTTGAATATAGGTCAATAAACTTTTGCTCTTTACTAAAAGAACGTACAACTCTAATATTTGATAATACTTCTTCACCTGTAGTAGATGATTTAGCCAATTCGTCTTGGAATTGTTTACCTAATTGTTTGATTTTTTTACCATAAAATACTTTATATAAAAAAGATTAGTATAAAAAAAATATAAATAATAATATATAATAATGATATATTATACATACCTGTTGCAATAGCTAAAACTGGTACAATTGATAACATTAATAAGGTTAATTTCCAATTTGTAATAAACAATAAAATGATTCCACCAATGATTTGAATTGTATAACGGAATAGCATTGATACATTAACAGTAACACTGTTTTGAATGACTTGTGAATCGCTTGATAATCTAGATACTAATTCACCAGTTCTATTTTGATCAAAGAATGCAACCTCTTGGGTGACAATAGCAGCAAATAAATTTCTTCTGATACGTGCAACAAACTTTTGGCCAGCTAGATAGAATAACCATGAACGGATAAGAGTAGCCACTGAACCAATGATAAAAATAATAACAATTGATAGGGTAGCTCTATTTAAAGCATTAAAGTCATGAGTAGTTGCAATTACCTCGACGATTTGACCAAACATATATGGCATAGCAAGGGATGTAAGCGAGCTAATTACCAAAGCAACCATAGCTGACAATATTATAGGAAGCTCTGGTCTTGATAACTGTATAAGTCTTTTGAGATTCGAGTGTTTAACAGTAACTTTTTTATTCAATCTCTTTTTCTCATTCTCTTGATCAAAAAACTCTTTTTCTCTTTGGGCTCTTCTACGACTACTTCTATAGCTTAATTGAATGGTTATAATGTGGAGTAATAAAAATATCACAATCAATGGGATACCCACCAAAACCAATACGATGGTGATCTCTCTAGCTATTGAACTTTCGAAAATTGGACTGTTGGTTGGAATATCGAATGTAGTAGTGCTAGTAGCATTTCTAATTGATTGTTCTAATTTTGTAATATTGGTTACCGTGAAATACGCTTTTGTACTAGTATATGCCAATGCTATTATTGAAATTATATAGGAAACAACGTGATATATATAATTATCTGAAAATATTAATAATAACCAAAACAATGACAAGAAATATGATAGTAACAAAATATCAAAAGAAGAATAATAATAAAAATAGGACATGTTGAAGCTATTTGCAATTTGACTTTCCATTTCTGAGCTTGTTAATGTACCGGCACTACCTGAATTTGAATTACTTGTAGTATTTGTTGGATAAAATATTATACTTCTAGCAGGAGTACTAAAATACAATGCATTGATCGATATAATATAACCAAGTAATACTACAAGTGAAATGATTTGAATAAAAGTTCTAATTGATTTTCTTTTGGTTTTATCTAATTGATAATTAAAAAACACTGTCTCCTTAATATCCTCTTCTTCTTCCTCCTCTTCCTCGTTAATTGTCTTTTTCTTTGGTAGTATAAACTCTCTATTTGCATTTTTCATACCATATTCTTGATCTGAAACACTCTGTTGTTTTCTTTCTTTTTTATCATCATATGATTCTAATAACGATTGACTTTCGATATCATCATCATTACTTTTATAAACTGATTTTTTCCCCATTTTTTAAAAAAGAAAGGTATTATAAATAATTTATTAGCACACAAAATATAATAAAAAAACAAAATATATAAAAAAAAAATAAAAACAATAAATTATATATAAAAAAATAAATATAAAAATATAAAATAAAAGTATGAATTGTGTGTCCTATAAAATATTTAAATAATTAAAATAAAAAATAGGGGAAATAAAAAAAATAAAATTTTAAAAAAAATAAAAATTAAATTAAAAAAATCAAAAAAAAAATAATTTCAAATACGAAATGATTTGGTGGGGTGTATTTGTGTATGTGGGTGTATGAGGTTATATTATATTATATTTGAAATCGGACAATTATTAACTTTTTTTTTTTATTTTCTAAATTTGGAACCTAATATGCCTAAATAAAAATAAATATTGAAACACGTGAACTTATAAATTAGGATATTTTTAAATATAGTTTTGTTGATTTGATAAAAATTGTTTAAGATAGGGTATCCAGCTAGATGGAATAGGTGCATCCCAAATACCCAAATATTGAATATTATAGGTTTTTAATAATTCGAAACGTTGTTGTAACTCTGGATCTGTAAAAGGATTGTTATTGGCATCGACAGTCATAACACCAACAGCTAATTTTGATAATGGAATCGAGTTTACTGCAAATTGCAATGCATTTGAAAATCCAGAATATGAACCTGCATAAGTTGACATTGTAAAAATTTTATCTACATTGGTTTGACCTAATAAAGTAAGATTCCAAAATGGGTCATAAGTTGCTGCACAAACTGTCAATGTTTTTCCGTTTTTGTGTAATTCGTTGGCAAATTGATTAATAAAGTTTGCATAACCTACAGCATCCTCTGGTGTTCCACCAACTGGTTCAATATCGATATTCCATCCATCAAAACCTTCCAATAAAGCTTGTTGAACTGCTGCATCAATAAATGGTTGTGGATTATTAATTAATTGACGTGCATATTGAATAACCTCTGGACGACCCCATGGACAACATGTAGATACCTGAAGAAAAAAAACAAAAATAAAAGAAATTAAATATTATTTATTTGAATTTTGAATTTTGAAATTTGAAATTTGAATTTTAATATAAATATTATAAAAAAATACCATTGGTAATGTTTTTAATCCTGAACTTTGAAGGGGATATTGAACATCAGTAAGGTTATTAATAATCAATGTTGAATTTGGGCCTAAATTAAATCTCTCAAATGATACTGTATCAATCATTTTTCCTAATGACAAAATTTGTTGTAAATCTGATGCTATATCTTCATTAGTTCTTTCCAAACCCATCCATGGCATAATACCAGTTGATGACTGTGCATAGATTGAAACACTATATATTATGAATACAAAAAATAATATTACTTGTATTTGTTTCATTTTTAAAATTAAAAAATTGAATTACTTTTATTTTTTAGATTTTTTTATTTTTTAAAAAAAAAACAAAAAAAAAATAAAAAAAAATCTAAAAAAAATAAAATTTTTACTATTTATTTTTATTTATTATAAATACTGCAACTAATTATTACCATTATTTATTTTTTTTATTTCTTTTTATTTATTATTACATTTTGTTTTTTTTTTATTTATAGAAATATGAAATTAAAGTAAATAAGGGGGGTAAAAATTAAAAAAAAAAAATTAAAAAAAAAAAAAAAAATTAAAATTAGTGTGTGGTGCGATTTATTATTATAATGGTATTATTAAGTTTTTTAAAGATATATTAACAAGTAATGTTGTTTTGAAATTATAAATTATCTTAGTAAATATTCAAGTGTCACGGATACCGTTTTTTGTTTTTTTAATTTTTTTAAAATAAAATAAAATTATTTTTATAAATTAATTTTTTTTTAAATTTTTTTAACCATTTTTTATTGTGTATTTAAATAAAAAACTAATATCTGTTATTTATATTATAAAATGAAATATTTTATAATTTTTATAGTATTAAATATTTTATTAGGTGTGGTTTATAGCGATGGGAATGTTACACCACAGAGTATAAAAATTGCATTTTCTCAATCAATTGATCAAATTAGAATAACATGGTATACTGAAGATATATCAGAAGCACCCGTTATATTGTATAACACTCAATTATTTTCACCAGAAAAAGATTCATCATTAGCTGTACAAGGAGAAGTAATTTCATATAAATCAGAGGATTCAAATTTTGTAGGTCATCCAAACACTGCTGTTATTGAAGGACTTTCAGATTTTACCACTTATTATTATTGTGTAGGTGATAAATCCGTTGGTGTATATAGTCAAATTTATAATTTTACAACTGGTATTACAAGTAATATTGGACAATTCGAATCATTCACACTTGCATTTTATGGAGATATGGGTTTTGGTGGGGTCGGTTTACAATCTGATTTTCCAACAATAAACAATGTTTTATCAAGAGATGATATTAGCTTTATTATTCATGTCGGAGATATTGCTTATGCTGATTTAGGTGCAAGTACTGAACTTACAGGCAATCAAACTATTTGGAATGGTTTCTTAGAATCAATTACTCCATTAGCTACACATCTACCATATATGACCTGTCCAGGTAAGTCCTTTTAATTATAACATGTTTTTAGTATCCATTACTAATTTTTAACTATATTAATATTGTATACAGGTAATCATGATTTATTTTATGATGATTTATCAGTTTATTCAAGAACATGGCAAATGCCAACCGATAAAGATAGTGATACATGGTATTCATTCGATTATAATGGTGTTCATTTTGTTGGTTTTTCATCTGAACATGACTATACACCATTATCACCACAATTTGCATGGTTAGAAAATGAATTAAAGACATATCGTCAAAGCAACCCAGATGGCTGGCTTGTAGCATATTCACACAGACCATTCTATTGTTCTGCAATTTGGGATTGGTGTGATGATACTCCATCAGATAGTATAACTCATCACAATGATAGTCTTGGCAAAGAAACATTTAACTTGATCGAAGATTTATTATATCAATATAATGTTGACCTCTATTTAGCTGGTCACCAACATGCCGAGGAATACTCTGTTCCAGTCTACAAAGGTAAAAACACAGGCTCTTTCGACGAACCAAAAGCAACAGTTCACATCACTGTTGGTACTGGTGGTAACGCTGATGGCTCTATTGCAGGCTGGCAATCAAGACCAACCTGGGCTGGTGGTGAAAGAACCGTTTCACCCGGATTCGCAATGTTAACATTCTATAACTCTACCAGTCTGGGCTATAAATTTGTTGCAAATGTCAACAACACCATTATCGACGAATTCACTTTAACTAAAGGTTCCTTTTAAAAAAAATTTAATTATTAATTTTTAAAATGATCTCATCATTATTTTAAAAATAATTTAAAAATTTAATTAATTTAAATATTTATAAAAACAATAATATTATATTAATATAAATTATATTCTTTTATTATCTAAAATTTTTATTTTTTATTTATTTATTTATAATAATAATTTAGTGATGATCATTGCAACTGTGGGTGTAATAGTTGTTTTTAATACTACTATTGTACATGGCATACTTGTTAAAAATGTCCCTTCTAATACATTTTTGTTTTTAAATGAAATTTTGGAGGTTAAAAAATAACAAAGCTCACAAAAAACATAACTAAGGTTACAGTATTTTATGGATATTATAAATTTGCATGTTTATCATTAGATAAAAATAATAACTTAATTGTTGTTAATCCAGAAATGTGGAAAGATAGTTATTATTTAATTCAAAATACCTCAAATAGTATCAATAAAACAAATTTAGAAAATTCATTCACAGCAACAGATATAAATTTAAATATTCATTATTATTATTTATTGGATGTAAATGGTCAAGTAAATGTTGGTATGAATAAATTTGAATGTATTGAACGTTATGAAATTGGCTACGAGTGTTACAAATTTTCAATCAATTTAATTCGATTAAATCAAATCAAAGTACCAATATTAAATTATACTGATATTATTGGAATATTAGGATATAATGATTCAATATTAATATGTGGTAATCATCCTTCAAATAATAGTTTAATAGTATATAAATACAACATTACAACTGAAGAACAACAGTTTTTATTTACAAATAATATGAAATTAACTCATTTAATTCAGCACCAATTCGCATCAAATCAAAATTGTCTATTCTTTTCAAATAAATCAAATTCATCAATTCTTTATGATATATTTAATGAACGTATCATTTTAAAAAATGATAAATTAAATTTAAATATATCGGAACATTTAGAACAAGGTAATGAAAGAACTATCTACTATTTTATGCATGATGCTTCAAATGAAAAAAATATACCACCAATTAATAGACCAGGCTATTATGGCCAACCATTACCAACAGAAAAACAATATTATAATAATATAATAACAAATAATTCAAATTCTATTTATCAATTATCACCAGTATTAATTTTATTAATTTCAATTTTTATTTCAATTTTATTTTCCTAATAAACTAAAATAAATAAAACATCATTATTTTTTAAAAATTTTATATAAAATTATATTATATTTATATTTTTAATATTTTTTTTTAAGTGCCTCTTGGCTTTATTCCGAAGCGGATTTGGCAAACCAAAAAAAAAAAAAAAAAAAAAATATCCCAACAAATTTATTTTTTTTTTATTTTTTATTTTTTTTCTATCTTATTATTTTTTTATATATTGTTTTTTTTTTTTTTTTTTTTTTTGTCTATCAATAATAAAATAATATAAAATATAGAAAATGAAAAATATAGTTTTAATAATAATTTTATTAAATATTTTTAATATTTATGTAAAGGGTGATGCAACATCTCATAGTGTTAAATTATCATTCACCAAATCTATAGATCAAATGAAAGTAACATGGTACACCATAGATAAAATGGTTAACCCAGTCGTATTATTTAACACTGAAATGTTTGCACCAGAAAAAGATTCAGTACTTTCGGTTCAAGCTCAAATTTTTCAATATGATACTTTAGGCTTTAAAGGTTATCCAACTACAGCCACAATTAATGGGTTATCTCAAAAAACCACATATTATTATTGTGTTGGTGATAAAGCAGCAAATGTTTATAGTCAAATATACAACTTTACAACTGGCTATACCGCTAATGATAATCTTCATCCATTTACTGCTGTTTTCTATGGTGATATGGGCTATGGTGGTCAGGGTCTCAACTCTGATTTCTATACCGTTGCTAATGTTTTAAAACGTTCTGATGAATACGACTTCATTGTTCATGTTGGTGATATTGCCTATGCCGATCTAACTCATGATAGCCGTATTAGTGGTAATCAAACTGTTTGGAACTTGTTTTTAGATTCTGTTAATCCATTAACCTCAATGAAACCATATATGACCTGTCCAGGTAAGAGATAAAATAAAACTTAAAATATACATTATAATACTAATTTAACTATTTATTATAATTAGGTAACCATGATATATTTTACGACCTTTCAGTCTACAGTAGAACATGGCAAATGCCAGCTGACAATGAAGGTGATACATGGTATTCATTTGACTACAATGGTGTACACTTTGTTGGTTTCTCATCAGAACATGACTTCTTTCCACTATCACCACAATATGAATGGTTAGAAAAAGATTTAAGAAAATATCGTCAAGAAAACCCAGAAGGTTGGCTTGTGGTTTATTCACACCGTCCATTTTATTGCTCTGCTGTTTGGGGTTGGTGCGAAGATAGTCCATCAGGTTTTGATGAAATGCAAATCGAAGATCAAATTGAAAAAGGTGTTAAAACAGACTTCCTAAAAAAAGCTTTTAACTTATTAGAAAATTTATTATTCAAATACAATGTTGATCTCTACATCTCAGGCCATCAACATGCCGAAGAATACACCTATCCAGTATATAAGAGTCAAAATTTAGGTACTTTTGAAGAACCAAAAGCTACTGTTCATATTACTGTTGGTACTGGTGGTGATGCTGAAGGGGAAGAAACTCAATGGCAACCAAAACCAAGTTGGAGCACAGGCAAAAGAATTTTCGATACTGGTGTTGGATATTTAACTTTTTACAATACAACAACTCTAGGTTATAAATTTATAGCAAATGTTAACAATACCGTAGTGGACGAATTTACTATGACAAAAGGTCACTTTTAATTATACCACAACTCAAATAACAAACATAAAATATAAATCAATTATTATTGATTATTTTTTCTTTTTCTTTCTTTTTTTTTTTTTTTTTCCTTCACTTTTCCACACATTTTTTTTTTTTTTTAAATAAAAAAACTCAATAAAAAACCAAACCATTTTATTATTCAAAAGGTATTAAACCAAAAACTATTAATTTAGGATCTGCAAAAATTTCCTTTTTTTTTTATATTTTTTTTATTGCCATATATTTGACATGTTATTTTTTTTTTTTATATTTTTTTTTTTTCTTCGCCATATATTTACATCATTAAAATAACTCCGATTCGGAAAAAAAAAAAAATAAAGTCTTTTCGTGCTAAATAATATTTACGTAAATAAATAATCAATATTTTTATATTTAGGTGCGCATATAAAAAAAAAAACAGATTTTTTTATTGGGTTTTGTCGGTTTTTAAAAAAAAAAAATAAAAGGAAATTTTGTATTTGTGCAAGATAACCAGACCTGTGTCTGTAGGAAAAAACAGTTGTTTGTGGATTTGCTCGAAAAAAATTTTATTTAATTTTATTTTTTTAAATTTATAATAAAGTTTTTTTTCATTTTCCCTACATATTAAAAATCAAAAAAAAAAAATGGATATTAAAAAAAAAAAAAAATTTAATCAATCTTAAAGGACACAAACAAAATAAATTTTTTTGTTTATACCCACAAAATAAATAAATATATTAATATAAACATATAAATATAAAAATAAAAATAAAAATGATAAAATATATTTTATTATTTTTAACCATTTTAAATATTGGTATTAATGGTTTAGAGATTACACCATTCAGTATCAAATTAGCTTTTACAAAAGAAAGAGACTCATTCAGAGTAACATGGTGGACCAAAGACAAAATGAAATCACCAGTCGCATTATATAGTACCGAAATGTTTACACCAGAAAAAGATTCATCATTTGCAGTTCTAGGTCAAGTTGATAATTATGATACTATAGGTTATCACGGTCATCCAACTACTGCTGTTCTCAATAATCTTGCTGAATCTACTACTTATTTCTATTGTGTAGGTGATAAATCAGAAGGTGTTTATAGTGAAGTTTTTAATTTTACAACTGGTTTAATTACATCCCCAGGATTCGAACCATTTACTGCTGTTTTCTATGGCGATATGGGCTATGGCGGTACAGGTTTAAATTCTGATAACTATACTGTTGCTAATGTTTTAAAACGTGCTGAAGAATTTGATTTTGTTGTCCATGTAGGTGATATTGCCTACGCTGATGAAACTGCAGGTTCATATATTAATGGTAACCAAACTCTTTACAACTTATTTTTAGACTCGGTTAATCCATTAACCTCACATTTACCTTATATGGTTTGCCCAGGTATGTATTTATATTTAATGTATAGATTTTCATCTTATTAATTTATTATTAACATTCTTTAATAATTTATAGGTAATCATGATATTTTTTACGATTTATCATTTTATCGTAGAACATGGCAAATGCCAACCGACAAAGATAGTAACTCATGGTATTCATTTGATTACAACGGTGTTCACTTTGTTGGTTTCTCATCTGAACATGATTGGTTAAAAGGTTCATCACAATATAAATGGATCGAAAACGATTTAAAAAAATACAGAGCATCAAACCCAGAAGGCTGGTTAGTCCTCTATTCACATCGTCCATTCTATTGTTCAACAGTTTGGAACTGGTGTGAAAATGAAAAGGATCTTTTAAAGAGAGCTTACGTCGAATCACTTGAAGAGTTATTATATAAATATAATGTACATGTATTCCTTGGTGGTCATGCTCACGAATTTGAATTAAGTTTACCAGTATATAACAATCAAACCATGGGTACCTTTGAAGAACCAAAAGCAACTGTTCACATCACTGTTGGCACTGGTGGAAATGTCGAAGGTGATCAACATAATTTCCAAAAACAACCAATCTGGAGTAGTGGTCATCGTTACTCTGATCAAGGTTTTGGTATGGCCAGCTTCAATGAAACCCATTTCAATTGGCAATTTTTCTCAAACAAAAAATCATCTGTTATTTTCGATTTTACTCTCGCTAAAAATAAATTTAACTAAATAAAATAATATAATAAATATTTGTAATAATAGTATTGTATAACCGTGGTTTTTTAATTTAAAACTAAATTTATATAATACAATAGTTTTAAAAAAAACTAAAAACCAAAAATTGTGTGCTAAAATTATTCTTTTGGCAGAAACCAAAAAAATGTTTTATATGTATATTTTTAAAAAAAATAATTATTAATATGGTTTATTTATATAATAAACCATTAATTTATTTTTGAATCGATTTATATTTAATGTATTAATTAAATTTAACACATTGATCTACAACCGTAGTAGTTTTCGGCATATGGGGTGATGATGTGACAATCCTGACCTCTGTTTTGAATAAAAATAATTAAAAATTAGTAAATAATATATTTTAATGAATATCATTATTATTATATTTGAATACTAACGGTTCTGGGCATTCAACAGCTTTGCTACCACCGATGGCCATGGTTACGTGATCTGGACAGTTTGAACCACTGAAACAGTAGAAAATGAGGTCACCTGGTTGACAAGCACCTGGGTTTGATGGTGAACAAGATGAGCATTTTACACCTTGTTGGAATTGAGTAGTAGTAACTCTGGTAATACCTGACCAACCAGCTTCACGGAATGAAGTGTAAACAATACCACCTTTGATTTAAAAATAGTTTTAAAAATATTAATATTATTTTAAAAAATTTATCGGTTTCTATTATTTATTCATCGATACTTACTGCAATCCATACCACCACTACCACCACAACCACATGATGTACCACCCCAAACGTATGGGCAACCACATGAAGCATAGTGTGAAGCTTTTGAAGCAGCAGAGCTACAAATAGATTTTGATGGTAAAGTTAAATTTAAATATAAGTCACTGTAATCAACAAGTCTATCAACATCTTGTTGTAAGTTAGCGCTGCAAACAGCAAAAATTAAAGCTAAAACAAATAAGAATTTCATTTTCTAAAAATAATTATATATAATAATATGAAAGGGAAAAAAAAGAGAGTTTTAAATTTTTTTTATAACTTTTTAAAATTGAAAAAAAAAAAAAATAAAATTATAAAAAAAAAAAAAAAAAAATAAAATTTAAAAAAAAATCAAAATATCTTAATGGTACCTGGGCGTTAGGCGAAAATGGAATGGTATGAAAGCCAAAAAGTTTTATGATTCCGTTTTGTTGCTCAGCAGTTGGTTTTTTTTTTTTTTTTTTATAATTTTATTTTTTTTTATTTTTTTATTAAACCCAAATAATTTTTTTTATATTCAAACCAGGCAACACTTCAAAAAAAAAAATTCTGTGTTTTTTGAAATTGCCATCGGGAAAAAAAATCCAAAGCCATAACACCGAAATCTTAATCAAATACCACACAAATTTTTTTTTTTTTTTTAAATTTAGGAAATATTTTATTTATTTATCTTTTAAAATTTGGGAAACTTTTGTTGAATAATTGCTCAAGATTTAACAAATCTATTCTTTCATCATACTTCACAAAAAAAAAAAATTAATAAATAATTTTTAAAATTTTACTCTAACAAATATTTATACATACATGAAATAAAGTCATTTTTCCAGCTATTATTTTTAAATTTGAAAAGGTGTCTTGGTTATAATCTAATTTTTTTTTAATAACATTACTCTCAAAGCTAAATAATAATTCTAGAAATATTGAGCCAACACTATAAATATCCATTTTATAATTATGGTTGTTATCTAAATATTTGCTTCTATATTCCAACGAATAGATTTCTGGACTTTGAAAATGAATTGTGCCATCTCTGTCATATAGTGATCTTTTGAAATATTTTACTTCTTTACCCGTAGTTACATCTTTATTATTTTGAACTACCGATAGTTCGAAATCTGCTAATAAATATTTCCCATTTTTGTCCATTAAAACATTTGCTGGTTTTATATCTCTATGAACAATGTCGAATTGATTTAGTTGTTTTAGTGAACATATTAAATCATATAATAAAATTACCATTTCATTTTCATTTAAACTATTAAAAAAAAAAAAAATTAATACAATATAACAGTCAATTATATTTTATGATATGTATACAAACTATAGTTTTGAATCTAAAATATTCTTTAAATCTCCCTTGCACTTATCAATAACAATATAGGAGTTGCCATTTAATGAATATGATGTATGATATTTTACTATGTTGCTGGGGTACTCTTCCATTGATTTAATATTTGAAACTATATAACAATAAATATTATGTTCATCACAATTATATCCTTTGCCGACCATTTTTTGAATATAACTCTAAAAGAAATAAAAATTATTAATAATTTATCATAACCAAATGGTTTATAAAGTACTGAATTACCTTTTTATTATATATAACTTCCGAAATCTTTGAATTTAATACTGATTTAATTCTAACATAGATTGGTTTTATACTTGATACCCATTCACAGTCAAACAAATCTTTACATAGTTTCTTTTTAAGGATTAGTTCTTGATTCATTTGAAAGTATTCTTTTATTGGATTTAAAAAGTGTTTATTATTTAAATTTTCTATACTATAAAGATAGTTATTCTAAAAAAATTTTATTATTAATATTTATTTTTTAATTTTTATTTTTTTTCTAAATTATATTTACCCAACCTAAATTTTTACTATATTTCTCTAAATAGAAATATAAATCAATATAGAAATAGTTTTTTTTTCCATCATTCATTATAAAGAAGCGATCTTCGATTAAGAATGGCTCGCTTAGCTCTTCAAAATTTGAAATTGATTTTAAAATATAAATAAAGTATAAAAGTAATCCAATTTCTTGTTCTTTTGTATAGTCTCTATAAACAGTATTTGCAATGAATTAATAATACTATAACCTAAAAAATGATAGATACAATAAAATCTATTATTTTCACTTACCCAAAAAAATTTTCGACTGTTGTCAGTTGATTAACTACATCGGTCAAAAAGGATTCTGTATATTTATAAAAATGGAAAAACTTAGATTGGTTATGGATTGTAAATTCAGGAAATTGAATTTTTAACGATTCTTCCAGACTGCTATAGGCTTTATAGGTTTTTAAAGAATATTTATTTTTGGATTCAATATTTCTTTTATTGTAAAAACAAATAAAATACTTTTAAAATAAAATTAGTAATTAATATTATTTTTTTTTTTTTAATATTGCTAAATAGTTACGTTCGGGCTACCGTCTTCTTTTAAAATTAAAATTAAAGATTGATCATCATTTTTTAGATGTTTATAGATTGGAAAAATATCTATTAGTTGGTATGTTTTTATTCCAAACCGGAGAACAACCATAGAGTCTAAATTTGGATATTTTATATAATTTTTTTGTTCAATAATTTTACATTTGATATATGAATAAATAGAATCGCAATTATATAGACACCTCAACTCCTTTAAATTATAGAAATAAATTATAAATTGGTTAAAGTTGTGTTTAACCTCGGGGCATCTTCCAAATAAAATCCTTTCAAAATTTGTAAAATAATCTATTACTAAAGTATCTTGGGTGGTAAAAAAGTAATAAAATCTTTTACCTATAATAACCAAATTATCTTTTTTAAAAATAAATATTAGTTATTTTACCAATTTATAATATAAATAATAGGTTACTTACAAACAAACATTAAATTGTTGTGGTCTATATCTTTTAAATATTGGTAAAATTGAATAATGAAATCCCTAAACAAAAAATTAACATCATTGTTAATATCATAGTAGTTTTTATTATTTAAACTTTCTATTTCAATAATTTTTGAATTTTTAATGGTTACTGAACTTGGAAACTTGTAAATAAAATAAATTAGCTGATTAGCATCTATATACTGATCATAGACTTGAAAATTTTGCTTATGAATGGTTTTTTCTCTTTTTGCATTAAGGTACGTTGAGGTATAATTAAATTGCTTAACTAAATAATAATTCTAAAATATAAAAAAAAAAAAAAGGTTTAGTATTTTAGAATTTTTTTTTTAGAATTTAAAATAAATACCCCATCTAACTCTAAACAACATTTAAAATAAAAAAAATCATTTTTTAAAATTGGGTCAATGTATTCAAATGTAATTTCTTCATTTATAACTCTGTAGGTATGGTTATTGGTATATAGAAAATCTTTAACAAAGCCCAATTGTTTACTTCCTATATTATAATCTTCGATATCTTTGAAATAGCTTGAGAGAAGTGGATATGGTTCATTATTTTCTTTTTGGATTTCTTTTATTGAATCATATAAAAACTTTAAAGCCGTTTCTGTTGACCAAAGGTTTGAACTCTAAAAATGTAAAATAATGAATGTTAGTAAAGATCTTTATTTTGAATAAAAAGTAAATGTTGAAAAATTACCTCATTACTTGTTTTTTCGACAATAGTTTTGAGAATTGGGTCATTCAAATGGTCATTAACTATTTCTGAAAGAACCTCTTTTTTTGTTCGAGCACAACAATCTTTTGGACTAGATACAAGGTTAGCTTTTAGTTTGTTTTCTTCGTCAAAATAGTACTGGTTTATTGAGGTAAAATAATAAAAGAAATAATAAAAATTTGCGTGTAGCTCTGAAGACTTATCGATCTTATTCTCCAATATATACATTATTAATAAAAGATGAAGACCTAGCATCCATTTTAATTCTTGGTTTGATTTGTCATCTTTACTATCTTGATTTTCACTTCTTAATATTGATGATATTTTGTGATCCATTGGGAATATTATCATTCCACCATCTTCTAAAAAATCATCCGGCTCTTCATATTTTAAAAAATCATCATAAAAATGAACATTTCCGTTAACTGTGCAATATCTTACTGAAATATATTTCCTTAAAATACTGCTTTTAATTAGACGCAATGTGCTTTTTATTGATTTCATATGAAATGCATAGATATTGTTAAATTTTATAATATTTAAAATATTTTCTGGGCTATTATCATTATTATTGTTTTTGTTATTATTATTTAAATTATTTTTAACTAAAACGTATAAGGTACTTGAGTGACCTCTATTAATACCTATGCATTGATACAAAGGCTTATCACTATTATGGAGCGATAATAAAGATGGATCTGGTATATCTGATGAGGAGGATGATGTTGATGGAACTGGTAAGGAGAAAGTTTTATGTGAATCTGATTGGTCAATAGGGTCAAAAAATGTCGATGTTTCTATTGAAGATGAGAAAGATACTGTATAACCAACCTTATTGTTATTGCTATTATTATTGCTAGTGTTAGTGTTATTGTAATATTTATTACTATCGCCATAGAAACCATAAAAATGATTAATATTATAACTTTTATTTTCGCTATCATCCTCACTATTGTTATTTGATTCGATTAAACAGTTTATAGTTAAAGGCTCTCTATTATTTAAAATGTTATAGTTTTTTGATTTAATAATATCTAAACATTTATAAAATACTGGACTTTTATAACATTCTATAAAATCTTTATGATTTTTTAAAAAGCTATATTCATTTAAAATAAAATGAATTAACTGTGATGGGAATGGTCTTTCTTCTGCTGTTTCAGAAACCATTTTTTGTAATAGAATATCGTAAACTCTATTAACAACACCCCTTCTAAACAAAAGCTTATCTGTGACATAGGCCATTGTTTTACCCAAACTATAAATATCTGCTTTGATATCATAGGAACTTTTTTTAAAAAGGTCCTATGATTAAATTGGTATTAGATAAAAAGAGTTTATATTATACACCTGCAAATTTTAAAAGAGTATACTTACTGGAGCAATAAATGAATTGGTACCAATTGCCATTGTATAGGAGCAAACAGTAGAAACTTCCTTAAAGGTTCCAAAGTCACCAATAAAAAAATCATAGTAAACATTGTTTTCTTGTATATTTTCTTTATTTCCATCTATATATACCTTTTGAATGAATAAGTTTTCTGGTTTAATATCTCTGTGAAAGCTATCTAGCTTTTCAAACTCTGCCAAAGCTATCAATACTCTAAGAAATATTGGTAAAAAATCTCTTGTTGATAATCTATTATTTCTAAATGAGTCGAGAAACAATACTTTAGATAAATCATTATGATTATAATAATCTGTAACTATACATATTTTTTCGTTGTTATCGTTGATGGTATCACTATTGCTACTATTGTTACTACTATTATTGCTATTGTCACTATTATTACTACTCTTATTACCATTGTCAATATTGCTATTATTTATTAACAAATCTATATCATTTTGGTTAACCATAAAATGTTTTCTGTATTTGATAATATTTAAATGAGAGTATTTTTCTTGGGAGAATCTAATCAGACTCTTTAATTCTATTTTACTATTTTCATCATTTAATAATACTTTGCAAATAAAAAACTTATTTTGGGATTATGGAAATATTTTTTAAAAAAAAAAAAATTATTAGATTAGACATTAATTAAAAAATAAGTGTTACAATGAATTTACCTTTTCATCTTTATCTTCAACTAACAAGACCAATCTTCCATAATTATTTGATATTATTTTCTTTATTTTATATTCATCCATATTTATCAATATTGCAATTTAATAAAGCAGTTTTTAAAAAAATACTCTTAAATCTAAAATTGATTAAATTAAAAAAATTAAAAAAAATTAATATTTTTTTTTTTAAGTTTTTTGATTGCAAAAAAAAAATCCAAATTTTTTATTTGGGTAAAAAAAATATCTATATATTTTTTTTTTTTTTGCGCAAGGTTCTGCCAGAAACGGCTCTGTCTGTAATAAAAAAAAAAACAGTTTTTTGACGGTTTACAACTTTAAAAGATGCGCGATATGATGATTGCAAAAAATAAAATACGAATAAAATAAAAATATTTTTATTATAAAATTTTTTTTTTCAAACGATTTTTTGTGTGTATGTGTCTGTGTTGAATTATTTTATTTATCTTCTTTAAATTACTTTTTACTGATCCTTAAATACACAACACAAATCTATTAACTGACAAACACAAATATAGATTTCGATAGACATATAAATAAACACATACATATTACACAACCCCATCTTGAATTTATTTTAATTAAATAAATAAAAAAAGAAATTTTTTTAATTTTTTTTTTAATTTTATTTTTATTTTTTTTTTTAACAAAATTAAAATTTTATTTTTTTTGTTTTTTTATTTAATTTCTTTTTTTTTATAATATTATCTTTTCTATTTCTTTTGTATATATTTGTGTTTTTTCACTTAAATGAAATAAAATTCAGTTTTTTTTTTATTTTTTTTATTTTTTACTTTTTTTTTTTTGCAGCTCTATAATTTTTTTTTTTCATTTTTTCCCAGCGATCAGATATAATTACAGACAAAAGAAAAAAAAAAAAACCGACATATATAACCATACATATACATAAACATATATATACACCACATACACATACACATTTAAATATATAGATTTTTTAATTTTTAACTACATAGATAATCAATGACTTTATGATAATAATCATTTATAATTAATAGACCTTTACTATTATAATATACATATTATTTTTTATTTTAAATTAAAATAAAGAAAAAAAATAGATGGGGGAAATTACATTTTCATCAATATCAACATTGGAACTTCACTACAATGGTGAATATTTAGCAGTAGGTTACGAAAATGGCTCAATAGCAGTTTTAAAGATATTACAACCCTCATCATATACATTAAATAATAATAACAATAGCAATAATAATAATAAAAGTATATATAATAGAAACAGTCAAAAAAGGAGCAATGGTTTTAATAAAACAATTGGAAATAAGAGGAAGAATATTGATGAAGATAATATCAATGATGAATTTGAATATGACGAGAGTCAGTTTAAAATGGAAATAGAGGATATTGATGAATCAATAAATGATAATAATAATAATAATAATAATAATAGCAATAACAATAATAATATATATAATAATGAAATAATTAAAATAAATATTGATAATAACAATTCATATAAAGTACTATGTTACTATCAAGGCCATGATACAGAGGTTATACAAATAAGATGGTGCAAAAACCATAGCTCAGCTCTTTTATTTATTTCAACAAGTGTTAGCTCAACAAAGCTATGGAGATTGCAACTATTACAAAATTATCAATTAAACCCATTCATAATGAAGCCTAATCTATTATCAAGTTTCAAGTCATCCAATAGCAGTAATGGAGTTCACAATATAGTTAATAATAGTAATAATGGTAACAGCGGCGGCAGTTACATAGGGAATAATGTAAATAAAATAAATATAAACAATAATAGTGATAGTTATAGCCAATTTAGAATAAAGTTTGATTTAAAACGGTCATTCGAACACGAAGAAATTTTTAATATAAACTCGATTAGTTTAAATAGTGACGGCAACACGTTCCTATCATCTGATGAATTAAGAGTGTATCTTTGGGATTTAAATCAAAATCAAGAATGTTATAGTAAGGATACCACCAAAACCTATACAATAAGCCATGAATTCAATACTAATAATAATAATATTAAATTTTAACAACAATAACAATTTATATAGATATAATCGACTTAAAACCAAATAATATGCAATTGTTAAACGAGGTAATTAGAGTTACAAAATTTCATCCAGTATCTTGCAATCTTTTAATGTATGGAACAAGTAAAGGGTCACTAAAATTGTGCGATATGAGAGAGTCTGCTCTGATCAACACCCATTCAAAAGTATACGAAAGACAAGCACTCTACGATGATGACAATGCATTTTCAGATTATTTAAATTCAATTTTTGATATGTCGTTCTCATTGGATGGTCGGTATATCGTATCAAGAAATTTACAAACTCTAACGATTTGGGACATGAATATGGATAGCAAGCCTTTAGCAAACTATAACCTTTATAATCAAAATTTATTAAACCAAAAGCTTTACGACATGCACGAATCATCATCATTTGTAGATAAATTTCAATGTAGTTTTATTAATCAAAAGTAAATATTACCCACATTCACCCATCACCAATATATACTAATTCTTTATTTTTTTTAGTCAAGTTATAACAGGATCATATGATAATAAATGTTTAATTTGGAACCCGTTTAGTTCTGAAAGTTTTATAATGGAATCAAATTTAGTAAAACCAGAACCATCAGAATATATAGCATTAAAAAGTAGAATCGATGATTACTTTGAACAACAGCAACAACAACAACAACATCGATCTTTAAGTAGAGACCAGGTGATGAGTTTTTTCAATAAAATTTATTACCAATCAAATTTCTATAATATACAATTATCAAAACTTTCAAATATTTTCAATAATAATAATAATAATAATAATAATACAAATAATAATGATAAAAATACAGAAAGTAAATTAACTATAAACAATTATTCGAATAGGATAAACTCAATTTCAACATCATATAGTGATAATAATACTATATCTTTAGCAATTAGTTCCTCATATAATTTATTTTTATATAAATAAACAATAATAAAAAATACTATTGTATTTTGAATTGAACATATTTTTTATAATTTTTTTTCAAAAAGAGTTTTTTATATTTTTTATTGGGTGTATTTGTTTTTTTTTTTTTTTTAATATTTAATTTAAATAGTGAAGTCTGTGCATATTTTCTATATGAAATGGTTTCTATCGGAAATTGTCTTTTTAAAAATAAAAAAAAAAAAATTTATTATATATATAAAATTTATTTAATTTAATAGAAAGTTGTTGGATTCTAAATAAAAAAAGAAAGGTTAATATTAATATATATTTCATTCGATATATTAGTTGGTGTTCCTATTGCTGCTGTATAATATACTTACTTTTTTGCATTCTAAGAATGAATCATAAGCCCATTGACAAGTGGCAACGTCGTTTTGATTCTTTTCTAAACAGGTCATGAATGATTTGTATAATGGGTTACACATTGTTGATTCTGGGGCTTGTTGATTTTGGTTATATTGTTGAGTGTTATCGAATTGTTGTTGTTGTTGTGGGACTTCATCTTTTGAACCGAATAATGAACTAGCACCACCAACTAAGGCATGACCGACAACGTGACCAGCAGCAGCACCAGCCATGGTACCAACAATATTTGATAATAAACCTGGACCTTGAATAACAACTGGTTGTGGAGCAGCAGCTGGAGTGGCGTTATTGGTAGCTGGAGCTGGAGCTGGAGCAGCTTTTTTAACTGGAGCTGGAGCTGAAGCTGTTTTAGTTGGAGCTGAAACTTTTGACATTGATTTGCTTGATGCACCTGATCTTCTTGCCATTTTTAAATTTTTTCTTTATACGATTTATTTATATATAAAAAAGTCTTTTCTTTTGTTTGTAATATTATAAATATATTAAAAATAACTATAATGTGGATATTATTATTATTTAATATGTGTATGATAAATGTGAAAAATAAAAAAAAAATTTTTAAAAAAAATATTTAAAAAAATTTTAAAAAAAAAAAATTATAAAAAAATAAAAAAAAATTTTAAAAACGATTTAAATTTATTTTTTTTTTATTTTTTTTTTTTTTTTATTCAAATATGTACACATAATTATGTATACTTTTTCGATGAAATTGCAGAATCATTTTTGAGAAATTTAAATGCAAATTAATTAATTTAACCCAAGTTTTTTTAATTAATTTTTTTTTTTTCAGAACATATATAATGTTTTTATATATAAATAAATAAAAATAATATTATAGTAATAGAAAAAATAAATAATAATAAAATAATATTATCTATTTTTAAATATATATTCAATAGTTTAGGAATATTTTTGCATAAATATTATGCGTCAATAGTTTTTTTTTTTTCTGTTTTTAACAAAAAGGGGTGTTTTTGATCCAATAAAAATAATTTCAGATTATGAGTTTTTTTTTATGTGTGGTGGATGTATATTGTTTATTTATAACATTTATATTTATCTATAAACCGAAATAGTTTGATAAAATATATAATTATTTCTTTTTTTATAAAAATTATTTAAAAAAAAATTAAAAATAAAATTAAAAAAAATTAAAAAAAAAAAAAAAAAATTTAAAAAACGAAAAAAAACGAAATTTTTTTTTTTTTTATCATTTTGACTTTTGTTTATTTCAATTATTCATTCAGTTTACTATTTTTCTAAAATAATTGTTTATTTTTTTTTAAAGGAATAAAGAAATAATTATATTTAAATGGATAGTTTTTTTATTAAACCAGGTACAGCCCACACATTATCATCAAACAGAGCCAATGGATCAAAATCAATAGATACAAGAATCAACTCTAGACCACAATCATCAAGAGGTGGTAGAGGTGGTATGAATAGCAGAGGTGGCGGTAGAGGTGGATCTATGTCATCAAGAGGCGGTAGAGGTGGCATGAGTAATAGAGGTGGATCTATGTCATCAAGAGGCGGCAGAGGTGGCATGAGTAATAGAGGCGGCAGAGGTGGTTTTAATAATAGAGATAATAATAACAGAGATAATAGTAATAATAAAGGTTTTAATAATAAAAGAAAGAATATACCTAAGGATGAATATTACGATTCAGATAAATCATCTGATGAACAAGAACAAGAGCCAGAAGAATCAGAAGAAGAATCAGATAATGAAAATACTAATGAACAAATGGAATTTCATTCAGAAGACGAAGATGATTTTAAACAGGTTAATGCTGAGGAATCAGAGGAAGAGTCAGAAGATGAGGAAGTTAAAAAGGCAAGATTAAAAAAGAAATTAAAATTATCAGTTGTTGAAGAAGAGGAAACAGCAGATGAAAAGCGTCTTAGATTAGCCAATGATTATATTAATAAAATTAGACAAGTAAAAGAAGATTTAGATTTAGATGAAGCAGTTAGAGAAGATTTGGATAAATCATCTGGTAGATACCAATATTCATATCGTGAACAAATTTCAAAATTAAAATTAAAAGATTTAATAAAAAATAGTAATAATAGTAATAATAATATAAATAAAAGAGTTACCGTATTTAAAGGACACAGCTCACCAATTACCTGTATTGTATTATCAGAAGATCAAACCATCGCATACTCAGCATCTAAAGATTTAATCATTCAATGTAAATATTATATTTTTTATTAAAATCAAAACCATATTTTAATTCATTGCATATTAACCATTTCACCCACACCCACCTTTTTTTTCAAAAATTTTTTATTATAGGGGATTTAATAAATAAAACAAAATTAAAAAAAATTAAAGGATTTTTACCATCAAAAAATAATAGATATGAAATTGATCAATTAAAAAAACAAGAAAAAGAAGAATGGAAAAAGACTACATATCAAGGTAGAGTTTTAGCAATGGCATTAAGTTTTGATGGTAAATATTTAGTTACTGGTGGTGAAGAGAAATTAATCAAAGTGTGGGATACTGAAACTATGACTGTTGTAGAAACATTTAAAGGGCATAAAGATATTATTTCAGCATTATCATTTAGAAAAGGTACATATCAATTATATAGTGGTTCACACGATCGTACAGTTAAAATTTGGGATTTAACTCAAATGGCTTTTGTCGATACTCGTTATGGTCATCAATCTCCAATTACTGCAATCGATGCTTTAACACGTGAACGTTGCATTACTGTATCAACTGATAAAACTTGTCGTGTTTGGAAAATCCCAGAAGAGTCACAATTAATTTTTAGAGGACACACTCATTCAGTAGATTGTTGCGCTTTAGTATCCGAAGAAAAGTTCATTACTGGTTCTCAAGAAGGTTCAATCGCTCTTTGGAACGTAAATAAAAAGAATGCTACCTTTATAAAAAATAATGCTCATCCAAATACCGACCTTCCTTGGATCACATCTGTTGCCGCAATTCCAAATAGTGATATAGTTGCAAGTGGTAGTTCTGATGGTGTACTTCGTCTTTGGGCTATTATGGGTGGTGAAAAACTTAGAGAAATTAACACAATCGAAGTTGATGGTTTTATAAATGATATGAAATTTTCACGTGATTGTTCTTTTATATTAGCCGCTATCGCTCAAGAACATAAATTGGGTAGATGGAAAAGAGTCAAAACTGCAAAAAATTCTTTATTATTAATAGACTTAACAAGTAATATCGAAGAAGAGGAAGAAGATTTAAATAGTGAAAATACAAGTGAAGAGCTACAAGAGGGTGAAGAAGAAGACGAAGAAGAAGAACAAGGAGAAGTAGAAGAAGTTGATGATGACGAACAAGACGACGAATAAATGAATATAAAATTAAAATATAATTTAAAATAATTAAATAATAAATATGTTTAGTTATAAATCTTAAAAAAAAAATTATTGTACAATATCTTTTATTTATTTTTTAGTTTTTAATTTAGTTTTATTTTATTTTATTTCTTTTTATATTTTTTTAAATATCCACAATGCAATGAATATCGGTTCTATCTGGTTTTTCGTCAATCTTCATACATGAATATGTAATTGCTTTAATTTCAGTTCCTGTTGTATGTTTTGATTTATCTAATTCTACTCCTTTGCTGTATGGTTTTTTTTATAAAAATATAAAGCATGTTAGAATGATTAAATTAATGAGATCGATTAGTAATTTAAATTATTTACCCAATAGCTTCAATTGTAAAGTTCTCTTTATCGATTGATTTTATTGTAACTTGTTTAAATATTATGAATTCTGTATTAAAAACAAATAAAAATTCGTCTAATAATGCAAATAATAATGAATCCATATCGTGACCTTGAACAGAAATGGTTTGTTCAGTTGCGGTATCATCCAACTCTACTGTTTCTAATTCTACCATATAGTTCATCATTGTTAATACTACTTGTTCAAGGGCTTCTTCTAAACTATCACCCCATGTATGAAACATAATATCTGCTGTATGGTCTAAATCTATACAAATAAAAGTATTAAATTATTTGATTAGTATAAATAAACAATACAAAGCAGAAATATGCATGCATGCATTGCATTTTATTTACATTCAAATTTATTTAATTGTCCAAGTTTTTCGCTTTTTTCGTTTGACATTGTTATTATTTATATTTTATTTAATGATTGTATATTTGGATTGAAATTGATTTTTTTAAAATTATTAATGTAATGAAAAGGATTAGATAAAAAAAGGATGTGTGTTATTTAAAAATAATTATATTTCTTAAAATAATCAAACAATGAAAAAAAATTAAAAAAAAAAATTAAAAAAAAAAAAAAAAAAAAAATTAAATTTTCATTTTTTTTAATTTTTATTTATATAATTTCAACAAATTTGTTTTGGTTATTTGATGTATTTATAGTTGTTGTTATTTTGATTGTATATTTATTCAGGTTATTATTACTCTTTCTTGTAATATATTTTTTTACCTTATATATTATTTTAAATATTTTTATTTTTATTTTAAATTTTTTTTAATTTTTTATTTTTTTATTAAATTTTTTTTTTTTTCCTTTTCTTCTTGGAAAATAATATACTTTTGTTTGTTTTTGTTTCTTTTTTTTTTTTTTTTTTTCATTCACTATTCATTTTTGTTTGTATGCTTAGACAAATAATAGCCAATTATCTTTTTAAACTGTAAATAAATTAATCATAGTTATAATAGTAAGATATTCAACCCATTATAAATTACATACTCAAATTTTATTAAATATTTAGTAATACTAATTTTTTTAAATTAGACAAAAAAAAAAAAAAAAAAGATAAAATGAAAAGTAATAAAAGAGATTTCGACAGTGTAGAAAATATAGATGATGGTTTAAATAATGACAATAACATAAATAATAATAATAATAATAGTGACGGTAACACCAATAGTAATAGGGTATCTTCATCACCACCTGAACAACACTTATCACCACCAAATGATGTTTCTCCACAATCTAAAAAAACTAAGCTTGATAATACAGGTGACTCAAAAAAACTAAATGAGGATTTATTAATAAATAATAATAATAATAATAATAATAATTGCAATAATAGTTATGTAAATAATAGTAATAGTAACAAAAATAAAATATATAATAATGAGAATAAACCACCAGCATTTCAAGGTTTTAAAAATGGCAGAAATCAAGATATTAATATTTCAAAAGAAAGAATGGATGAGGCAATGAGGAGATATGGGATTGATAGCGAAGATTCAAATGATCAACATCCACAGCCACCAATCTCAAAACCACCAGCATTTTCTGGCTTCAAAACTGGCAGAAATCAAAATATTGAAATTTCAAAGGATAAAATGGATGAGGCAATGAAGAAATATGGGGATGATGGTGAAGATTCAAATAATCAACATCCACAGCCACCAATCTCAAAACCACCGGCATTTTCTGGTTTTAAAACTGGCAGAAATCAAAATATTGAAATTTCAAAGGATAAAATGGACGAAGCATTGAAAAAATATGGCGATGAAGATGATCACAGTAATAAGAATCAAAATAATAATATTAATAATAATAATAATAATAATAATAATAATAATAATAATAATAATAATAATAATAATAATAATAATAATAATAATAATAATAATATTAATAATATACCACAACAGTCGTCAGAATATAAACCACCAGCATTCATGGGTTTTAAAAATGGTAGAAATCAAGCTGTTACTATCTCAAAAGAAAGAATGGATGAGGCAATGAAGAAATATGGGGATGATGGTGAGGATTCAAATGATCAGCGTCCACAACCACCAATCTCAAAACCACCAGCATTTTCTGGTTTCAAAACTGGCAGAAATCAAACTGTTGAAATTTCAAAGGATAAAATGGACGAAGCTTTGAAAAAATATAGCGAAAATGAAGATAATAATAATAATAATAATAATAATAATAATAATAATAATAATAATAATAATAATAATAATAATAATATATCGCAGCCAAATTTTAAACCACCAGCATTCATGGGTTTTAAAAATGGTAAAAATCAAGATATCTCTATACCAAAAGAGAGAATTGATGAAGCAATGAAAAAATATGAAGATGATAGTCAAGATAGTAATACTTATAGTTCATCACCCCCTTTATGCCCAACCCAAATTATGACAGATGAAGAAATCAGTAATTTCAAAAAATCAATTAAAGATAGTGGATCAGCATCATCACCAGCATCACCAAGGCAAGTTGCAAATAATAACAAATCATCATCACCACCACAACAAACATCCACTAAACCTATTTCGCCAGCACCAACTAATGCAACATTAGGATCATCAGCCCCAACTTATAAAAATACACCAGTAAAAACTAAATTTGTGTATAGTACAGGTAACAAAAAAGGGTTTACACCCCCATCTAAAGGTTTATCGCCACCACAACAACCACAACAACTACAACAACCAATTCAGTCACCACAATCATTCCAAAAACCAGTAAATAATAATAGCAACAATAATAATAATAACAATAATGTTAATACAAATAGTAACCCAACTGTAATCACTAATAATTATTCATATCCTGTAACACCCTCCAAAACTGTAATAAAGAAACCAACATCAACACCCACAAAAAAAACAAAACCATTTACACCTCCTTCAAAATCGAATAGCATTAATGGTAATGAGCAATCTCTTACAAATATTCAAAATCCACCAACTCCAAATAGGATACAAAAACAACCATCATCACCATCAAATGCTACTATTAAAAACAATAATACCTCCACATTACCCACAAATAAAACATTGGAAAAAAGAAGAACTTTAAGAGAATTGGGCAACCCATTTTCGATATCTCCAGTCGGATTGGTTAAAAAAGAAATTTTAGAAATCAATAGTAAAACTTCCCAAGATTATAGATTTGAAAACAATGGTAGCATTAGAGATATAGGTAAATCTAAAACCATTGGTGTTGCCGAATTATATATTTATTTACTTAAAGATAGCAAATCCAATGTGTCTTTATTAAATCAAGAGTGGGTACGTAACCATTATGGATGGATAGTATGGAAGTTGGCTGCAATGGAAAGAGCATTCCCTCAATTGTATGCTGGTAAATATTTAGTGTTACAAAGAGTTATAACCCAACTTCGTAATAGAGTTGAAAAAGAAATTAATCAAGCAAGGCGTCCAATTTTAAAGAAAATGTATGAAAGAGATGAACCATCAGAGATTCCATTGATTTTATGTGTTTCTTCAATTATAGACAATGGTTTAAATAATAATAGTAAAGCCAACAATAATACAACTAATATTATTAATACAGACGAAATTACATCAGAAGATATTGACGATTTTATGAGTGATGTAAATATTGATGCAATGGATGAAGGTTTAGATATTCCAATCAAAAAAGAAGAACAACAAGAAAAAGAAGAGGAAAAAAAACAAATTGGTAATGATCAATCCAAGACAGCAGTTATAGAGTTAACAGACGGATGGTACCCAATAAAAGCAGCTTTGGACCCATATTTAACACAGATGTTGCAACAGGGCAAAATTTATATAGGCCAAAAGCTTCGAATTCAAAATGCAACAATGGTTGGTGAAGAGAATGGTATATCACCTCTTGAAGATGGTTTTGAAAATGTTTATTTAAAATTGTTTGCAAATAGTACCCGTAGAGCTAAATGGTATGAAAAATTAGGAAAGCAATCATCAATGTTCCCGATTACATTTAAGTCCGTGGTAGCAGGGGGTGGTCCAATCTCAATGTTAAAAGTTCAAATTACACATTTATATAAACTATCATTTAAAGAGACAATCGTTAATGAAGATAATGTGAAAACCGTAATAATGCGTTCAGAGAGTGAAGAGGAGACATATAAGCGTCAGTATGAAAGTAAAGCACAGGAAGCCCGTGAAAAACTATTTTTAAATGCAGCAACAGAGTTGGAAAGAAAACAAAAAGAACAACTAATTCTAAATACTTCAACTCCCAATAATGTTCGTAGTTTGGGTAGAAGAAAGCCAATTACACCACCAGTCAATATTAATCAAAAAATTAAACTTAGTTCAATCAATGGTTTGTCAGAAATTTATGAAGGTGATACCTTATTAAGTTATTTTGAACGTGTAATGGATCAAGAAAGTTTTTTATCATCATTAAATGATGAGCAAAAGTCATTATTAGAAACTGCTAAAATTAAGCAAACTCAAATACTTCAACAACAAATTTCAGATCAAGTTAGCGAAGAAATGAGTACAAACCCAGTTTACAAGAGTAGAGATGTTAAGCCAATTTTATCAATGAAGCTTCAAGATTTATTGTCGAATAGCGAAAATGAAGTGATGTTTTCAATTATCAACCCATCCAATGATTATTTAGAAACTCTAAAGGAATCTATGAAATTAACATTTTATAATACAACACCAAAATACTTTTCATCCACATCATCTTTATCAATAGTTGCAAACAAAGATTTAGTACCAATTCAAAGTACAAATAAATTTTATGCAGTTCCATTAAATTCAACACCAGATACAAATTTAAATGAAAAAAAAAGGGATATTCAAAGATTAGATCAAATTTTAAATAATTTAAATTGTGATAACAGCGAATATGATATAGTTTGTATTGTAATTTATGTAGGCCCAAATAAAATCGAAGAATCACCAATTAAAGATGGTAAAAAAATTCAATGCTCAAGAGAAATTTACGTTACAGATATTTCAGGACACATAGCTAAAATTAATATTGTAAATAATACATTTGTAAATGGTATTTCAAATAGTGAACCATCATCAACATTAAAATCACCGCAATACAAGGATCAAATATATCTCCCATTCAAAACTGGCTTTACAATAGAAAATGAATTGTTATTTGATAAATTACATCCAGGCCATCAAATGACAAACAATGGTAGTATTTCCGAATTTTTAGAACTTTCAAAATTTTTACCAATAAACTATCAACCAAAACAATTACCAATCATCCATCTTTCAAATTTAAAATATAAAGGTATCGATAATCAAAATCAAATCCTCCTATTCAATACAAATGAATTATTTTCGTATACCGTAAAAGCAACCTCAAAAACTTCAGATTTATTTGATAGGCTAAAAACCTATTTATCAAATTCACCTGCATTGTTTAATTTATTCAGTTTTAAAATCAATTTTATTTTATTAAATCAAAATAATAATAATAATAATAATAATAATAATAATAATAATAATAATAATAATAATAATAATAATAATAATAATCATTCTCCACAACTGGCATCTAATAATATTAGTTGTAATGAAGAAGTTTCAAATTCACAAGAATTTGTTTTTGAGTTTGAACCAGGTTTTTTGAAAGATCCTGACTCAAATTAAAACAATAAAAAAAAAGAAGATAAATAAATTTTTATTTTAATATAATTTTTTTTTTAATGTGCACATCTAAATTTATTTATTTATTTTTTTCTAACTTATTAGAATTTATTTTATTGAATCGTGCAGTTTTTTGGTTTATTATTATTATTATTATTATTATCATTTGCTTGAATATTATTTTTGTTTGATACCCGGTCTTCTATTATTAATCCAATTAAATCCATTATGGTTTGACGAATACCAATATTATATTTTGAAGAAATTTCATAAAAATTTAACCCTAATTCTTGTGCAAATGTTTTTCCTTGATCATAGGTCACTTGTCTTTTCTTTTCATCAAAATCAACTTTATCTAACTTTGTTCCAATAATGATCATTGGGATTCCATCATTTATATATCTTTTTGCTTCAATATACCAATTTTTACAATTTAAAAATGAATTTCTATCACATATATCATATGTCAAAATAATTCCATGTGTCCCTCTATATGGAGGGGAATAAATAGTTCTAAATCTTAAATTAGCCTATATATTTTTAAAAATATGTAAATAATAAAGTATTTAAATAAAAAAAAATATGTTACATACATTACCATCCCACAATTGAAGTTTTATACTACAATTATCATTAAATATAATTTTATTAATTCTAAAATCATGGTATGTGGGCGATTTTGAGTGGGTAAAGTTATCTTCTGTCAATCTATCAAGGTAACAGGTTTTTCCACTATTTGTATCACCTAAAATAAATATTTTAAATAAATAATTATAATCTGGTGGTTCCATATAATTAATAAAATTAATATTTTTTTAATTTTTTTTTTTAAAAAATCTAATTTCTAAATTATTTTTTTAAATAATTAAAAAATCTAATTTCGAAATTATTTTTTTCTTAATTTTTTTCATTTTTTTTTAAATAATAATCAATCAATAATATAACATTTAAGAACATTAATTGCAACATTAAAGCATCAACAAAAACGAGATATCAAAAAGTATAAATAAATTTTTAAAAACTTAAAAATTGTAAAAAAAAAAAAAACTATATTGTTTTTATTATTTAAATCTAATTAAACAAATATAAATATACACATTTTGTAAACTATGTGCCAATAATTTAACACATTGATCTACAAGCATAGTATGATTGAGAGTATGGAGTTCTAATAGCACATGGTTGACCTGGACGACTACATTCAGCAACTTTACCACCACCAACAGCCATAACAACATGATTTGGACAATTTGTACCACCGAAACAGTAGAAAAGAAGGTCACCTGGTTTGCAAGCACCTGGGTTTGATGGTGAACAAGCTGGACATCTTACACCTTGATTGATTTGAGTAGTAGTAACTCTGGTAATACCTGACCAACCAGCTTCACGGAATGAAGTGTAAACAATACCACCTTTGATTTAAAAATAGTTTTAAAAATATTAATATTATTATTTTAAAAAATTTATCTTTTTTTTTATATTATTTTTATAATGAAACTTACTGCAATCCATACCACCGCTACCACCACAACCACATGATGTACCACCCCAAACGTATGGGCAACCACATGAAGCATAACGTTTAGCTTTGTTAGCTGCGGCATTACAGATAGCTTGTGATGGTAAAGTTAAATTGAAAAATTGGCCTTCTAAGGTTTCAATTTGGTCATATAAATCGAAATCTTCTTCTTCAAAAGCAAAAGCTGATGAAATTAATAAAATTAAAGAAACAAATAATAAAAATTTTTTCATTTTTTAAAATATGGAATAAAAATGGAATAAAAAATAAAATTTATATAAAAGAGATAATTATATAATAAAATTTATAAAAAAAGATAATAATTTAATAAAATTTTAAAAACTATTTATATTTTATAAAAAAAATTATTTTCAACAAAACAAAAAAAAATAAAAAATAAAAATAAATGTTTTGCATACCAGAATTGTCAAAGCTTGTTTTTTTTTATTTTATTTTATTTTCATTAAAACCAAAGATTGAGCTGGTTTTGAAAATGTCCAAATTTCCCATTACCAGAGAATTTATAGTTTTTTTTTAAAAAACTATAATTTTTAAAAAATAGTTTTTTTTTTTTTTAATTTTTTAAATTTTTAAATTTTTATTATTTTTTTATTTCATTATTTTATTTCTGGTATTAATCTTATTTGATATTGTTTTGATTGGGATATTTATTTATTCAGATTATTTTTTTTATTATTTTATATTATTTTTTTATTTTCTTACTTTTTTTTCTTTTCTTTTTATAAATTTTATCAAGATTTTTCAATCATTATAAAATATTTTATCTGATCCACCTTAATCCCAGTAAAATGATTCTTTTTTTTTATTATTATTTTTTTTATAGATAACTAATATTATTTGTTTTATAAAATATTATTTTATTGATAGTTTACGTATATTTATCTATAAAAAAGAGATTTAAAAATTAATCACACATTCATTATTGTACAACCTGTTTATAATAAAAAATATAAAAATATAAAAATATAAAAAAGTGGGTGTGGGTGTTTTTTTTTTTATTTTTGAAATTTGATATAATGCATTATTCAAAATAATATTTTTTTTTTTTATTTTTTATTTATTTTAAAAAAAAAAAAATTATAAATTCAGATAAATAATCACTTAAAAAAAAGTATAAATAAAAAATTAATTTTTTTTATTACTATATAAATTAAAACCATATACAATTTAAATAAAATTATATAAATATAAATATAAATTTATAATATACTAAAAATCAAATCAAATATATAATATAAAAGAATGACATCAAATAAAATAAATAAAGAAACTTTTTGTTTAATTGAACATATTAATAAATTAGTTTTAGATAAAATTAAAGGTATATCCATAAATAATAATCATATTATAATTGATTTTTTTATTAATATATATTTTAATTATTACATTTAGAACAAAACCAAAAATCAAATAACCAAGTAGTTAAAAGCAAAAATCAAATATATGATCCAACTGCATTGTCACCATTTGCATTTTATCTAACCAAAGAGTTAACAGAAATAAAAGGAAATAGAGGAGAGCCAAAAACATTAGAGCAATTTGATAATCTTACCCTCGAAATGATTTTATCATGTGCTCCACGTTTAAGACCATCAAAGAATATTATTAAATTATTATAGATTCAACTCTAAAAAGCATTTATATAAATCAACCTAATTATTAATATTTGTTTTTTTCAAGATTATTGATAATATTAATAATTGTATTATAAAAAAAACCTTAACAAGTTTTATTAAAATAAAAATTAAAACAATTGAAAGAATCTCTAGATATTTCAATTATTATAAAGTGTACAATATAAATAAATAATATTTTTTTTTTTTTTATATATTATATTTTTTTTATTTCTTTTATTTATAAAAATTTTTTATTAACCACCCAGTTTCTTTAATTCAATAGCATGGGAGAGCAATTAACTTACTATATCAAAGAATGAAGATCAACAGCTAATCTTTAAGTGATTCATCAGTTGCAAATAAATAATCGTATAAAACCTTTTTTAAATTGTAAATAAATTATACAGGTAACATGTCTAGAATAAATTGGTAACTCTGAATTTAAAACTGAACTTTTAATTTAATATGGAATCATTCAAAAAATAATTTTAATTTAAAACAACTATTTGTATATTAAGATTTATGCAATTGTTTTTTGTAAATGATATTAAAGAATTTATTACTAAAGAATTAAAAATATATAATACCATATTTCAATCTATTTGATGGAAGAAATACATTTTCCCTGGCCAGGCAAATATATTGGAACATCAAATGATTTTAATATTAGGATATTGAAACATCATTTAATTTTTAAATTTTTAAATTTTTAAATTTTTTTAGTAAAAACAAAATTTATCTCAACACCACAAATTTTCAATAATTCTTTTTAAGAGGTTTCATCATTAGACATTGATGAATACTGATCATTGGTTCATCTTTACAGTTCTAGAAAATGATTGAGCCCAAGAGTGCTCATAACCAAGACCAACACCTACTTTTAAAGTTCCAACGTTCCCAAAAAAATTGAAAGTATTAGAGTTATAGAAAGAATATTTAACAATGTTTTCATTATTAATTGTTTTAGGAGAAACAAGGAGAACCACGGGAAAGCTTTTATTATTGAACACTAATATTGGATATAATAATTTGTTAAAAACCAACTAGTTACTAATCCTCCTACTTTTTACATATATAACATGAACATCAATAACTTTTATTAAAAATTAAAAAAATTAAAAGAAACAAAAAAATAAAATAAAAAAAAAAAAATTGAAATTTTTCAAAAATTATTTTTTTTATTTTTTTAAATTAAAAAAATGAACAATAACAATAAATTAAAAAAAGAAAAAACTTTAATATTTATAAGGATATTAATTTATGGATTATTATTATTTTTAATTTCTCTATGTGTTTATTCAAATTCATTAGAAGGCGAGTTTTGTTTCGATGATCAGTTTGCAATTGTCGGTAATAAAGATGTAATCGGGTATGATAATATAAACGACGATGGTCAAACCAAGACAAATGTTCCAAATACAATCGAGTCTTTAAATCACTTTGATACCGATGACAATGGTGATGGAAACAGTGATCAGGGAGTATCAGTTTCAAAACAGATTTTAGTTTATTTTAAAAAGATGTTAATGCACGATTTTTGGGGCCAAGATATCACAAAATCAGATTCACATAAATCCTACAGACCTTTTACGACACTATCGTTCAAATTAAACTTTTTATCGTCGGGTTTGGATGCGTATGCGTTCCACTTTACCAATGTATTCATACACTCTATAGTTTCAATTTATATATTCTTTTTGGCATTGCTTGTATTTGTTCCAACATTCAGCGAGAAGAACAGCAGGGCTTTGGAGTTGCTAAAAGATACTCAACAGAAATCAATGTTGTATTACTTACTATCAGTATTAGGTGTCGACGAGTTTTGTTGCTTTTTATCAGCATTGCTATTCGCATTGCATCCAATTCACACAGAAGCGGTTTCTGGTATCGTTGGAAGAGCCGAGTTGCTTAGTACAATGTTTCTAGTATTATCCTTATTGGCCTACTTTAAATGCTATAGCCCAAGAACGAATAGAACCAATTGGAAATTCTTTATACTCTCTTTGGTTTTCCTATTACTATCAACTCTTTCAAAAGAAACTGGTTTCACATTGGTTTTAATTTTGCCCATTACAGATATCCTATTAATTCAGTATCCATACAATAAGGTTTACTTTACCAACAAAGAAGATATAAATAATAGAACCAGATACAGATTACCACCAATTTTGCCACAAAACAAAAGACAATGGATTTCATTATTGGAAAGAGTGTTCTTTATTGGTCTTTTTGCTTGTGCATTCCTTTACTTTAGAAAAATAATTACTGTAGATATGATACTAGACAACTTTAGAAACTTGGAAAATCCAATAGCCAGAGAATCTGATATATCAGTACGTTTCTTATCTTTGGCAAATCTTCATGCAAGATATTTATGGCTCTTAATATTCCCAAATCAATTATCGGCTGACTGGAGTTTCAATTGTATCCCATTGATTAAATCAGTATTTGACCCAATCAATTTATTATCAGTTTTAGCTTATTCATCAGTATTTATTTTGGTTTTAGTATGTCTGAAAAAGATCCAATTCTTTTTTGCTATAAAACAATTATTATTATTCATATTTTCAAAAAAAAGGAATAACAAAAACCAACAAAAGAACTATAACGATGATGATGATGAAAAAGTGGATCAAGATAGTACCACTGATAAAGATAAAGCCTGTAGACCAGAATACTACCATTCAATTCTATGGTGTCTATTATTTGGTTTAATTTCATTCCTACCATCGAGTAATATATTCTTTTATGTCGGTACAGCCATTGGAGAGCGTCTGTTGTATATTCCATCCATTGCATTTTGTTTATTACTATCAAGATTCTTAACTCTACCATTGATTTATTTATCAGATTATCAAATTAATAATATTAAAGAGCAAACCAAAGAAAATAAAAACAACAAATCAACTATTAAACCACAATCAACACAATCAACTTTAACAACCAAAAAAAGAACAACCACAATTACACCAACAACCACATCCACACCAACATCAAATATTACAACCACACCAAATGATACTTTAACAAATATCGAATATAATGATACATTTAAAATTAAAAAACTAAAAGGTTATAATAATTATTTGTTGTTATTAATTATAATAGTTTTAATAATATCATCACTTTATTCAGTTAAAACATGGTTTAGAAATGAAGAGTGGAAGAATGAAGAGTCATTGTTTATGAGTGCATTATCAGTTTGCCCAAATAGCGCCAAGGTTCATTATAATGTCGGTATTTTATATAGACGTACCAAGCAATGGGACAAGTCATTAGAGCATTTTGAGAGAGCCAAAGAAATATTACCAGAATATTGCGATGTAGACTATTTCTATGCATTGACATTGATTAACAAATATGGCGATTATGAAAAAGCAAGACCCTATTTAATGAAATCAATGGGTTGTCGTTACTCACAAGCTAAAGCATTAGAAGCAATCAACGAAATTATGAACTTTATGATGCAAAGCAACTCAAATAATCCAAAACTCTATTCAGATTGGGGATTTTATGAACAAGATCTTCAACCAGTCAGCTCCGCTACACATTACCATAAAGCCGGTTTACTCTATAATGAAATGGGTCAAAAAGAAAAAGCAATCGAGCATTTTAACTTGGCACTCAAGAATCTAGCTAAAGTGAACGACTCAATGTTAAATCCATTAAAAATCGAACAAGAGAAACATATATTAAACGAAATATATTGTCAAGCTAACATTTGGTTATCAGCAGTATATTTTGAAACCGATCATCCATCAAAATCAATCGATAGTTTAGAGTTGGTTTACCAATATTGTAAAGATTTCAAGAGAATTTGGGATGAAGGTTTATTATCTTTGGTAAATTTAAAAATGTTAAAAATCAAAGATGACCCTACCAATACCGTTCCATCATTAGAGGAAATTTATAAACTTCACGAGCAAATGTCACATATTAATGACGAAACTTATCAAGATGGTTCACTCCAATTATTAACTTCGTATGGTAGAACTTATGAAAATATAGATTCTCAAAAAGCAATTCAATTATACCAAAAATTATTAAAAGTTCAACCAAACACCTCATCATATTACCATCAATTAGCTTTACTACGTTTAACCATCATAAATAGAAATTTGGCTAAAGATTTTACTTTTTATTTTAATCAATTAAACTATGATTTAATTCAAGATGATCAACTAAAGTAAGTTATAATACTAAATTTTTTAGAGTGTAATTTTAATATTAATTTTTTTTTTTTTCTCTACTCTTAGAAAACTTTATAGGGATATCAAAAAATCAATCAATTAGTAATACTATTTTAACATCCAGAACTAATATTACATTAAATCAATAAAAAAATAAAAAATATTTTAAAATAAAAATAAAAAATATTATTCATTTTCTTTTCCATATTTTTTTATTTTATATAAAAAAAACTCTTAAAGTTTTTAATAATGGGCCCAATATAAACTCATTCTTGGTTTTATACAAATGGGTTTAGAAAAAATAAATTAAAATGATTTGTTAATGTATTTTTTTATTTTGATAAAATTTAGAAATTTCAATAAATAAACTATTTCTTAAAATGGGATATCTCAAACTACCCTTTACAAATTGGTGAAGGTTAAAAAATGTATGTGAAGAGAAAAATTATTTAAAAAAAAAAAATAAAAAAAAAAATAAAATTATTATAAAACTATTTTATTAAAATATCTGTTGTCGGCGGGTGTGTTTTTTTTTTTTTATTATTTTATGTAAAAACTAAAACACACATAAATTTTTCAAACAAGAAATTTAGTTATATGGCAGTTTCATATAATCTAAACAAAAATATACCACGTAACCCCCCAAAAAAAAAAAACTCTATATTAATTTTTTTTCATCATAAAAACAGAGTAGAAAAGTTTTTGTTAATTTGAAATTTATATGCAGAGAAAAAGTGAACTTTAGGTGTAAAATAAACAATCCTCCCCCAATAATAATTTAAATATTATAATAAAAACTGATATATAAGTTTGTTTTTATTTTTTTATAATTTTTTTTATAATTATTTTTTTTTATTAAATTTTATGGAAAAAAAAATATAAATAAGTAAATTTTTTTTTTTTATTATTACTTTGTATTTATTGTATACATCTAAATTTCAATTTTAAAATGAAACTTTCATTTTTATTTATTTCATCATTAGTTTTATTATTTTTAGTTAGTGGCTCTTTATCAGAAAAGCCAATAAAGCCAGTTGATTGTACAACAGTACGTTGTGCTATGCCAACCTGCCCAGCCTACCAAGTACCTGTTAAACCAGAAAATTCATGTTGCTATATTTGCTCTGGTAAACCTTGCGAAAACATCATGTGCCCAGCTGTTGTTAAACCATGTAGGGAAAATGAACAACCAACTGGTTGTTGTCCATGTACACCTGAAGCTACCTTAGATCCATGTGCTGATATTATGTGCCCAGCTGTTGTTAAACCATGTAGGGAAAATGAACAACCAACTGGTTGCTGTCCATGTACCCCATCAGCTGATCCATGTGCCGATATTTTGTGTCCAGCTGTCGTAAGATACTGTAAAGCTGATGAATTGCCAACAGGCTGTTGTCCATGTACTCCAAGAGAAATTGGATGTGCTGGTGTTATGTGCACTATGGAAATTAGATATTGTGAAGAAGGTGAAAATCCAGACTACTCTTGTTGCCCATGTACACCAAATCCAAATATTTAAATAAAATACTGCAATATTTTCCATATTGTTTTGACTGTTAAAAAAAGATCTCATTTATTTTCATATTATAAATTGATTAAAAAAATTAAAAGAGATAAATCTAAATATATAAAAAATAACGTATTCATCCTTTAAAAAGTAGGTTAAATTAAATTGCAAAGAAAATATAGAGAATTTGCACAATAATTAATAGTTTTGACCATACTATGTCAAAACAATATAGTAAAAATTGTAATATTACCACCATACATACACTTACAAAACCACACCCACTCACTCACATTATTATTGTTGTTGTCTAGGTTGTTGTGTAATTTTTTACACAATAATAATAAAAATTAAATTGTATACTATTATCCATCAAATTAAAATTATTAAAATTTTTGTTATTGAAGTTGCTGTGTAAAAAATTACACAATAATAATAAAAACTAAACTGTGTACTATTATTTGAATAGATAGATGCTAGAAGTAAATAGATAAAATAAAATGAGATTAAATCTTTGAGGTGTCATTTTGTTACTAACACCAGTTCAACAAATAGTATCAACAAAACATTTATCATTCATTTATGAAGAAATATAATTATATATAAATTTAAGTTTTTTTTTTCTTACAATTAAATTACTACAGAAATTTTATATTTTTCATCTATTTAAAATAAATTTTATTATTGTTATTAAAAACCTATTTATAAAATTTAAAATTATTAATCAGGATCATTTTTCTATTATTATAGTTTTTTGTGCGATTACGAATTAATTTCTCTATTTTGTTTTATCATTTCTAAATAACATTATAAAAGATATCTTGAGCAATCCTTAACTTTTTAACATTTTATAACCCAATGCTAAAAATAAATTTTATTATTAACACAATTATAATAATTATTATTATTATTATTAATTTTATTTTAATTTGTTTTATTATAATTACTTTTTTTCAAATATATTTCTTGTTTTATTAATCAAAAAATGCAATCAAAAAATGGTGCATGCTTTAACAAAATATTGACAAATAAAAATAAATAAATTAAACACAGAAAGACATTGACACCACTCCGTTTTCATTGTGAAAGTATGAAAATGACCCCATATCACATCGCTTTTAGAAGATATTTACTTCAAAAAAAAAAATTTAAAATAACTTTTAAAAAAAAATTAAAAAAAAATAAAAAAAAAAAAATAATTAAAAAATTTTAATTTTTTTATTTAAATATTTATTTTTAAAATTTTAGTTAATTTAAAAGGAATACAAATAAATAATACATACACATTTATTATTGTATATTTATCTTTAAAATGATCTCCCCACAAAAACCAACCAGTAAAATAGAATTAAGATTCTCCTGTAAAAAATTAAAAGATTTAGATGGTATGTAAATTCATTTAAATATAATAGCTTCATAATAATAATAAGAATAATAATAGTAATAATAACAATAGTTATAATAATATTCAAAAGTTTTTTAAACTATTACTAATATAAACTCTTAATTTAAAAATACAGTTCTTAGTAAATCAGACCCAAGAGTATCTGTATTCTTAAAGGATATAAATACTGGCCATTATAATATTGTTGGCAAAACTGAAACTATTCAAAATAACTTAAATCCAATTTTTCAAACTCCAGTAGCTGTTGGTATGTATATTAATGATGAAAATTAATTTTAAAACAACGATGATAATTTTTACTAAACAAATATCATTTTATAGATTTTCGTTTTGAAGAAGTTCAACATCTTAGAATTGATGTACATGATGTAGATAAAAATGATGAAGATTTCATCGGTAGCGTTGTAAGTATTCTATAGTACACTTGTACAATATTATCTATATCTCAATTGATATTAATATTTAACTTTATCGATAGAGTTGTACTTTAACATCAATTTTATCGAAACCAGGTCAAACATCAACTATGGAGTTAAAAACTAAAGACGGTAAAAAGGCTGGAACAATTACTGTTGTTTCTGAAGAAATTAAAAACTCATTACAAACTATCAAATTCACATTAGTTGGTACCAAGTTTGATAAAAAAGATTTAATTGGTAAATTTTATAAAATATCACTCTTTGATATAACCCCAATACTAATATATTTATTATTTAATAGGTAAATCTGATCCATTCTTTATTCTTTCAAAAAGATCACCCAATGGAGAGTTTGTTAAAATTTATGAATCTCCAGTTCAAAAGAATGTAAGTAATTTTCACATATAACAAAATCAATATATTATATTTAATAAACTAACATAAAAAATCTAGACATTAAACCCAGTGTTCTCTAATTTCAGTATGAAGCTCGATGAATTTTGTAACAGTGATTTAGATAGAGAAATGAAATTCGAATTTTATGATTGGGATAGATTTGGTAAAAATGATGTTATTGGCGAATATATTGTAGGTTTAATATTCAAGAATTTTTCAATTATCATATATTAATAATCATTTTTATAATTATAGACTACTACAAACGAATTATTAAAACCAAATCAAACATATAATGTAATTAACCACCATAAAAAACAGAAAAAGAGCGATTATAAAAACAGTGGTACCGTTCAAGTTACCGATTGCATCATTGAAAGAGAATATCAATTCTTAGAATATATTATAGGTGGATGTCAAATGAACCTAATCGTTGGTATCGATTGTACTGCCTCCAATGGTGATCCAAATTTAAATACAAGTTTACATTATGTAAGTTTTATAATAAAACAGGTTTTATTTTAGGATAATAGGACATCAAACAATATTCAAATATAATTAAAGATTTATAAACTAATATTTAGCAAACTATAATCTAGAAACATCCAACCATTCCAAATCAATATGCAAATGCAATCGTATCCATTGGAAATGTTTTAATGCCATATAGTTCATCACCATTAGTCCCAACATATGGTTTCGGTGGTATTATCCCAGGCCAAAACCAAGTTTCACATTGTTTCCCAATGTCATTAGATCCAGCCAACTATTTATGTAATGGGGTTGGCGGTATTTTGGATTGCTATTATCAAAATATCAATAAAGTTCAATTACATGGCCCAACTTACTTTGCACCATTGATCAATATGGCAGCTAGATATGCATCACAAGGCCAATCTCAAAGCAATCAAAAATATACAATCTTATTGGTAAGTACCTACTCTTTTCATTTATATCGACAAATTATATAATATACTAATATTTACTTTTTAAAAGATTATTACTGATGGTGAAATTCTTGATGCTGAAAACACAATTGATGCAATTGTTAAAGCATCACATCTTCCACTTTCAATTATCATTGTCGGTGTTGGAAATGCTGACTTTACCAATATGAATATTTTGGATGGTGATGATGCAGTTCTTCAAAGCGGTGGTGTAAAAGCAGAAAGAGATATTGTACAATTTGTCCCAATGAGAGATTTTAATGGTAAACCTTTCGAGCTTTTAGCCTCTGAAGTTTTACGTGAAGTACCAACTCAATTCCTTTCATTTGCAAAGAAATATAAATTTAGACCAAACCCACCACCACAACAACCAACTCCATCACCACAACCAACCCCATCGCCACAACAACCAACTCCATCATCAAACCCACCACCACAACAATCACCTCAAACATCCTCACCACCAACAACTGCAGTAAATCTTAACAAATATTAATGTAAAAATAATAATTTATTCCAACTCCGCTTTTTTTTTTTTTTTTTATATTAAAAAAATAATAATATTGTAATAAAAGTATTAAAAACCATTATTTCAGAAAAAATAATATTTGATTATATAAAATTTATTTAATAATTAAAAAAAAATTTTATTTTATAAATTTATATACAGTTTAAATAAAAATTACTTTATCTTATTATTATAGTATTTGGCGATATTATACCTTCCTTAATAACTTGATTAAAATATTTTCCAAATCGAATAACCTTTAACCCCTGTGGAATTGAATTATGCTCTAATGGCTGATTGAAGTAACGACCAAAAGAGAGAGATTCTAATGAACTAGGAAGAGCACCAGGTAATATAGGTTGATTAAACTCATCGGAGAATGAGAGAGAGCGAACTGTTAAAGGTATTGCTCCAGGCTCTAATGGCTGATTAAAATCTTTACCAAATGATAGTGTATGTACTTTTGGGATAGAGCCAGCAGGTTTGAATGATCTACCAAACTTTAATTTCTTATTTTGTTTACGGTCATGACGGTGCTCATTTTCTATTATTCCACCATCTAAATTTATAATCTGTGTAAAATATTTATCGATTGCAAATTCTATTACTGATTGTGCCAAACATGAGTCAATAGGTTTTAAAGGTTGATTAAAGCTTCTTCCAAACACAATGGTGGTAATAGTATTGGGTATTGATCCTGCAGGTGCAATACTCTGATTAAATTCGTCACCAAATATAATTGTAGTTACATTTTCTGGAATTAATCCGATAGTTGTTATTGGTTCATTACAGTTGTATCTAATCTTTGAAATATATAATCTATATGGATTACTATTACTATTTATAAAAATTAACTCTTTTAAACTATTAACTTCTACAGTATCATATTTTTTGTATAACTCTAGATGTTTCTCTATCTGTCTTTTTAAATATCTTTGTCTCCAAATTTTGAAAAATAAAACAGAATTATCTTTTTCGTTATTATTATAGATCATTTATTTTGTATACAAAAAGAAAAATATATTAAATTGAAATAAAAATAAAAATTATTAAATAAACTAATAAATAAATTAATAAATAATAAATATTAAATAATAAATAAATAAATAAATAAATAAATAAAAAAAAAAAACAATTGTTTTATTTAAAATTAAAAATTTGATGACATAAAAATTTTTTTTTTTTTTAAAAATTGTGTTGTGTGATTTTTTTTTTAATTTGATTTCTTTTGACACTAAATGTAAAAAATTATTAACTTTTTACAAAAAAAAAAAAAAACGAAAAAAGATTGGGAGTTATAATTTTATTTTTTTTTTTTTATTTTTTTTTTTATTTTTTGTTTTCTGATTTGCAGTTATGAGCATTTTTGAAAAAGTTATTTTTAATTTTTTCCCTATCCACATAGTAATTTTATTTTTATATAGTTTTTTTTCTTTTTTATTTTTTTATTTAGAAATAAATTACCCATTATAGATATTTATAGAAACATTAGTTCTATTTGATTAATGTGAATAAATAGTCTATTTTTGTTCATATATCATTTCATTGTGAATTTTATGTTGTTATCACCATCTATTGTCAACGATCACACAATAAAACAATCCAAACATATCGACTTTTAGTTGTATATTTTAAATAATACATAATTAATAATTTAAAAAAATAAAAATAATAAATAAAATATTAAAAAAGAAAATTTACAAAAATTCTTAAATTCTTGTTTAAAATAAATTATATATGCAATATTAGAACTTACATAATGTAACAAATCCAATAAATACAAATTGTTTCATACAAAAAAAATCTATTTTATTGTTAATTTCCTATTTTATTTTTTAATTTATTATTTATTATATATACATTGATTAAGAGGAAGAAAAATAAAAATAAAATCTAAATACATACACATAAAAAATTAACCCCAAAGAAAAAAAAAATAAAAAAAATAATTTAAAAAAAATAAAATTTAATTAATTAAATCTATGATACATTCTCTATAATTTTAGCCATATATGGGGTGTTATCAAAAAATATTTTTATTCAAGCATGGGTACCCCCAAAATATAATTCATTTTATTTTGTATGAGTGTGTGAGTAAATATATGGATTTTGGGTTAATTTTGTATTAATTGTTTTTTCTTTTTTAAAATATTAATAGAATTATGATATACTCTTATTTTATTTATTATTAATTTTCCTTTTGAAGAAATGGTTTCTTTTAAATTTTATTAATTAAATCTCAAAAAAATAATTAGAGAAAAAAAATTGTAGATAAATCCCTTGCTTGGAAATAAGAAAAAAATTTCTTTAAAAGGGATTACAAGAATGAGTAAAATATACTTATGTACATAAACACTGAATATATTATATATAAAAGTTTAATTAAAATATATATCTTTATATATATTTGTGCATGTTTATATATCTATTAATTTATTTTAAAAAAATAGTATTATTTTATTAATATTATTATTATTTATTATTTTCTTTTTTTTTTTTAAAAATTGTTATAAATAATTTAATTTTTTTTAATTTTTTATTTTCAATATCATATCATCATCATATTTTTAACTTTTAAAATAAGATACAATTTTCAAGAAAATGTTCAAATATTTTTTATTTTTCATCTTATTAATCTTATTAATTTCAATAATTGTAATTCATCACATTAATAATACTCTCTATTTTTAATAATAAAAATACTAATTTTCTTTTTTTTAATTTTTTTTTCATACAGAGTGCAACCAACGAAATTAATGAAGTTGACAAAAGTAAAGGTGGAAATGGTCAAACTGTAAACGAAAAGACTGGTGACAATATTGAGAATGCTATTATTGGAAGTATTACTGGTATACTTGGTGGTTTAATTTTCTCAAATTAAATAATTATAATAATTATTATACTTATTTTAATTAATTATTTTTAATTATTTCTTTTTATTTATTATATAAATATTAATTTTTTAAATAAAAAAATAAATGTTAAGCTAGTTTCTAAAATTTTATCTTAAAAAAAAAGCGCAAAGTGTGTAAATTATTTATTATTTATCTAAAAGTTTCTTAATTTTGTACTTTTTAAAGAAGAGTTTGATTTTTTTGATAGTATAAAAAGTCTGATTGGGTATCTATATTTTCTGTAAATTACAATTGATGCAAAAATTAGAGCAATAACAAATACACATGGAACAACTACTGCTACAGGAATGACCCAGTTTTTCGATTTGTCTCCATTACAGCTTGATTTGAAATCTGATGTTACCAATACAGAAAAATCTAAGTTTAAAAAAAATAAATATTAATATTTTTTTATATGTGCATATATTTTTATGTTTTAATACATACCAGGATCAATATAACATTCATCTGTGCAATGTGGTAAATTTAAACCTACAACGATTGTTGAAGAGTTTGAAAGTTCTGTTACTACTTCACTCGACATGAATGTATTTCTAGTATCTGATACTACTTTATTAATAAATCTACCAGAAAGCTGTTTGTTATTTTTGGTTATACTGATATAGTTCAAAGTTTGATTTGGGTCAATATTGGAAACATCTATTGTTGATTCTTTTTGGTTACATTGATTGTTTTGATTGGGTTGTGGTGTTGTTGATTCACTTGAGGCTGATAAAAATCTTAATTGTAATGTATTTAATGCATTTTGGAATTGATATTTCGAAATGTTTACAGATACTTTAAGACCACCTTCATTAATATCTAATTTTAATCCTGCAAATTCATATTGTCTTGTTTTTTTAATTTCTTCAATAGTATAGGTTACTAAACAAATATCTTGGCCTTCTGCGTATTGTTCATTGTCAATGGTTTGTGAGAATTGATAAATATTTTGTTCGGTGGTAATATTCCATTTCTTTTGTAATAGATTGTTTTTGACTTTTTTACCATAGATATCGATCTCCACTAATGAAATAATTGAAATTTCATAATTGGTATCTTGATTACTAATAGTTGCTAAACCTTTATCAATATCGATAGCTGTAGTTGACTGTGGAATCTCTTTAACTGGTTCTGTTGTGTTTGATGGTTGTTGTTGCTGGGCTGGTAATGAACAATCGAAACCAGAAAATTCTTTAGTGCAAATACATTGACCACTGGTGGTATCGCATGCACCTTTAGATTAGTGCAATTATTTGGACATTTCATAACTGGGTTATAATATTGAAATTTATTTTTGCCAAAGAAGCTACTACCATTTTGAGTAACATTAACACTCTTAGTTCCTTCACCACCTCCTAATGTGCATATAAGAATTGTTTCTGTTTCAATAATATCGGTACAAGATAGGTCACCAACTGAAATTGTTAAATTTTGGTGAATTGACCCAAACCATCCATATATTGTAACCTGACCACCTGAAACTGGGCAAGGTTCGATTGAGCTAATATAATGAACGGGAATTGTACATTCGTTACCTCTCCAATTCGCTTTACAACGGCATTCACCACGTGTATTGTCACAAGTACCTCCGTTTTGGCACTCAACCTTGCATTGTATACCACTACAGTCATGACCGACTCTTCCTGGATTGCATGTGCAAACACCAGTTGAATAGTTACAGGTTCCATTACCATTTGAACAATCATTGGGGCATTGTATACCACTACAATCATCTAAGGTTTTTCCGGGGAAGCATTGGCAAATACCATTTACACAGTTTCCTGAATTTGTGCAATTATTGATACAATTTTTTATGCTACAATCATTTCCGCTGAAATAGGGCTTACAAATACAACTACCAGAACTAGTATCGCAAGTACCTTGAAGTGGATTGGTACAATCATTTGGGCATTTAAGTAAAACTTTAGAGCAATCATCTCCTTCTATACCTGGAAAACAGGTGCATACACCGGTGGAGTTGTTACACAAACCATTTCCATTACATGGTGCGGCAGTTAATGAAGGGCATTGAAAATATGGATCTTTACAAAAATACCCTTGGTGTTTTGAGTCACAAACGCAAGAATCTGATGTAGCATTATAAGTACCAAAGTTACAATTCAATTGGCAGTTTGGATTTAGAGTATTTGGTTGACATATACACTGACCTAAGCTTGAATAGCAGATACCTCTTCCATTACAATCGTTGGGACATTGAAAAATAGTGGATGTTTTATCATTTGGATAATCAAAATCAACAGTGATTTGACTGGTATAGTTCTTGTAGAGATCCATTACAGTAATATAGGTGATCATGTTTGTAGCATATAAGGACTTTGGCATATTAACTAATTCGCAAATAACACTATTATAAGTTGAACTTTTAACTACACAGTCATACTGGTTTATTGTGATTACAATCTTTGATTTATCATAGGTGAAATCTTGACCAGTAAATTGAACTGTTCCAGTACTATAGGCAGTTACAGTGTTAACAAGTGGTTTGGTTCTAATGGTTCTAAGGGTGAAACTCTGGTTTGGTATATTGAATTTAATATTGAACAATTTATCTAATGTTCCCATATATTGAGAATAATCTGCAATAAATAATTCTGATGGAATTTGAATGAACCAAACTAGAGGTGGGGTGGTTGTTATTGAATTTGAATCAAAACCAAGATTTGAACCCTCTAAATAAATCTTTTTAGTTTCTGAATCGACTCTTAAATTTGGAATAATTTTATCCTCACATTTACCAATTTGGTCATAATTTGAAAATTGATTATTCTCGAAATAATTTTCAAAGTTGTTTTTCATGTAGCATAAGAAACAATCAGGTATGGCTCTAAATAGTTTTTATTAGTAAAATATATTTAATAAAGTTATATATATTTGATTTAATAACTTACCCAGATAGCTTATTGTTTGATAAATTAACCAATTTAGCTTTACAATATGATAGTGGAACTGAACCTGAAAGATTATTATTGGATAAATCTAAAAATAAATTCATACCCGGAGTTAATGTATATTCTGGTAAAAAAGAGTTGGTGATGGTATTTTTTCTTAGTTCTACACTTTTAACATTTCTTAATACATCAAATACATATTCTAAACCACCAAATGATGAACTATCTAAAAGGAATGAACTAAGTGTTTCTGGAACTTTAGAAAATTGGAACTCTGAGTTATAAAATTTTTTTGTTGAAGAAATTTGTAATATTTCTAAATTTGGATAATTTAATGACATATCAATTTTATTTGGATTTGTTTCAATGCATAAACCTATATTTAATTGTTTAGTTTTCATTTCGACTTTACCTTGAATATCTGTTAATGGGATACATGTACCTAAATCCTTTGAAGAGATATCACTAATTTATTTTATATAAATTAATTTATATTTTACCAACACTTGTTTATAATTTTATATAACTTACATTAAGTCAGATACATTATAATAGGTATCAAAATTGCTCCATGTAAATTGTGACTGCAAACGAATAGAAATTATAGAAGCATAAAAATTATGTAATGATGGAAGTGATTTTGAAAAAATATTGCTGTGGTTAAAAAAAAAAAAAAAGTAAATAAATTTATATATATTTATATATATATAATTGGCATACATACAAGCTCTTTGGAAAAGTATTTAAAACTGTTTGTGGTGTAAATGTTACAACTTGTTGACCAACAGCCGATACATCAAGTAAATTTCTGGAGTTTTTATAAAAAAACATTTTTGTTAATTCACAATTCCATACATTAAGAATTATAAAGTATTACTTACAAATTGTGAACATTTGAAAAAATATCAAGTGATATTTGATTGCTTTCGAGACCTGGTTGGTATATATCCAAAGTTTTGATAGTTAGATCCCTAATATTACTTGCTATATTATTTAGACGGTAAGATTTTGGATAAAAAATTTTAATTTGCATAATTTGATTGTAATAATCATTATTTGAAAGAAAATCATCAGCAAGAGTAAAATTATTTAAGGTCCTAGAATTATAAATAAAAAGTAAGTACTATTATAATTATAATTTGCACATATGACAATATAAATAGTAATAATAATAATAATAATAATAATAATAATAATAATAATAATAAAAGTTACATTTGAGATAGTTTATTAAAACATTGAATTAAATTACCATTAACTATATTATTGAAACCATTTAATTGATCAATGTTAATTTCTATAATCTCTGAACTACCATTGCATAGAAAACCTTCAATATTGCATACATCTGATTCTTGTGGAATTACTGGTATTGTTCTCCCAGTCGCTGAATAAAAATTATAAAAACAATCTAATTGTGTGGATTCACATTTAATTAAAAAAAATGAAAAAAAAAATAAAAAAATTATTAGTTTCATATTTTATTTTTTATTTTTTAAAAAATAAAAAAATGGGTATAAAATTGTATGAGACACAAATAATTATTATTATAATATATATTTTTAATAATTATTTATGGAGCGGTTTTGAAAATAATTGGGTTATCGAAAAAAAAAAAATTAATTTTCTTGAAAATATCCGTAAAATTTTTTAAAAAAAAAAAAAAATTGTTTTATTTTTAAAATTTAATATAAAAATAAGCTATATTTTAATATTGAGGTCTTTGTTGGTTGTATTGTTGTTGTTGTTGCTGTTGTTGCTGCTGTTGTTGTTGATGTTTTGGATTAAATCTTGAGGGTGGAGGAACTATATTTGGATTTTGGTTAAATTGTTGGTGTTGTGGATTGAATTGTTGATTTTGGTTAAATGGTTGATGCTGTTGATTAAATTGTTGATTTTGTGGATTAAATTGTTGGTTTTGTTGGTTAAATTGTTGGTTCTGATTTTGGTTTTGATTGAAATTTTGTGGATTTTGTGGATTTTGTGGATTTTGTTGATTTTGTTGATTTTGTTGATTTTGTGGATTAAATGGTTGTTGATTAAAATTTTGTTGATTAAATTGAGGAGGTTTTTGTTGATAATGTTGTTGTTGGTTAAATTGTGGGGGTAATTGGTTAAATTGTTGCTGTTGTTTAAATTGAGGATTGCCCATTTGTTGATTTGGATTAAATTGCTTTTGGTTAAATTGTTTTTGTTGTTGATTTGGATTAAATTGTTTTTGTTGTTGTGGGTTATAGTGGTGTTGTTGATTTGGATTAAATTGTTTGTGTTGGGGTGGGTGTGGTTGTTGTGGTATTGATTGTTGTGGTTGTTGTTGTGGTGGTTGTGGTTGTTGTGTTTGCTGTTGCTGTTGAGAAATATAGTTCGGTGGATGTGGTATTGGTTGTTGTTGTGTTGTTGGTGGATTATTTGGTAATGATGGTTGTTGTGGAGTGGGTATTAATGATGAGTTTGGTACAGTAATATTTGAGGTTGGTGAGTTTATTTTAGCTTGTGGAGGAATATAGTTTGGTGAACCTAGTTGCTGTTGTGGTTGCTGAGGTTGTTGCGGTTGCTGAGGTTGTTGTGGTTGCTGAGGTTCATGTACGCTGTTGTTGTGTCTTAGGTGAACTATTTGATAGAGATGGTTGTTGAGGTAAAATTTGTTGATGGGGTTTAAATAAATTTGGGTTATAATTACCCAAACCAGGTAAAGATAAACCAGGTAAAGATTGATCATCTTGGTCATCGATATCCTCTTCGTCTTCAACAGCATCTTTCGAGGCATTTGGATTGTTATATTTATCTTTCATTGTGTCAGCAGGTCTATTTCTACTCCAAAACTTTGTTGTTAAATCGTTTGAACCACTTGCTAAAATATGACCAATTGGATGCCAACTTAAAGACCAAACATCTGCTTCGTGAGCAGAGTGAATTTCAGCCTGTGGATCAGGACTTCCAACAATCCAATATAAAATTTTACCATCTTTATCGCCACTAACAAAAAGATCTTCGTGAAATGGGTGTAGTGCCAATGCTGTAACTTCTTTACCATGTCCTTTAAATGTTTGCAATTCTCTCATCGTTCTTATATCGAAAAGCTTTAAAAGTTGATCTGAACTTGCACTGACGATCCAGTTTCCGTTTTGATTCCATTCTACTTTTGAGACTGTACTCTTGTGGCCATGTAATGTGGTGATATTTTTAGCGCTTTTAGCATCCCATAATTTAATATTATTGTCTTTACCACCTGAAACTATCAATGATTTCTGTGGATGCCACGACACACATTTGACATCCCAACCATGACCTATTAATTGATTCTCTTCGGTACATCTTGCAAAGTCCCAAATTTTTATAATTTTATCATCTGCACATGACGCTAATTTTAAATCAGTTGGTGAGAAACTAAGACCTCTAATTTTGGATTGATCGTGTGCTTTGAAAAATTTAACACAATTCATACTTGCCTGCCAATACTTTATAATACCTCCATCATCCCCTGATACCATCCAATCTTCGTTGTGAGACCATATAATGGATCTAACTGCTGTATCATGTGCCTGTTGAATCGTTTCAAAATTAAAAGTTAAACCATTCCATAATGTAAACTCACCACTTGACGAACCTGTAACCAATCTACGACCCTCTGGAGTCCACGAAACACAATTAATTGGATATTTAACTTTATTTGCTGATGTGTGAATAAATCTTGAACATACACTTGTAATAGGATTTGATTCTAATGCAATCGGTGGTAAAATCTTTAAAAGAAAAATCAAATATTAATATTAATTTTAAATATTTTTTTTAATAATCTATACTTACTTCTCTAATATATAATGAATCTGGTTGTACTACTGCTAAATCTCTATAGTCTCTCTGGTAAACTCTTGCCATGTTGTACTTAATTAAAGTAGAGTTAAAATCTACTGTTTTTCTGACCACTGCTTTTCTCATACGTTTACCATCATACACAATTTTCGATGCATAATAGTTGCTATATTGATGACTATGATATCCATGATGTTTTTCTTTGTGGTGTGTTCCACCCCCACTGCCACCTGCAGTACTATTACTATTATTATAATGTGACATTATTTAATTATTATATGTATATTTATTAAAGTTTATTTACAATTATATACACATAAAATATAAATAATTTAGTAAAAAAAAAAAAAATGAAAAATGAAAAATTAAAAAATTTAATTTTGAAAAAAAAAAATTTTTTTTTTTTTTTTTTTTTTTTTTTTTTTTTAATTTTTTAATTTCCCACATTTATCACTTTTTTTATTATTTTATAATTATAAATAAAAATACTTTAATTTCATTCACAAAAAAAAAATTAAAGCATTTACAAAAAAAAAAAAAGTTTATAAAAGTAAAAAAATTTTATTTATAATTTTTGAATTTGTTTTTAAAAAAAAGCCAACACACGGGTTAAAATATATTGACGGGATGGGTAGCGCTAAGAATAGTATTTGAAAATAAATCTAAAATTATTTTTCAAAATACTAGACGAGCCATTACCGTGGTACTATATCATTTATAATTTGGTATTGTTCACTTAGAGAAAATAAAAAAAGAAAAAATTAATTTTTTTTATTGTAATAAAATATAAATAAATAGATACATACAATACGAAATATAAAAAATGATCATATACCACGGTAATAGCCCTTCTAGTATTTTGAAAAATAGTTTTAGATTTATTTTCAAATACTATTCTGAGGGCCATTACCAAAGTCTGCTCCCCTTGAGATGCTAACCATTCAGGAGTTTGTCCTTTATAAGGGTCTTTCAGATGTGTTTCATTTAAAACAATCTGTTGTTGGCCTTCAAATGCAAACTTTTCTGGTGGTTGTCTTTTAAAGGGATTTTTCAAAAGTAAAATTTTTAAAATATTCTGCTCACCTTTAGATGGTAACAGGAGGTTTTTGATTTTTAAGTTCATTTCTTTTTTTTTAATAATTTTAAATTTAAATTAGTAATTTTATTTTAAAAGTGTTTTTAATAAAAATTATTTTAATAATTTATTATAAATAAACTACCTACTGAATAATTAAAATATAAGTTAAATGATAAGAAATTGGAAATATGAGATATAAAAAAAAAAAATTGTTTTTTTGAAAAAAAAAAAAATTTTTAAAAAAAAAAAAATTAAAATAAAAAAAAAAAGATTAAGTTTTTTAAAATAGAAAGATACAAAAATGGGGGTGACACGTAGTTTGTTGTAATGTAAAATTAATTTTTTTTTTTTTATGATAGGGCGAATTTTTGGGAAAAAATTGTATTAATTTTTTTATTAATCTGTGCGATCTTTTTGAAACTCATCAACATCTTTTAAAAACTCTATTTTTATCTGCATAACATACTAATTTTTAAAAAAAAAAAAAATTATAATATAATTTAATTTAAATATAAAATAAAATAGAAAAATATAATTTATGTGTGAATGCTAAATTTATAAGCATTTTAAAAATTGGTTGGAGTTAGGTGGATAAAAATTGATTAATATTATTCATTTAATAGAAATAAAAGGTTAATAAACCCACATAAAAACTAATTTTTATTATTATGTATATTTATTTTAATAGTTTTATTTCTTTCTCCATAATAATAAGACATCTGATTTATGATTTTTTCTGGTAAATTCCTCATAAAGAAGCTGTGAACTATTTATGGAATATAAAAAAAAAGAAAAATATTCAAAGATAATGTTCTTAAATATTATTATATATTTAAGCTTGAATTTCATGAATTCAATAAACTGTTGTGGTCTTCTCGTAACCAATGGTAGCAAAATCTGATTTAACGAAATCCTATGATGGGATGAATAATAAAGGTCTATCAACCTTTGACAATTTACTAACAACAACAGCTGGGGTAACACATTGAACTAAAATACCTTTTGAAGCATATTCATATTTTAAAGAAAGTGAAAATTTTCTAAAAATACTTTGCTTGCACAGTATACAGATAATAAGGGAACACCACTTTTTGAAATACTAGTTATTGAATTTATGTTAATAATACAACTTCTTCTTTTTTCAGTCATGCTGTAATATATTTTCAAACAGATAATTTATAATTATTTAAAAAATTAAAAAGGAAAAAAAAAAAAATTTTTTTTAAAGATATTCTTAATTTTTAAAAAATTTAAAATTAAAAAACTATCTGTTTAAATATAAATAAAAATCAAATATTAAATTATCTGTTTTTTAATTTTTTTTTAATTTTTTTTTTAATTTTTTTTTTTTATTTTTTTGGGGTATTTTTGGGAAAAAAATTGTATTTATTTTTTTTATTTTATTAAAAATAAATATTGGTGGGGATGGCAGATCTAAATAAGTTTAATAACATTGAGTTTTTAAAAGATGGTAATGAAGTTCAAAAACGATCGTACCAAATCATAAAAGATAATAGAATCATGGAAATTTTACAAGACTTTCAACCACTTTTAACAGGTACAATCCCAATAGAGATCAACACAGAGTCATCAGATTTAGATATAATATGCTATTGGGAGAATAATGAAAGAAAACAAGAACTAAAATCAATCATGCTAAAAGAGTTTTCAAAATTTACCGATTTCAACATTAGGGAATACATCAGAGAGGGTAAAGAAGTACTATTTTCCGATTTCAAAATAGATGGAATGGAGTTTGAAATATTCACTCAAAATATTCCAACCAAGCAACAAAATGCATATAGACACATGGTTGTAGAGTACCAAATTCTGTTAGAAAAAGATCAAGATTTCAAAAATGAAATTATCAATTTAAAAAAATCAGGTTTAAGAACAGAACCTGCTTTTGGAAAATTATTAAATATAAGTGGTAATCCTTATGACGAATTATTAGTTTTCAAACATTCATATAATTAAACCAAAAATAAACAAAAACGAATAAATATTTATTTTATTTTATTTTATTTTTTTTTCGAATAAATTTTATTTTTCTTTTTTTTTTTTTTTTTTAAATTTTTTTTTTTTTTAATTAATTTCATTTTTATTTGTTAATAATCACAATATACATGTAATAAATATGAAATCATTAAACTCTTTTTTGTTTGGTGAAGAAACTTGTTTTACTATTCATGGCTACCCATCTTGTATTTATTAATAGATATAAACATAAAATATTATTTTAAATATTTCTAATTTATAAAATAAATTTACTTTGTTTATTTATAATTAGGCCCTTATTATCAAAGAGCGATTAAATTAGGGGATGCAATCGAACAAGGAAATAAAAATATTAAAGTAACAGTGAACGAAGTGGATAAAGAAGAATGGAAAGAATTTTTAGAAAAAGAATCAGTTGGATTAGGCCAAAGGGCAAAATATCATCAAACATGCCCAATGGTAGTTGAAGGTTGTACTGATGATTCCAAAGCATTTGTTGGTGGATTTAGCGACTTTTTAAATCAATCAAAAAAAAGAAATTATCTTAAATCAAATAAATAAAAACCAATAATAACTTAATGAATAAACAAAATAAAAAAAGATGGATAATCATAAGAGTTTCATTCATCAAAACTATTTAAAAATTAAAAAATAGCATTACATAAATTTTTTTTTGTTAAATTTATTATTTTGTTAAATTACCCATTTTTAAATAAAAATAAAATAAAAATAATTAAAAAAAAAAACGAGAAAAAATTAAAAAAAAAAAAAAAAAAAATTTAATTAATTTTTTCTTTTTTTTTAACATAAACAATTTAAATATCATCAAATTGTTTAATTATATATAATAAATAAATAAAAATAAAAAAAATAAATGACAGAAAATAAAGTAAATGCACCAGAAACAGCTAAAGAAGCTGTATTTTTTCAATCAAATGCTGAAGATTTAAAAAATCGAAGTGTAGTAAAGGGTTATGATTTTAATGAAGGTTTGGATTATGGTAAATTATTTGAGTCATATAAAAATACAGGGTTTCAAGCATCAGCAGTTGGTAATGCAATTGATGAGATCAATAAAATGATTCAATGGCGTTTAAGTGATGAACCATTGGCAGAAGGTGAAGAAGATGATGGACTAAGAGGTCAAACAAGATGTAAAATATTTTTAGGTTATACCAGTAATTTAGTATCATCAGGTATTAGAGATATTATTAAATATTTAGTTCAACATTCAATGGTCGATGTTATTGTATCAACTGCAGGTGGTATCGAAGAAGATTTTATCAAATGTTTAGCACCAACATACATGGGCGATTTTGCATTAAAAGGACAAGAGCTTCGTAGAAAAGGTTTGAATAGAATTGGAAATCTTTTAGTACCCAATGATAACTATTGTAAATTTGAAGATTGGATCATGCCAATATTAGATAAGATGGTAGAGGAGCAAAAGACCAACGGAACCCTTTGGACACCATCAAGAGTTATCAATCGTTTAGGTAAAGAAATCAACCATGAAGATTCCATTTACTATTGGGCATGGAAAAACAACATCCCAGTTTACTGCCCAGCATTGACTGATGGTAGTATAGGTGATATGATGTATTTCCATTCTTATAATACTCCAGGACTTGTTTTAGACACAATTAATGATATCCGTGCTATCAATAATCATGCTGTCTATGCTAAAAAGTCAGGTGTTATTATTTTAGGTGGTGGTGTCATTAAACATCACATTTGCAATGCTAATTTATTCCGTAATGGCTCAGATTTTTGTGTCTTTTTAAACACAGCAAATGAATTTGACGGTTCAGATAGTGGTGCTAGACCTGATGAAGCTGTTTCATGGGGAAAAATTAAATTGGGTATGTAAAATAAAAAAATAAATAATAAAAAAAAAAAAAAAAATCTAACATAATATTTATTTTCAAATCTATAGATGCTAAACCAGTTAAAATCTATGCTGAAGCTTCAATTGTATTCCCAATTTTAGTTGCTGAAACTTTTGCAAAAACTTTTAAACAAAAATCAAAACAAGAACTAGAAATGAATAAAAGACCAATTTTTGATTAAATAAAACATTCAAAAACAATAATAATAATAGTTAATAAAGAAAACTCTTAATGTAAAAATAAAATTATTTGTATTTTTTTTCTAAAAATTAATTTTATTTTAGGTTCCATATAAAAATATTATTTTAATCATTTGTTATTAATATTGTTATTTATAATATTCATATAATATTATGCACTTAATTGTTCAAGTTGTGATTTTGAAAATGAATATTATTCAATTTTTCTATTGAATTCATTAATGATAAAAATAAATATTATTAATTATTAAAAAATAAAAAAAAAATTTTTTGGATTTTTTTTTTTCTTTTCTTTTTTTTTTTTCAATCACAACCCCATCAAATAAATTTTGTTAAATATATATTTATATTTAAATAAAATTATTTGTATTAAATGGAAGAAAAAATAAATAAAAAACGAGAAAGTATATTATTTAAAAAAGTAATTGAATTGTATGAATCCAATTCAAATATTGAGGAGATCAGTCAATGTTTATTAGATTCATTAAACCAAGTTAAAGAAAAACCAACAAATGATATCAATGATGATAATTTATTAAAAATTAAAGTAGGTATTAAGTATTAAAACTTTCACAAATATTAGATAGTTGTAATTAAATTTTAATATCATTTTTTTTTAAATTAATTTAAAGATAATTTTTGCATTGGGTAAAATTTATTTAAAATTCAACTACAATATTTTCAAATTAATTAAAATTATTGAAGAAGAGTTAAAAAAGAATTTCAATGTAAGTCTGGCGTCAATGTTGTATAGATGTTTTTACTTTAAGGTTATCAAAGAGGAAAACGAAGAGAAATTAAAAAAACAATTCAAACAATCCAAAATGTATTCACTTCATAATTTCACTAAAAATTTGATTGATAATATTAAAAAAGAAAATATTCAAGATATTTCAATGTCAAAGTTTTCATGTGTGCAAACTAATTTCAAAATCATCAACAATGGAGAAAGAATTGATTTTGAATTTAACTATGAAAATGAAATCTATGCTAATTACAAAACAACTTTCGACAGTTTTGAAAAAATACATTTTAAAGTGCCAATTAATTTAGTTTCTTGTGGTCGTTATTTCATTACTGCCTTGGATAAAAATGGTCTGGTATGGAACTGGGGTGCTAAACATGAACCCAACTCCTATCGTCAAAAAACTCCACTTTTTCCTCATAAATTCAAGGGAAATGTAAAGTCTATTGCCACAGGTTTCCATCATTCTTTAGCATTGACCGACAAAGGTGATGTATATGGTTGGGGTTCAAATAGCTTTGGTTGTCTTTCAAATATTACTCGTGATGGTACCTTTTCTAGTAAAATCAAGCAAATAGAAATGCCAGAAAAAATTATAAAGATCGAAGCTGGGGGTTTTAATAGTGCTTTCATTTCATCAAGTGGCCTTCTTTATGTATTGGGTAGAAATGATCGTCTTCAATTAGGTTTCCAAGATATTCCATCAACCTATCCAAATATTGACGGAAGTAAAAAAGCTATCAGTTTTGTACCTGAAATATCAGTTTCACCATCATTATTACCACACGAATTCTCATCATTTATTTCAAATCCAGAATTTTCTGATTTACATATCGAATTTGATGATCCCGATCAAAGCAAATCAGAAACGGTCTATGTTCACTCAGTATTATTATTATCAGTATTATTTGAAAACAACTCTCAATTAATAGAAAATATCAAATTTTTAAGAGATCTGTCTTTTAAAAACAACAATAATGGTGTAATTAAAATTAGTTTTGAAAAATTTTTAAAACTTTCACCTACAACTGAAAAGAATCAAGAAATTATCAAAAAAATTTTAGAGCAACCACTTACCGAGCAAAAGAATCAATTCATAGATTTTATTACATTCATTTACACAAATAATACATCAAGAAGAAATGCTGAAGCTTTGTTAAATTTCCATTGCAATTTATATAAATGTAAACCTTTAGAAGCCTATTTAGTCGATTACTTTAGATATATTTCACCAGATAGTAATTTAAAAATTCCAGATCAATTATATTCAGCTTCATATAACTCTAGGGATTTCTTTTCGGATTGTGTTGTTGTAAATAGTGATGGATTATCAGAAATTTATTGCCACAAGATTATTTTATCACGTTTACCTTATTTCAAGAAACTTATTACCGAATCATCAGAAACCAATAAGGATGGCCTATTAAAGTTGGTCATAGAGAACAAAGAAATCAATAGTCCCCAATTAACTTTAATAATTTCATTTTTATACTCTGATCGTATCAAATTAGTCTCAATTCCATCGAATTATATTACTGGTAACTTTATCTTGTCTCTATATCAAAATTCAAAAGTATTCGAAATGAAGAGATTCGAAGAAGGTTTATTAAAATTGGTTTCACAATCAGTCACTGACGATAATGCAAATGCGCTATTGAATTGGTCAACACTACATAAAGCATCTCCACTTACACTATTTATAAATGCTTTTCTTGGCAGATATCTTCCCCCAAAACATATCGAATCCGGTAGAGAAGGTCTTTATAAACCAATGTGTCCCTTACCAAACGAAAGAATAATTGAAGTTTCAGTTGGTCAAAAATTAATGGTAGCTCTCACTGACGATAATAAAATCTATCAACTTGGTTATGGAAGTGATTTAAAAAAGAACACTGTAAATTTAATCAAAATACCATCACCAGATACAAGCAGAAAGATCATCAAAGTATCATGTGGTAGCAGCCACGCTTTAGCAATTACTGAAGATTATAAAGTTTACGGTTGGGGTTGCGGTTTAGAAGGTCAAATCATTGAGAATAAAAGAAAAATGTTTTCCGAACCAGAATTAATAATCAATGGTGACTATAGTAATATGAAGGCTGGTTTCTACTCTGCATTGTTTTGGAATGATCTTTCAACTTTTCCATTGAATTTTAACGATGAAAAATCTTCCAACAATAATACCGATATTACAAAAGAATTTGAAGGTTTAAATTTAGATGATAAACAAATTACACTCGAAATTTATAATCCAGAATCCATTCCCAATAATCGTTTATGGTATTTTAAACATCTCAAACAATTCAAAGATATTATAAGAATCAATCAAAAAAACAATATACAACCAACCTTGTCCATCATCAAAACCAATGTTTCAATGTTACCACCATTTTTACTTAAAAGATATATACAGGAAAAACAGAGTGGCGATGTAGAGTCGTTATCTTTATTTGGATTTTCAAAAGAAACATTAGAATTACTATTATCATTAAAAGAAACAACTAATCAAGAATTGAAATTAAGAAATTTAGCAATCATTCAATCAATCAATTCAGGTGATCAATTAATTGATTTATTATTTTTATCAACAAGTTTAGGCTGTATCAACATAACAAGTTTAATTTTCCAACACTTAAAAAACAACCTTAATTTAACAGATTCAATTTTACTTTTATCTTTAATCTACGAGTCAAATTATACACTTCAATTAAGTTTCCTTTTCAACTATTTATTAGGTGTCTTAAATCACGAAAAATATACAATCTTAAAAAATAATGATTTAACCAAACTAATTCCAAATTATTTATTAAATTTAATCATTCAAAATAATTTATATTTAAAACTTAAAATAAAATAAATAAATCAAATTTTGCAAAATTTGTAATAAATAAAAAATTTTTGTTGTTGTTATTTAAAAATTAATATGGAGAAAAAAAAATATTTTTTATTTTTTATTGTAAAAAAGGTTCAAGTTTGCCAGCACATTTGTTATTTGGTGGGTTTTTTTTGTTATTTAAAATGTGTGCAAACTTAAAAATAACAACAATTTTTAAATTTTCCAAAAATTTTAAGTTTTTTAAAAAATTATTTTTTTTTAAAATGTGAAAAATATATAAAATAATAAAAAATTTAACATTAGAAATATAAAAAAAAAAAATAATTTTAACACACATAAAAAATGTCAAGATTACCAATAGAATATAATGTTTCAGAATTATCAGAATTTGATGAAAGTTTTGTATGCCATATTTGTTTTGATACATATTATAAAAAAGAAGTTTACCAATGTAAAAAAGGTAAGAACCTGGTAAATAGTTTTTTTAAATAAAAATTTCAATTATTAATTTTTTTATTTTTCCAAATTATTTTAATATCAGGTCATTGTTATTGTGAAGAATGTTGGAAAGAGTCACTTAAAAATAAAAAAGAGTGTATGCAATGTAGAACACAAGTAAATTCGTTCCATGAACTTTCAAGAAATACAGAAGTTGAAAGGTTATTATTAAAAACTTGGGTACACTGTCCATATTTTTTCCGAAATATTATTAGAGTAGATGAAAGTGAAAAATTAATTGAAGATAATAGTAGTGGGTGTAATGAAATTATTATATTGGAAAAATTAGATAATCATATTGAAAATTGTAGTTTTAGATTTGTAAAATGTAAATATCATGAAAAAGGATGCAAAGATAAAATCCGATACAATCAAAATGAAATTCATATTTCCAAATGTGAATACCGATCATTAAATTGTAAATATTGTTCTAATGTTTACTTATTAAAAACAATCGAACAACATTATCTCGAATGTCCTTCGATGTTAATAGACTGTAAAGAATGTAATGAAAAAATTAAAAGAGAAGAAATGGATAAGCATTTAGATAAAGAATGTCAAGAGGTAATTATTTCATGTAAATTTTTACAATTTGGGTGCAATGATAAAATAAAAAGAAAAAATTTAGAAAATCATTTTGATCAAACAAACCACACAAAACATTTCAGTACAGCAATAGAACGTTTGAGCACAACAATAGAACATTTAAATATTAAAAACAATCAACTTTCAATTAGTATAAAAGAATTAAACAAAGATAATGAAAATTTAAACATTATAAATAATCTACTTTCAAATAGTATAGATGAATTAACCATATGTAAAGAAAATTTAAACTTTAAAAATAATCAACTTTCAAATAGTATTGATGAATTAACTAAAGGTGAAAAACATTTGAATAAAGAAATAAATCATTTAAACAGAAAAAATAATCAACTTTCAAATAGAATAAAAGAATTAGCTAAAGGTAAAGACGATTTAATGATTAAAAATAATCAACTTTCCAATAGTATAAAAGAATTAGCTAAAGGTAAGAAATATAAAAACAATTGGAAAATTTCAAACTATTCCAAAATTAAAGAAGGTGATCGTTTGATATCTCCTTCATTTGTATATTCTCAAGATTTATTTGAAATCATATTTTATAAAAATGAAATTGGATGGATATCCATACATCTTCATTCTAAAGTTGAACAAAAAGACTTAAAATTCTCAATAACTTTATTAAACAACGATCCAAAAAAGAATTATCTTCGTTCATACAATTGTGGTTAGTAATAATATTATTTTTATTTAAAACAATTACAATATTATTTTATTTTTTATTAATTATTTATAAAATTTAGTAGGGTTTACAAAAATATGGGCATTGGACAACTTTATACATAGTTACGAATTAAATAAAGGATATTTAACACAATATGATAAAATAGAATTTGCATTTACACTTACTTATCCTAAACCAATGCCATTGTTATCAAATTAAATTCCCAATTAGAATTAATAATTTAAATTTTTTAAATAATGCATTTTCTATACTTTTAGAACCATCATAAGTTTATTTTATTAAATAAAAGTTTTCACATTTACATAATATTTCTTTTAAGAAGGTTTATAATGAATATAGCTTTTATTAGTTTCGTTTTTAATTTTTTATATCACCCGGATATCTAAAAAATATTATATTTCTAAAAAAGTAAAGGAAGCATAATAATGTGTATATATAAAATTTAATGAATATTATTCAAAAATGGTAAATAAATAAACAGAATCAATATTGATGAAATAAAAGTTTTGTTGTCATATATCACAAGTCTTGGGTTTAAATAAATTTATTTAAATTATAAAATAATCTAAAAATAAATACACACATAAATTTTTTTAATTCAGCTTTTAGAAAATTATTTTAAAAATATTTACAAAATTAAAAAAATTAACACTATTTTAATAACCACAAAATTTATTTTTATAGCCCCTCTTTGTTTTTATTTTTAAGTTACTTAAAATTAAGTTTTTTAATTGATTGTGTGTTTGTAAAAAAATTTATTTTCTTTTCTATAAAAAAGTGGTTATAGAAAAATATATAATAATAAAAAATATATAAAAAAAAAAATTTTAAAATAAGAAATATAAAAAAAAAAAATTTTAACAAACACACATAAAAAAATGTCAAGACAACCAATAATATATAATGTTTTTGAATTATCATCATATGAGTTTGATGATGATTATGTATGCCCTATTTGTTATGATACATATTATAAAAAAGAAGTTTATCAATGTAAAGAAGGTAAGAACTGGTAATAATTTTTTTAAATTTAAAATATAAATTTCAACTAAACAAAAAATAAAAAATTTGTTTCATTTAATTTCAGATATTAAATGAAACAAATTTTTTATCACTTAGAGTTAAAAAGAATTAATACAATAGATAAAAAATATAGATGAATTTTTATTTATATATTCCAACTTTAAAATAATCATTCTTTTCACAATAAATATATAATTAAAACTATCTATTGAGCAATATTGTGTTTTATTTTTACTTTTTTATATAACAACAACTTCAAATTACAATAAATAATAATTATTTTTTTTATTTTAAATCTATTGTTTTTATTTTAGGAATTAGTGTGAAAAAATGTGTAATATTTTAATTTATTTTTTTAAAATTTTTAAAATTTTTTAAAATTCGATTGATTGTGTCATTAATCAGTTTCCCCAATAATATAAATTTCTATAAAAAAAAAATCTATTTTTTTTTTTTAAAAAAAAAATATAAAAACAAATTAATTTTTCATTTAAATCAAAATTAACTTATTAAAATGCTTTCTAGTAGGTTTTTATAAAATAAAAAAATTTTTTATAAAATTATTAACTTAATTTTTTAATATTAATTAAATATAGAATCTTTAATTTTTATTAATCATTCCAATCATTCCAATCATTCAAATAAACAATTAGAGATTCTAGAAGGAAGATTAATTAACTCGGTAACATCAAATAACCTTTCATTAAAAAGTTTAAGATTTACTAGACCTTTCTATAGTTAAAAAAAATAAAAAAATAAAAAATTATTGTTTCGAACACTTATTAATATTTTTATTTTTAATATTTATAATTTTTTATTTTTTTTTTTTTTAAAGTGAAATTACAATAAATTAAAAAAAAGTGAAAAAAAAGAGAATAAACTAAATTAAAAAAGAAGAAATTAAAAACCTTTTTTTTAACTTTTATTATATTTAATATATATTAATTTATTTTTTTTATTTTTTTTTATTATTTTCAGTAAAATTTTTAATAATAATTTGTATTGATTGAGATATACTATTGATTTGTAATTGTTGTATTGTAATTATATTTCTACCTATTTGTTTATCTATCCAGTTCTTTAATTGAACAATAACTAAACTATCGAGACCATACTGAGTTAATTGGAATTCCAAATTGATTTTTGACTCATCAATTGAAAGTAGCTCGGATATTTTATTTATAACTTTAATTTTTAAAATTTCTTGGTTATTGCCACCATCTAATGATATATGAGTTTTTTTAACCATATTGGATATATAGTCAAGTTTAGAATAATTACCGTTTGGTTTTAAAGATACCATATTTTCCAAATTAAAATTACACAAGCAATAGTTTGAATAATTGTTTTTATCTTGAAGGAAGAGATCTAATGAGATAAAAAATTGTTGTAATGAAGTAAAATTATAATGTGATGACTCTATCATTGTTTTGATTGCTTCATTTCTTGAAATAAATCCAGTTGATGATATTGCACCTAAATTTACTGATAGTGATGGTAGTCCGATTGATTTTCTATATTTTGATAACGAATCAATAGCATTACAAGCACTAACATAACTACATTGTCTATATGAACCAGTTATTGTTACAGCAGATGATGCTAAAATAAATTGTTTTAATTTCCAAGAACGTTGAATTGATTCATTGTGTAAATTGATTGCACCAATTGTTTTTGCACCATGTACGATATTTAAACCATTCATATCGATATCTTTAGCATCGCTAACCTCATTTACAAATGAAAAGTGTATTACTGTATCAATATTTGTAATGTTTGAATTTGATTCTAGATTGTTTAATACATCGTGAACTTTATCGCTATCTTCAATATCGACTTGATTAAAGTGGAAATTAATTGTATTATCTTTTTGATGTTTGGTTTCATTGATTAATAGTTCTAATTCCCATTTTAATGGTGATTTTGATAAAATTATAATATTATCGATTGATTTGTTTGAATATTTAACTAGCCATTTCATTATTTCTAAAATAAGACCTGTTTGACCTGTCACTAATATGTTTTTGCCAATATCTAATCTTGAAATATCATAACTATTCTTCATAATTATTGAATCAATATGTTCATTAAATGTTCTTGATATCAAATCTTTATCGTGATTAACAACAATTTTTCCAATATTTTGTCTTTGATTAATATATTCGACTGCTTCTTTAAATTGATCATTTGAATATTCAATGATTGGAATTAGTTCTAATTTATTTGACTGTATCAAACCAATAATTTTTTTGAGGCATTTTCTATACAAATAAACTGGAAATTTTCCAAGTTCAATATTATTATATCCATAATTGTATTTAAAGTGATTGTTTGTCATATAGTCGTTTGATGTTAAATGTGTAATTGAAAGATCTACAATTTTACCACAAGTATTTAAACATTGGAAGTTTGAATCCATATATTCTGATGATAGTGTATTTAATATCAAATCTACACCTTGATGATCTGTGTCACATTCTAATTGTTTTAATTTGTTTTTAATTTGGTCAACATAGTTTTTATTTCTTGATGAATATATACCAGTAATAAATGAGCTATATTTGTCTACTAAGTACTGTTCTTTTTCTTTTGAACCGACTGTTAGAAATATAACCTTTGTGTTGTTTACACTTTAATAGTTCTAATGTTGAAAGACCGACACCACCCGCTGCTGAGTGAATTAAAATAGTTTGATCTGCTTGTAAATTGCCAGTACAGTATAAACTGTGAAATGTTGTAACATAAACTGTTGGAATGGATGCTGCTTGTAAATGTGAAATGTTAGATGGTTTATAATAAACATATTTGTAGTCCAATACAATATGCGATCCATTAGCCTTTGGAGCAGTCCCAATTACTTCATCTCCAATTTTTAACTTCTTTATTTTGCTACCACAACGAGTAATAACACCACTAAAATCATTTCCAATATTTGGATTATGGTTTAATCCGTTTTCAACTTCTTCTTTGCCATTTCTGACAACAACATTATTTGATACTTGACCGATATATATTAGATAGTCTTTATAGTTGATACCTGTAGCTTTTATTTGAACTTCGATTTCATTTGGGTTTAATTCTTGCTTTTTAGGTTTTAAAAAATATTCTAAATTTTGATCAAGTTGTATCATTAAATTATCTTTATTTGTTTCAAATGACTTTGATGTAAATGATTGTTTAATTTTTGTTTGTTTTTTATATCTTTCATAATATACTGTGTTGTTTTTAATTGTGAATTCTCTTTGAATATTTGTTGTTGGATTTATTAATACATCGATAAGTGATAGTATATTTTCATTTTGAATTGAAATATCATCGAAATCTAATGAATATAAATCTAATTGTGGGAATTCAACAAAATATCTTGTAGCTCCGTTGATTGATGATGATAAATAGTTGTTTGTTGTTGAATTTAATAATATCAAAACATGCTTAAAAAAGTTTTCAATTTCATGTTGAAGTAATATTTGATTAATTTGAATGTAATCGAATGTTATTTCTTTAAAATTATTGATATCTAATGGATCGATTGCTTTCATAAAGAAAATTAATGTTTTACTTTGTTTAATAGAATCGATTGATTTTATAATCCAGTTGTTAAGTTCATTAAAGTCATCTATTTGTATTATTTTTGAAATTAATAATTGATTTGATTTGAATGATTCATTGATTTGTGTACCATGTCTACTATTTCCAAATAATATAATATTATCATGTGATACTAATTGTTTCATTGATTCTATATTTGATAATACCATTTCATTTATATTGGGTTTTCTTGTTTGAATTAAAAATAATGCATTATCATTTCCAGATATTGTTGTATCTTTATAGTTGCATTCGTTTAGTAAATTATACCAGGTTTCTATTTTCATGCAGCTTCTATCTTTTCTGATGTCAGCATCTTCTGGTGATGGCCACCATTGTGGGAATACAGCAAAAATTGAGTCAAGGTATAATGATTTGTATGGTGCTTCAATAAAAACTATCTGGCCATTTGGTGTTAAAATACTATGGATTTCATTTAAACTGAATCTAATTAGTTTTACGACATGTAATACATTTGACATTAAAACCATATCGTAATAAGATGGTTTTAAATCTTGATCCTTTAATGGTTTGTCTAAATCAACAGGACGATAGATTATATTGATACCTTTGATTTTTGAAAGTTTTTCTTTAATGTCTGAAAAAAATGATGCTGAAATGTCGCTCCATGTGTATTCTATATCGATATTTGATGATGGATGATCATTTAATAGTTTTTTGATTTTATTTAATACCAAAATTGATAAAGAGCCAACACCACCTCCAAATTCCAGGATTCTGAATACAATTGGTTCATTAATAGTTGGTTTGATTAATTCTGAAACAATTTCGCATAATAGATTGTTTATTGGTTTTAGTAAATTGGATTTATGATAAAAGTTATCTAAAAACCCATCTTCAAATAATGATTGAGGAGTGTCTTTATTTGAATCATCATCTTCTAAAGGAAATATTTGCTTTGCCATAACTTTGGTTGTTTTTTCAAAAAGCTTGATATTCCTATCACTATTACCATCAGGGAATTCATTTAATTGTTTATTGATACCTAAACTATTATATTTTTTTAAAATATCGAAAATAAAAATAAATAAATTTTCATTTACCCCATCATTATGGTAGAGTTGTTTGAATTGATTATAATCCATTGTTGATAATGTTTCTTTGTTGATAGTTGGACGTCTTTGATTAATTTGATAGTAAAATAATGAAAGTAAATGTTCCTTTGATTCTGTTTTTTGATTAAATTCATCTAGCCTCAATTCTTCTAATTGACACAAGTTTTTAAAAGTTTGTGGTTTATTAATGATAGAGTCTTTTGATTGTTGAATTGGTAGATATATATCATTAGATGGTGGTGGGATAATTATTGTATTGTCAATGATTGGTGTAAGTGATGTGCAAATAATATTAGAAATTTCAATTAATAATGTGCCATCATTTAGCATTACTTTAATGGATCCGGAGTATGAGTATAAATTAATTCTTGATTTCATTTCAGAATATACATAGATTTCAGAATGTTGATGATTGTTTGGTGATGGAATGTTTGATGAGTAATATTTTAATCCTTCGATTTTATCTAATACAATTTGGCATTGATGTTTGATAAAACTTAGCATTCCATGTAAACATGTATCTAGTATTGCAGAATTAAAGAATGATTTCATTGAATTGTTGTTGAGTAAATGATTGAATTCGTTTTGATTTTGAATTTCATCTAATGATACTATCGATAGAGAACAGTTATCACCAATATAACATTCTTTGACACCTCTGAATAAACCTTTGTATGTTAATCCGGTTTTGATTTTGATTGAATCATAAAGCTCTAATTTAGATAGTTTGGTAAAGTTGCAACTATTTCTTTTTTCCTCAATATTAATTCGGTTTATTTCGTTACCATGTTTGAATAGACTAAAGTTACCAGTGGAACACAATACCCATTGATTTGTAGTTATATCTTTAAAGTGTGATTTGACATTGAATTCATTTTTTGAAAGTGTATTGATGGTTGTTTGTAAACATTGATTGACATCATCATGTAAAATTAATGGTGTTTTAAATTCGATTGAACCGATTGTAATATCTTGGTTTGGATATATGTTGAATAGATTGATGATGTACCCACACCCTGGGAAGTAGTATTTGTTTTCTACTTGATGTCCTTTTAGCCATTGGAATGGTTGTTTTTTTGTATCTATGAATGTTTGATATGATTTGGATGGTGAGTCATTTGCAACACCTAATCATTTTTCTTTTTGTGAAGTGGTGAATGAATATTTATTTTTTCTCCATTATTGAAATATGGTGATTGAGTGGATTTCATTTGATTTAAATAGAATGATAGTGTTGGATGTGGGGAAATTTCGATAAATGTTACTTCATTACCATAGTTGTTCTCTTCAATATATTTATATATGTTTGAAATGGTTTGAGTGAATCTTACTGGTTGTAAAACATTTTCAAATACATATTCTGAATTGAATGGTGTTGTTTCGTGGATTTTTGTAGAGAGTATGGTGGTGATGTTAATAAATAAGTTGGTTGTGACTGTTGAAAATATTGGTGTTGTTGATTGTTTTGATTTAATGTTCATTGAACATATTTCATCTTTAATAACTAATTGGCTAGATGTATGGAGTGATGATAATGTTCCTAACATAGCACAAAATATATCTTTTGATTTTAAATCAGTAACAATTTCATTGAGTAAATGTTCTTTACCAGATACTACAATGGATGATGGTGAGTTGTAGCAAGCAATGTTGACTGTTGGGTATTTTGATGAATAATTTGAAATATATTCCTCAGGACTTATATTTATAGATAACATTCTTCCAGTACCAGTTGTTTTATTTTGAGCAATCGATCTGTTGTATACTAAATAACACAATGTTTCAAAGTCAATCATACCAGAGCAATATGATGCTGAAATTTCACCAAGAGAATGGCCAACGATTAAATCTGGTTTGATACCCCAGTGTTTAGTTCAAATAATGATACTTGAATCATAATGTTTGATGGCTGTGCAATAGTATGATCATGTACTGATTTTAAATCATCATCATCAAATGATCTTAGTTTTTTCAAAACAGAATACCCATAGTATTTGAATAGTTCACTGTCGAATTTATGTACGCATTGTTTAAAAATTGGTTCGTTTTCATATAGTTCCAATACCATTTTATTATATTGTGATCTTTGACCACAAAATACAAATACTGTATATGGATTGTTTTTATTAATTATAATGTTTGAAAGTGTGTTTGTATTCAATGATTTGATTTCATTATTTGAATCTTTAAATTCTTCCCAATTACTTGCAATAATAACTGATCTTTGAATGAGTGATGTTGATTTATATTTGATTTGGTTATTTACAAATTCAATAAAATCTAATGTGTTTGATTGTCCTTTTATTACTTGAATATATTTGTCTAGTGATGTTGATGAGTTTGATGAGAATGTTATTAAATATTTTTTGTTAATATTATTATTTTCATTTTGGATATTTTCATTATGGTAATCTGATAGAATAATACAACAATTTGATCCTGTTATTATTTTTAATTAAAACATTAATATATTTAGTCTTTTTTTAAAAAAAATTAAATTTTACTTACCAGTTATACCAAAGTTAGTAATTGCCATAACAGTATTTTTGTTATTGTAAAATGGTGTTGGTTCAGTTACAACTTTTAGATGCCACTCATCGAATTTGATATCTGGGTTTGGAGATTTAAAATTTATATTTTGAACAAATGATTTGTTTTTAAACATGACACAACATTTAATTAATGCCATTAAACCTGATGATGCTTCAGTATGACCGATATTTGATTTAATGGAGCCAATTAAAACTTGTTTGCTTGAATCTTTGAATGCTCTTGAAATACCTTCTAGTTCTATTGGATCTCCGGTAGGTGTACCAGTACCGTGACATTCGACATAATCTATATCAGATGCTTTGATTTGACCATTGGTGGATTCGATTGCAGATTTAATATTTTCATATTGTGATGATTTCGATGGTGAATAAAAGTTTGATTTATCATAGTTACCATCTACATTTGATCCTGAACCTTTGATAACACAATAAATATTATTTCCATCATTGATTGCTTTTTCTAATTTCTTCAATACCACGACACCAACACCCTCTGAACGTATATATCCATCAGCGTCAGATGAGAATGTGTGACATTTTCCAGTTGGACTTAACATAGATAAATGAGAAAATGATTTTGATGTATTTGGGTCTAATATAAAAAATAAATAAATAAATTATTAGTTTTTTTAAATATTTCTTTAAAACAATTATTTTAAAAGTATGAAATACATACCAAGTATTAAATTAGAACCACCTACAACAGATACATCAGATTGACCATATTTGATTGATTTATAACCAAGATTAATTGCATTTAATGATGAACTACATGCAGTATCGATTGTCATTGAATCGCCACGGAAATCAAAGCAGTATGATATTCTATTTGATATTGAATGAATAGATGCGCCAAAAATGTTTTTTTGGATGTCAAAATGTGATTTATTGGCAGATTCGTAGTCTATAGTTGATGCACCAATGAATGTACTTGTATTTGAACCTCTTAATGTGGATGGATCAATACCGCTATCTTCTAATGCTTCCCATGTACACTTTAACAGTAATCTTTGTTGTGGATCGATTGTGTTGACATGTTCTTCACTTGGATTGATACCAAAAAAAATTGGATCAAAAGACTTCCATTCATCCAGTGGAATAAGACCAGAATACTTGCAAGCGATATCACCGGTGATACTATAGTTGTCAGACCATCTTTCAGATGTTTCTACGATATCATCAAAACCATTTACCAAGCTTTCCCAAAGTTGGTTTGTATTTGAAATGGATTTCGTTAAACAACCACTTGGTGCTCTAAAACCAACACCTATAACAGCAACATCACTATTTTGAACAACATATTTTGATGACATTTTTAAATAAAAAATAAATTTTATTTGATCTTTTAATTATTAAAAATATTTAAATAAAAAAAGATTCATTTAAAAAAAAAAAAATAGGATTTTTAAAAATATTTAATATGTTCCTTTTTGGTTATAGATTAAAAATAAACCTTTTCTAAATTAATTATTGGGGTTTACAATTGGTATTTACTATCGAAATATAAAAAATATAGTTTTACCCCCACCTAATTTTTTTATATCGTCAACTTATTTATTTTAATTTTTGATTTTTTTTCGATTTTTTTTTGATTTAAAAATAAATGACCAATAGTTTCAAACAATTTTTTTTTAAATACCTTTTTTAAATATTATATTTTAAAAAAAAAAATTATAAATACATTATAAAATAAATATATTGTTTAAATTATTATTTGTGAATTTGTTTAGTGGGTTCTGTATTATGTTTTTTTTAATAATCCATTCTTTTATTAAAAAAAAATATTATAATACCATAACAATAAATTTACAACTCTATTATTAATAATAATAAAGGGGTCTACATAATATTCTGGGCAATGTAAATCAAAGTATTTCAAAATATCTTTCTCTAGAAAAATATGTGAATATCTGTAGGGTTGTAATACATCAAATACAAACTACCATCGTTATTGAGTTTACCCAAAATATTCTTTTGATCCACCTTATTTAATCTTAACCCTGATTTCATAAATTCCTATTATTTTTTTTTTTTAATTTATAAAATAAAAAGTTAACATTTAAATATTTATTTCTAAATTTATCTAAATACACACATAGTTATTAAGAAACTGTTTTTGAATACATTTTAATTTAAAATAATAAATTGGCTATAAAAAATAAAAAATTATAAAAATAAAATAAAAATATAAAATTTTGGAATTTAAAAAAATTAATTTTTTGAGAAAATTTTTTTTATTTTTTATTTTTAATTATTTTTCCACCTAAAATCATTTGATGTTTTATAAATTTGCCTGGTGGCCAGCGAAAATGTATTTTTTTCATCAATAGTTGATTAGATTGAATTATGACATTATCTATTACTAATATATTGTATGTTTGATTCTATATTCTATAAATATTATTATCTCAATTATAATAAGAAAGATTTAAACAAAAAATAAAAAACAAAAAACAAAAAATTTAAATTACTTATAAGTAATAAAAGCGTTTATTATTTAATTATTTGTAAGAGTTAGAGTTGCAAAAGAAATGTTTATTTTTTTCATTTTTATTATTTTTATTATTTTCAATTATAACTATGCGTTTCTATTTATATATTTAATAAAGAGTTTGGTATTGGGTGTGTATAAAAATTATAAGGTAATAATATTTGAGTAACAGATTTTGGAATGGCAGCTGGGTCTATAGGGTGATCAAATCCTTTTCTAAAGGTTAGTATAGTGAGAAATTCTGGTAATAAACCTACTTGAAGAGGACTAGATAATTTATGTAATGTTAAATATGTAACTGAATTGGGTATAGTACCGACTTGAAGAGGATGGGAATAGGATTTGGGAAACTCTAAATCTACTACTGAATTGGGTATAGTACCGATTTGAAGAGGTTGGGAATGGTTATCTGGGAGTATTAATTTTTTTACTGATTGTGGTATTGAATTAGTTTGAAATCGAATTGGTTTTGAAGTATAATTAATATTCGATTCGAAATGAAGTTCTGTAATTGATGATGGTAAATCATATTCCAACAATTCATTTGAATGGTTTGATATAACTAAATGTTGTAAAGTATTTGGGAATAAATGTTTACCAAGATTACAATTGTATGATGTTAGCTTTAATGTTTTCACATTTGGCGGTATTACTTGTGGTTCTAATGGGTGGTTATATGCAGTTAAAATGAGATTAGTTATTGATGGTGGAAGTACATTTGGTTTTATAACTTGATTAAAGCTCAACAAATCTAATGTCTCTATTGAGGGTGGGCAGGTTTCAAGAGATATCTCTTGATTATAATTTGGTAAATAGAGTGTTTTTAATAAATATAGTGTTGATAGAGAGTTGGATAATAGGTGATTAAAGTCTCTCATACGTAGTGAAGTGATTGATTCTGGAAATACACCGCCAGATAGTGGTTGATTAAAATTTTCTAAATGGAGTGTTTTTAATGAATGTAGTGTTGATAGAGAGTTGGATAATGGGAGATTAAGGTAACCCATACGTAGTAAAGTGATTGATTCTGGAAATATACCGTCTGAAGGTAGGTGGTTATATGCATCTAAAATGAGATTAGTTATTGATGGTGGAAGTACATTTGGTTTTATAAATTGATTAAAACTATTCAAAATTAATTTTTCGATTGAGTGTGGAAATGTTTGGATTGATATCTCTTGATCAAAACTTTGTAAATTGAGTTCTTTTAATGAATTTAGTGCTGATAGAGAGTTGGATAATGGGTGATCAAAGTCGTCCATACGTAGTAAAGTGATTGATTCTGGAAGTACACCGTAAGATAGTGGGTGGTCAAATTCTGATAGACCTAAAAGTTTTAATTCAGGTGGAAGAATATTTGGTTGGAGCGGTTGATTATAAGAGCCAAGATATAGATATTTACATGTTATAGGTAAGTCACCGGCTTTTAAAGGTTGATTAAAGGAATCTAGGGATAGATTTACAATTGAACCAAATGAACCAGGTATAATTGTTCTATTGAATTTATATTGATTTAATTTAGTTAATGATTGTGGGAAAGTTCCAATAGGTATATCTTGATCTATTTCCATTGTTAAACTGGTAAGCGATGGTGGTAATGTATTTGGTGAAATATCTTGATTTATACCGATATTCAATTCAGTAACACTTGATGGGACAACTGATTTAATATCGAAACGATGAGGATAATAATCAATATTAAAAAATCCTATATCAGTTTTAGAAAATTGTAAAGAAGTAATAGTTGTTGGAATATCGCCTGCTTGAATTGGTTTATTAAAATAACTTAAAAATTTTAACTTGGTTGTACCATAGGGTATTAATTGACCATGTGGTTCTAATGGTTCATTAACATCAATTAAAATTTCTGTTGCATATCTTCTGTGTGTATGGTATCTAAGTTGATCCATTGATTTATTAATACGTATTATTTTATTTTCATTATATAACCTGTGATGTCTTTGTATTTCTTTTAATATAACCATGTTTCTCCACACCGAAAAAAATAATATTTCATTTTTATTATTATTATCTATTTCTGTTTTTGTAATTGAACCTAAATTATTATTATTATTACTATCTATTCTGTCATTATTATTATTCATTTTAATATTTATAAATTTATCGAAAATTTTCCTTTGAATTATAAAAAAAAAAAAATTAAAAAAAAAATTAAAAAAAATTAAATTTAATTTATTTTATTAATTTTTGTAACTTCACTACTGGTGTTAATAGTGTTTTTTTTCTTCCTATTTAACAATTTTTTTTCAGATTCTACAGTTTAATACCCTAGTTCCTAAATTGAGTTTAAAATTCTAATTACATAATTGTTTGTATTTTCTTTATTTTTTTATTTTTTTTTTTAGTTTTTAAAACAACTTTTTTTAAATTTTATTTAATAGATATTATTATTAATTTATATTTTTTTTATTTTTTTTTATTATTTTCAGTAAAATTTTTAATAATAATTTGTATTGATTGAGATATACTATTGATTTGTAATTGTTGTATTGTAATTATATTTCTACCTATTTGTTTATCTATCCAGTTCTTTAATTGAACAATAACTAAACTATCGAGACCATACTGAGTTAATTGGAATTCCAAATTGATTTTTGACTCATTAATTGAAAGTAGCTCGGATATTTTTTTTATAACTTTAATTTTTAAAATTTCTTGGTAACTGCCACCATCTATTAATATATGAGTTTTTTTAACCATATTGGATTGATAGTCAAGTTTAGAATAATTTCGGTTTGGTTTTAAAGATACCATATGTTCCAAATTAAAATTACACAAACAATAGTTTGAATAATTGTTTTTATCTTGAAGGAAGAGATCTAATGAGATAAATAATTGTTGTAGTGATGTAAAATTATAATGAGATGACTGAATCATTGTTTTGATTGCTTCATTTCTTGAAATAAATCCAGTTGATGATATTGCACCTAAATTTACTGACAGTGATGGTAGTCCGATTGATTTTCTATATTTTGATAACGAGTCAATTGCATTACAGGCACTAACATAATAACATTGTCTATATGAACCAGTTATTGTTACAGCAGATGATGCTAAAATAAATTGTTTTAATTTCCAAGAACGTTGAATTGATTCATTGTGTAAATTGATTGCACCAATTGTTTTTGCACCATGTACGATATTTAAACCATTCATATCCATATCTTTAGCATCACTTATCTCATTTACAAATGAAAAGTGAATTACTGTATCGATATTTGTAATATTTGAATTTGATTCTAAATTGTTTAATAGATTGTGAACTTTATTACTATCTTCAATATCGACTTGATTAAAGTGGAAATTAATTGTATTGTCTTTTTGATGTTTAGTTTCATTGATTAATAGTTCTAGTTCCCATTTTAATGGTGATTTTGATAAAATTATAATATTATCGATTGATTTTTTTGAATATTTAGCTAGCCATTTCATTATTTCTAAAATAAGACCTGTTTGACCTGTTACTAATATGTTTTTGCCAATATCTAATCTTGAAATATCATAACTGTTTTTCATTTGAATTGAATCACTTTGTTTTTGTTCATTATATACTCTTGATAACATATCTATATCATGATTAACAACAATTTTTCCAATATTTTGTCTTTGATTAATATATTCTACTGCTTCTTTAAATTGATCATTTGAATATTCAATGATTGGAGTTAGTTTCAATTTATTTGACTGCACTAAACCAACAATTTTTTTGAGGTAATTTCTAAACGTTTTAATAGGAATTTTTCCAAGTTCTACATTATTATACCCATAGTTGTATTTAAAGTGATTGTTTGTCATATAGTCGTTTGGTGTTAAATGTGTAATTGAAAGATCTACAATTCTACCACTAGTATTTAAACATTGAAAGTTTGAATCCATATATTCTGATGATAGTGTATTTAATATTAAATCTACACCTTGATGATCTGTGTCACATTCTAATTGTTTTAATTTGTTTTTAATTTGGTCAACATAGTTTTTATTTCTTGATGAATAAATACCAGTAATAAATGAGCCATATTTGTCTATTAAATACTGTTCTTTTTCTTTTGAACCGACTGTTAAAAATATATAACCTTTGTGTTGTTTACACTTTAATAGTTCCAATGATGAGAGACCGACACCACCTGTTGCTGAGTGAATTAAAATAGTTTGGTCTGTTTGTAAATTACCAGTATGGTATAGACTATGTAAAGTTGAAGTATATACTGTTGGTATAGAGGCTGCTTGTATATGCGAAATATTAGATGGTTTGTAATAAACATAATTGTAGTCCAATACAATATGTGATCCATTGGCGTTTGGGGCATGTCCAAGTACTTCATCACCAACTTTTAATTTCTTTATATCGCTACCGCAACGAGTAATAACACCGCTAAAGTCATTTCCAATATTTGGCAATTGATATAATCCGTTTACTACTTCCTCTTTGCCATTTCTGACAACAACACTATTTGATACTAGGCCAATATACATTAGATAGTCTTTATAGTTGATACCTGTAGCTTTTATTTGAACTTCGATTTCATTTGGGTTTAATTCTTGTTTTTTAGTTCTTAAAAAATATTCTAAATTTTGATCAAGTTGTATCATTAAATTATCAATATTTGTTTCAAATGACTTTGATGTAAATGATTGTTTAATTTTTGTTTGTTTTTTGTATCTTTCATAATATACTGTGTTGTTTTTAATTGTGAATTCTCTTTGAATATTTGTTGTTGGATTTATTAATATATCGATAAGTGATAGAATATTTTCATTTTGAATTGAAATATCATCGAAATCTAATGAATATAAATCTAATTGTGGGAATTCTGCAAAATATCTTGTTGCTCCATTGATTGATGATGATAAATAGTTGTTTGTTGTTGAATTTAATAATATCAAAACATGCTTAAAAAAGATTTCAATTTCATGTTGAAGTAATATTTGATTAATTTGAATATATTCGAATGTTATTTCTTTAAAATTATTGACATTTAATGGATCTATTGCTTTCATAAAGAAAATTAATGTTTTACTTTGTTTAATAGAATCGATTGATTTAATAATCCAGTTGTTAAGTTCATTAAAGTCATCTATTTGTATTATTTTTGAATTTAACAGTTGATTTGATTTCAATGATTCGATGATTTGAGTGCCATGTCTACTAATTCCAAATAATATAATATTATCGTGTGATACTAATTGTTTCATTGATTCTGTATTTGATAATACCATTTCATTTATATTTGGTTTTCTTGTATGAATCAAAAAAAGTGCACTATCATTTCCAGATATTGTTGTATCTTTATAGTTGCATTTGTTTAGTAAATCGTACCAGGTTTCTATTCTCATGCAGCTTCTATCTTTTCTGATGTCAGCATCTTCTGGTGATGGCCACCATTGTGGGAATACTCCGAATATTGAGTCAAGGTATAATGATTTGTATGGTGCTTCAACTAAAACTATCTGGCCATTTGGTGTTAAAATACTATGGATTTCATTTAAGCTGAATCTAATTTGTTTTACGACATGTAATACATTTGACATTATAACCATATCGTAATAAGATGGTTTTAGTTCTTGATCATTTAATGGCTTGTCTAAATCTAGAGGACGATAGATTATATTGATACCTTTGATTTTTGAAAGTTTTTCTTTAATATCTGAAAAAAACGATGCTGAAATGTCGCTCCATGTGAATTCTATATCGATATTTGATGATGGATGATCAATTAATAGTTTATTGATTCTATTTAATACTATTAATGATAATGAGCCAACACCACCTCCAAATTCTAGGATTCTGAAAACAATTGGTTCATTAACAATTGGTTTGATTGACTCTGAAACGATATCACTTAATATATTGTTTATTGGTGTAAGAAAAATTGATTTGTGATAAAAGTGATCTAAAAACCCATCTTCAAATAATGATTGAGGAGTATCTAAGTTTGGATCGTCTTCTTCTACAGGGAATATTAGTTTTGCCATAACTGTGGTTGTTTTTTCTAAAAGCCTGATATGTTTATAGCTGCTATCAGTGAATTCATTTAATTGTTTATTGATACCTAAACTATTATATTTTTTTAAAATATCGAAAATAAAGATAAACAAATTTTCATTTACCCCATCATTATAGAAGAGTTGTTTGAATTGATTATAATCTATTGTTGATAATGTTTCTTTATTGATAGTTGGACGTCTTTGGTTAATCTTATAATAAAACAATGATAGTAAATGATCTATTTTTTGATAATATTCATCTATCTTCAATTCTTCTAATTTCCACAAGTATTTAAAAGATTGTGGTATATTAATGACAGAGTCTTTTGATTGTTGAATTGGTAGATATATATCATTGGATGGTGGGACAATTATCGAATTGTCAATTATTGGCGTAAGTGATGTGCAAACAATATTAGAAATTTCAATTAATAATGTTCCATCATTTAACATTACTTTAATGGATCCGGAGTATGAGTATAAATTGATCCTTGATTTGATTTCAGAATATACATAGATTTCAGAATGTTGATGATTGTTTGGTGATGGAATGTTTGATGAGTAGTATTTTAATCCTTCGACCCTATCTAATACAATTTGGCATTGATGTTTGATAAAAATTAGCATTCCATGTAAACATGCATCTAATATTGCAGTATTAAAGAATGATTTCATTGTATCGTTGTTTTGTAAATGATTAAATTCATTTTGATTTTGAATTTCATCTAATGATACAATTGATAGAGAACAGTTATCACCAATATAACATTCTTTGACACCTCTGAATAAACCTTTGTATGCTAATCCGGTTTTGATTTTGATTGAATCATAAAGCTCTGATTTTGATAGTTTGGTAAAGTTGCAACTATTTCTTTTTTCCTCAATATTAATTCGGTTTATTTCGTTACCATGTTTGAATAGACTAAAGTTACCAGTGGAACACAATACCCATTGATTGGTAGATGTATCTTTAAAGTGTGATTTGACATTGAATTCATTTTTTGAAAGTGTATTGATGGTTGTTTGTAAACATTGATTGACATCATCTTGTAAAATCAATGGTGTTTTAAATTCGATTGAACCGATTGTAATATCTTGGTTTGGATATATGTTGAATAAATTGATGATGTACCCACACCCTGGGAAGTAGTATTTACTATTTACTTGATGTCCTTTTAGCCATTGGAATGGTTGTTTTTTTGTATCTATAAATGTTTGATATGATTTGGATGGGGATTCATTTGTAACACCTAGATGTTGAATTGGTGGTCCATCTTTTTTGATCTTTTCATATGTTGAGTTTTGTTTGAAATACATTTTATCATCCCATTGATATAATGGAAGTTTGTTTAAGGTTTTGATTTGGTTTTGTTGTATTATCTGTGATTTGAAATTAATTTTATAAGAGTTGTCGACATAAAGTGTCGAAATTGTTTTTAAAAATTCATTGTAATCATTTTTCTTTTTGTGAAGTGGTGAATGAATAGTTATTTTTTCTCCATTATTGAAATATGGTGATTGTTTTGATTTCATTTCTTTTAAATAGAATGATAGTGTTGGATGTGGGGAAACTTCGATAAATGTTACTTCATTACCATAGTTGTTCTCTTCAATATATTTATATATGTTTGAAATGGTTTGGGTAAATTTTACTGGTTGTAAAGCATTTTCAAAAACATATTCTGAATTGAATGGTGTTGTTTCGTGGTTAAATAAGTTGGTTGTGACTGTTGAAAATATTGGTGTTGTTGATTGTTTTGATTTAATGTTCATTGAACATATTTCATCTTTAATAACTAATTGGCTAGATGTATGGAGTGATGATAATGTTCCTAACATAGCACAAAATATATCTTTTGATTTTAAATCAGTAACAATTTCATTTAGTAAATGTTCTTTACCAGATACTACAATGGATGATGGTGAGTTGTAGCAAGCAATGTTGATTGTTGGGTATTTTGATGAATAATTTGAAATATATTCCTCAGGACTTATATTTATAGATAACATTCTTCCAGTACCAGTTGTTTTATTTTGAGCAATCGATCTGTTGTATACTAAATAACACAATGTTTCAAAGTCAATCATACCAGAGCAATATGATGCTGAAATTTCACCAAGAGAATGGCCAACGATTAAATCTGGTTTGATACCCCAGTGTTTATATAGTTCAAATAATGATACTTGAATCATAATGTTTGATGGTTGCGCAATAGTATGATCGTGTAATGATTTTAAATCATCATCATCTAATGATCTAAGTTTTTGTAAAACAGAGTACCCATAGTGTTTGAATAGTTCACTGTCGAATTTTTGTACCCATTGTTTAAAAATTGTTTCATTTTCATATAGTTCTAATGCCATTTTATTATATTGTGATCCTTGACCGCAAAATACAAATACTGTATATGGATTGTTTTTATTAACTGAAATGTTTGAAAGTGTGTTTGTATTCAATGATTTGATTTCATTATTTGAATCTTTAAATTCTTCCCAATTACTTGCCATAATAACTGATCTTTGAACAAGTGATGTTGATTTATATTTGATTTGATTATTTACAAATTCATTAAAATCTAATGTGACTGATTGTTCTATAACCATTTGAATGTATTTGTCAAGAGATGTTGATGAGTTTGATGAGAATGGTATTAAATGTTTTTTGTTAATATTATTATTTTCATTTTGGATATCTTCATGGTAATCTGAAAGAATAATACAACAATTTGATCCTGTTATTTTAAAATAAAATATTAGTTTATTTTTTTACTTTTTTTAAAAATTATAAAATACTTACCAGTTATACCAAAGTTATTAGTAACCATAACAGTATTTTTATTTTGGTTAAATGGTGTTGGCTCAGTTACAACTTTTATATGCCATTCATCGAATTTGATATCTGGGTTTGGAGATTTAAAATTTATATTTTGAACAAATGATTTGTTTTTATACATGACACAACATTTAATTATTGACATTACACCCGATGATGCTTCACCATGACCGATATTTGATTTAATGGAGCCAATTAAAACTTGTTTGTTTGTATCTTTGAATGCTCTTGATATACCTTCAAGTTCTATTGGATCTCCAGTTGGTGTACCAGTACCGTGGCATTCAACATAATCTATATCAGATGCTTTGATTTGACCATTGGTAGATTCAATTGCAGATTTAATATTTTCATATTGTGATGATTTCGATGGTGAATAAAAGTTTGATTTATCATAGTTACCATCTACATTTGATCCTGAACCTTTGATAACACAATAAATGTTATTTCCATCTTTGATTGCTTGTTCTAACCTCTTCAATACCACAACACCGGCACACTCTGAACGTACATATCCATCAGCATCAGATGAAAATGTGTGGCACTTTCCAGTTGGACTTAACATTGATAAATGAGAAAATGATTTTGATGTATTTGGTTCTTATATAAAAAATAAATAAATAAATTATTAGTTTAATTAAATATTTCTTTAAAACATTTTAAGTCCAAAATACATACCAAGTATTAAATTACAACCACCTACAACAGATACATCAGATTTACCGTATATGATAGATTTGTAACCAAGATTAACTGAATTTAATGATGAACTACATGCAGTATCGATTGTCATTGAATCGCCACGGAAATCAAAGCAGTATGATATTCTATTTGATAATGAATGAAGAGATCCACCAAAAATGTTTTTTTGGATATCAAAAGGTGATTTGTTGGCAATATCGTAGTCTAGAGTTGATGCACCAATGAATGTACTTGTATTTGAACCTCTTAATGTGGATGGATCAATACCGCTATCTTCTAATGCTTCCCATGTACACTTTAACAGTAATCTTTGTTGTGGATCGATTGTGTTGACATGTTCTTCACTTGGATTGATGCCAAAGAAAATTGGATCAAAAGACTTCCATTCATCCAGTGGAATAAGACCAGCATACTTGCAAACGATATCACCGGTAATACTATAGTTGTCAGACCATCTTTCGGATGTTTCTACGATACCATCAAAACCATTTACCAAGCTTTCCCAAAGTTGGTTTGTATTTGAAATGGATTTTGTTAAACTGCCACTTGGTGCTCTAAAACCAACACCTATAACAGCAACATCACTATTTTGAACAACATATTTTGATGACATTTTTAATTAATAAACAATTTTATATAATTTTTTTAATTTTAACTAATACTAATTAAAAAAAAAATTAATAGGTTTTTAAAATTCCTAGTGTTTTTTGAATTTAATAATTATATTACATTTTTAATCTTCTCCTTTTGGGTTATAGATTAAAGCCAAACCTTTTATGAATTTAACTATTGGTGTTTACAATTGGTATTGACAATTAGTGTTAACTATTGAAAGATAAAAATATAGCTTACCCCTCCAAATTTTTTAAGTTGAGCTAAATTGTAATTTCTTGATCTCTTTTACAGTGCCCATAATAAAAAATAATTTATATTATTTTTTAATGAGTTAAATTATATTAATCATATTACAAAATATTGCTTCTAAAATTAACATTTTTATCATTTTCTACAAATTATCGTAAGTATTTTAATTTTTTAAAAAAAATATTATCTGTTTTTAAAATTTAAAAATAGATTTATAATATCAGTACGAACATAATAATTTTTTTTTTTTTAAAATGAATACCCAAAATAAAAATTTCAAAAAAAATAAAAAATATTGTGTGATTATTTTTTTTTTAAAAAATTTTTTTTTAATAAAACTTTTCAACAGTTTTTATTTATTTTTTTTTTAAATATTTTTTTTCTAAAAAATAAATTCCATAAACCCTTCAAAATGCCTCATTTATTATAACTTTTTTTTTTTAATTTTTTTTTTTTAACTAAATGCACAATTGGATGTTTTTAAAAAAAAACTGTTCAACGGTGTGTGATTGAAAAAATAATTTTTTTTTGCCAACAAGAGATTTTTAAAAACATCATCATAAAAAAACAAATTGAGGTTAAGAGATTAAAGTCGATTCTCAAATAATTATTATAAAGGGGTCTACACATATTATAGGCACTGTAAATCTGGGTATTTTAAAATATTTGTCTAATAAGAGCTTGGTGTCAAATTAAATTTATTATTTTTTTTATTTATAAATTTATTCAAATATTGATCTTTTATTCATTTTTAATTCTAGCTCAGATTTTTGTTTGAAAGTTTTAGCAAATGTTTCAGCTACTAAAATTGGGAAAACAATCGAAGCTTCTGCATAGATTTTAACTGGTTTAGCATTCATTGCAATTTTACCCCATGACACTGCTTCGGTGGTTCTAAATAAAAATTAATTAATTAGTATAATTAAAAAAAATAAAACAATAAAAAAATAATATTTACTTTGCCCCACTGTCAGAACCGTCAAATTCATTAGCTGTGTTTAAATAGACACAAAAATCACATCCATTACGTAGTAAATTTGCATTTAATATGTGATGTTTAATTACCCCACCACCTAATAAAATAACACCAGTTTTCTTTGCATCTATTGCATGGTTATCAATTCCACGTACATCTCTTATAATATCTAAAACGAGACCTGGGTTTTGATAGGAATGTAGATACAACATATCACCTATACTACCATCTGTAATTGCTGGGCTGTATACTGGGATGTTATTTTTCCATGCCCAATAGTAAATGGAATCTTCATTATTAATTTCTCTACCTAAACGATTAATTAGTCTAGATGGTGTCCAAAGGGTTCCTTTGGTCTTTTGCTCTTCAAGCATCTTATCGAATATTGGCATGATCCAGCTTTCAAATTGACAGTAGTTGTCATTGGGCATTACCAAGTTACCAATTCTATTCAAACCTTTTTTACGAAGATCATGGCCATCGAGTTCAAATTCTCCCATGTATGTTGGTGCAAAGCATTTGATAAAATCTTCTTCGATACCACCTGCAGTGGATACAATAACATCGACCATTGAATGTTGAACTAAATATTTAATAATATCTCTAATACCAGAGGAAGCCATGTTACTAGTATAACCCAAAAATATTTTACATCTAGCTTGACCTCTCAATCCATCATCTTCTTCACCTTCTGCCAATGGTTCATCACTTAAACGCCATTGAATCATTTTATTGATCTCATCAATTGCATTACCAACTGCTGATGCTTGAAACCCTGTATTTTTATATGACTCAAATAATTTACCATAATCCAAACCTTTGTTAAAATCATACCCCTTTACAATATCACTTTCTTTTAAATTACTTTTATCTGGTATTACTCCTAATAATATTTCTTTTGCATCATTTTTTGACTTGTCTTCATTAAATCCAGTAATATTATTTTCTATCATTTTTTTTTTAAATAATTTAATTATTAAAAATAAACTTTAAATAAAGCTTAAAAAAAAAAAAATTAGGAAAAATAAAAAAAATATTAATAAATATAAAAAAAAATAATAAAATAAATTACTTTAAAACTGTTTTATGAAAATAACACCTATAACATCATCTTTTATTATTTGAATATTTTTTAAAAAATAATGCAGATAAAGATGAAAAAAAAATAACAAATAATTAACACATAACCCACAAAAAAAGATTTTTCTATTTTTGAATATAAACTTTTTTTTTAACCCACACACCATTAATAACAACAGTATAATAAGAGGGTAAAAAATTAAAAAAAACAAATTAACAGATTGGAAAACAGATAAAAATTTAAATAGGGAAAAAAATTAAAATAACAATTTTATACAATTAATATTGCTATTATTTATTATTTATTATTTATTATTATTTATTTATTTATCATCATTTATTATTTCTTTATTATAAATTAAAATTTACTTTTAATTTCTTTTTAGAGATTTCTAATAAACTTTGTTTTAACTTGATTAAACTCTCTTGATCATTACCAAAACTATTGATGCTACTGTTATCGAATTTTAATTTTTTATTACTATTATTTACACTATTATCATCGTCCTCTTCTTCATCTTGTTCATTTTCTTGGGGGTCTTGATCTTGATTTTGATTTTGATTTTGGGCTTCTTCAGTTAATAAATTTTCTTCAATTTCTTCCTCATTCAATTTTCTCTTTGAATAAATTAGTCTCATTTGATTTAAAGCCAATTTATAATTTGATTCGAATTTTTCGTATGTTGCAGGTTTCCATTTCAAACAGTGAAGAGTTTGAGATCTTTCTGCTTTTTTCATCATTGAAATGTAATATCTAATCTCTTGCTTGTCAATAATTGTGTATGAGAAACCATGTTTGCCGGCACGAGCAGTTCTACCAACTCTATGCACATATAATGTTATATTTGGTGGTGAATTATAATTTATTACAACGTCAATATCTGAAATATCCATACCTCTAGACATAATATCTGAACAAATTAATCTATAAATAAATAGTAAAAAAGAAAAATTAATAACAATAACTTATAAATATAAAGTATATACTATAACTTACACATTAATTTCATTTGATTTAAATCTATTTAATAAGGATGATCTTTCAGTTGTTGATAATGCTGATGAATATTCTTCACAGGTAAACTTAATATTATCTACAGATCCGATTAATTTTAATAAAGAATTTAAACGATGTGTGATATCTACAGATTTAGTAAAACATATAATCTTCTTGTTTGAATCATTCTTGAGAGTTTCATATATTATATTTAATAAAACTAATGGTTTTTGGTCTGGATTTGTAATTATATAACTTTCTTTTAATGTTGATGGCATGGTGTATTTGATTTCTTTAGTTTTACTAGTTGTGAAAAATAATGGTGCATTTAATTGTAATAGTGAAATTTTTGATGGGTTGTATGTCATTGTAGCTGATAATAATAATTTTACCAATTTAAATTCGCTCCAACATAAATGATTCTCTTGATTATTGTTGTCCCTTATAATATTAATTGGTAATTCATTTATTTCGATATTACTAAAAAAAAAAAAAAAAGAAATATTAGAATAAAAAATTCTCTGTAATTTTCATATACATAAAAATAAATAACCTACCCTTTTTCATTATATTTTATAAAATTGTTGTTACTGTTACCGATATCATTATTTAAATTATTTGTTGAATCTATAACGATTTCCAACCAGTCCTGGAAAGACTGTCTTAATAATCTATCAGCTTCATCTATTACCAAATAATTTAAATACTTTAATGTAAAACCTTGAGTTTCATTAATATGATCTACTAATCTACCTGGAGTTGATACAATGATATCTACTAAACTTTCATATAAGGCATGTTCTCCATATGAATGATTTTTAACCAAGAGCTTTTGTTCCACATGAAATGGTTTGACACCTAATGATTGAACTATTAAATCTGTTCCTTTAATAATGGATTGAAATGTTTTTTCAACTTGAATAACTAAATCATGTGTTGGTACAATAACTACAACTCTAATTCTTCTAACTACTCTTTTTACAATTTTCTGTACTAATGGAATTGCATATGCCAATGTTTTACCCGAACCTGTTGGTGCACATACACAAATATCGTGACCCTCTGCTCTACTTATAAAAGGGACAATCTCCTGCTGAACTGGGAATAAACCTGTTACTGATATTTCATTTAAATTACCGACTAACCAATCTTCAATACCATATGATTCCAATGATTGATTACTGTTATTATTATTTTCCATTATTTATAAAAAAAAATATAAATAAATAAAAATAAAAAAATACAAAAAAAACTTTTTTTTCATAATTTTTTTTTTTTCGTTTTTATTTTTTTTTTTATTTTTTTTATTTTATTTTTTTTTTAAATTAATTATTTTATTTTTATTTTAAATTTAGTTAAAATATCCAATTTATTAAATGGATGAATTAAATAATATTGATAATATTAATAATAATAATAATGAAACAAATCAAAATAATGAAATAAATAATAAACAAAAATTTAAACTTAGTGAAAAAACAATATTAAAAAATGAAAAAAAAAAAAAGAAAATTAAAATTGATCATTCCATACCATTAAAGGAGAAACCAAACCAAGAAGATATAGAATCACATAACGATTGTTTGTTTTGGATTGTAAATAAAAAGAAACATAGGGCTGAATTTTGTAAATTTAAAAGAACTAAAGATTCAACTTTTTGTACCATACATAAAACCATTGATAACACAACAACAGATACAGCAACCCCAACTAAAAATGAGGGTAAAAAAGATACATCCATCAGAATAGTATGCCCATTAGATCCAACACAGTATGTATAAAATATTAAATAAAAATAATTTTAAAACTACACTCATAACTAATATTCTTAATATATCTTAGCACTATTTACAAACACAATTTAAAAAAACATTTAAAAGGTTGTTCAGGCACAAAACTAAATCAAAGAGAAGCTCATCTTTTAATTTCAAAACAACAAGATTTTTATAAGGAAAATGTAAATAATTTAAATGGAAATGAAAAATTAGACAGTAATTCCCTCGCACTATCACAAGTTACAAACGAAGAACTTGAATTAATTGCACATAAATTGGATCAATTTTTTGAAAAATACTATCCAAATGGTATTAAAGTTTCAAATAATATTCATAAAACTTTTAATAATTTATTTAATCAAGAGTATGTATTTTACATCAAATATCACATATATTTCAATTTCATATTAATATTTCTTTTAAAATTTATTTTATAGGCAAATTTTAAAACATATTCAACAAGAATCCTCAATTATTAGTTTACTAGAACTTAATAATTTATATAATGAAAACAATATATATTTAGAATTTGGTGCAGGTTCGGGCAAATTAAGTAATCATATATTTCAATCTCACGAAAAGAAATCAGGTCATATTTTAATTGATAGAATGAAATTCAGATCGTTACACAAGATTGATAGATATATTAAAAACGAAGCCACATGCCGTCATTTTGAACGTTTACTTGTAGATATTAGACATTTAGATTTATCAAAATTATCAGCTTTAGAGAAACATCCTTTTGTAATTACTTCAAAACATCTTTGTGGTTGTGCCACCGATTTCACTCTTGATTGTATTTCAAATTTATTAAAATCCAATAACTCGGAACTTTTTAAAAATAATTTTTCTGGTTTAGGTTTAGCAACATGTTGCCATCACCATTGCAGCTACGACACATATATCAGTAAGTAATAAAATTTTAAAAAAAAAAAAAAAAAAAAAAAGCATTTTATTAACTCATAATTATATAATATAGATCAACCATTTTTAAAAAATGAATTAAATTTAACAGCCAAAGAATTTCAACTTATATGTTCAATTAGTAGTTGGGCCACTATAGATGAAAATAAACTTGATGAAAAACAACAAAAACAAGAAAAAGATCAAGAACAAGAACAAGAAGAGTTGGATGAAGAGTTATTAAAAGAAAAAGAAAAAGAAAATCAATTGAAATTAGATTACAACAACAACCGAGTATTCAGCAATAAGAGAAAAGAGGAGTTGGGCTACAAAGCTAAAAGACTGATTGACTATGGTCGATATCTTTACATAAAAGAGAACTTTGGTTTACCAAACACCGACTTTTTTATTTATACCAACCAATCAAAAGAAAATTTCTTTTTAATTTCAAGTAATTTAAAAAGAAACTTACAATAAATTATAATACCTATTATTTAAAAAAAAGTATAGTTTTTTTGTTTTTCTTTTTTTTTTTTTAATAATATATAATAATGATAGAAATAATAGTAATCTTTGTGGAAACAATAATAAAAAAATAAATAAATAAATTTTTAATATTTTTATATATTTTATATATTTTATTTTTATTTTTATTTTATAAAGAATTAATATTATTATTTATATTATTAAATAATAATTTATTTTTTATATTATAAAATATTCCAATTAAACCAATTAAAGATAATAATTTAATTGAAGTTATATCAGAGAATAAAGTAGATAATATTGTGGATGGAATTAATATTAAAAGAGTTGTATCTGTAAATAACTGCTTTTGGGTAATAGTCTGTTTTAAAAGATTTTTGATTGTAAAAAATATTGATGGTACAGTAGCAAGGAATAATAACCAATTTTTAAATATCCACCACATTTTAATTATTGAGCTTGATAAACCAAATAATCTTGACCACTCTGATGGTTGGATGACGCCGTGTGAAAGTAACGATGTAAATGAGCTAAATAAGAGGAATAATGATACTGAGACAACCATTGGAAGATAACGATGTGATTCTGATAATACCTTGAACCAACCTCTTTCTGTAAATAGTAATAAAAGAATTGGTGATAAAATGAATACTGCCTTCTCTGAGAAATTCATACTATAACCAATATACACCGACACTAAATAAGATGTTATACAAGCTATATTACCGACTTGATAAATCCAATTATTTAATGTTGATAATGACTTCTTATCACCATAAGTTGAAGTTGATGGTTTATCTTTTTTGATTGGTGATTGGTAATTATACTGAGATTTACTGCCTTCACTTGCTCTAATATGGAATTTCATATAGATTGCTATTAATAAATTTAATCCCACATATAAACCCATTAATGATAATCTTGTAGTTTCTAAAATATTTTGATTTCTAGTTGTTGAATACTTCATACCCAATAAATAATAGTTCATACCAAAGATTACCAATCCTGTGCAGTAGAGGGTAAGCATATGTTTTGGAGATTTGTTTGTTGGCCATTGAGCAAGTGTGAAAAAGAATGATACCAAACTAAACAATAAAATAAATGTAAAGTTTAATAGTAAATCTACAAATTCATCACCAACTTCGCTTCTATTACTATTCTTATTATTGTTAATAATTTTTTTATAGTAATAATCTGAACGGCTGCTAACTTGTTGAAGCTTTAGGAAATAATTTAAACAAACATAAACCCCGATAACTAGACCAAATGAAAATGAGAATATTAACTTTAACTTTGTTGATTTTGAAATGGAAACTCTTAACCCAAACCCAATAACTATAATTATAATTGATAACAATAGTAACCAATTTGTCCATAATAAACCATTACTATTATTTATATTTGATTTACTATTAATGAAAAAATAACATTATAATTATTAGTAAAATGTGGGTAATAAAATATTAATAAAATTTAATAAGCTATAACTTACTTGAATGTTGATGTCGATTGTATAGTTGGATTAAATAATAATATTAACATTGATAATAATAGAATTAAGGTATTTATATTCTTTAAATTCTTTAATGGTGATGAAGATTTGAAGCAAATTGGGATAATGGCGACACCAAAAGTAAAAAGGAAGGATGACAACTGAACTACACTTGATACAGAATCCAAATTTATATTTAAAAATAAATTTAAAATTGGTAATGTAATTTGATTATTAAAAATGAATGAAACTATAGCAGAAAACCCAATTTGAGTATATAATGAAACCTTGAGTTTATTAGATGCCTGTTGCATTATATTTGCTGTTGATACTGGTGCTGAACCGCTTGATATCTTATTTAAATTCCATGTTGCTGAAGTTGCCATTGATTCTTTTGGTTGGTAATTTGAATAAAATAAAACTGTAAACATAAAGCATGCTAAAATATTTTCATTTAAAGGTGTAAATATTAAACCAATAACTTTAGATATCATCAATGAATTTGAAATCATTATAATACTATTACTAACTAAATTTTTTTCAAGTAACCTAATAATTTAAAATTAATAGAGTTAATAAATATGTTTAAATATTATAAATATATTTAAAATACTGACTTTGAATTTATATAAATTACCAATAATGATGATAAAATGATAAAATAAGTTGGATAAATTGCTGAATTTGTTGAATGTAGTGAAACCTCTAATAATGTTAATACTATTGATTGAAGTATTGATACCAATGGGAATATTGGTGATGAAATAGTTGATAACATTAATAATGAAAGGACAAATAATGAAAATATAAATGCACAAATCATTTGAATTGATAAATTTGAAACTGGATACGAATTTACAAAGTAATATTCAATAAAGAAATAATTTCTATTTAAAAACCAAATTAAAAATACTGAAGTCGAAGCAATAAATATTAAATAACTCTATGAAATTGAATGAAATAATTATTTGTTAGTATTATATAAAATAGTTAAATTTAATATAAGTATTATCTTACATTTGATTTCTTTTTAAATAAATAATTAATTATTGAATATGATGAAATAATTGCAAATGGATACATGTAAATTGGAGCTGACAATAAGATCGAAATGGCAACACTGAATAAACATGCTATTAAACTAATAATATGTTGATAGTATGCTGGAATACTACTTGTAGTGGCAGCAAAACTTGACTCCATACCCATAAAAATAAAATAAAAGATCGCTGAGAAAGAATAAAGAGCTACTGTGACAATTAGGAAACCGAATTTTGGTGAAAGGTGATTAACTATTGTATAAAATGTTGGTGAATTAAAAACTACCCTATATTCAACACATCCTACTAAAACTATCATTGATAAAACCTTAAATATCTTTCCAATTGAAAATATTGCTCCATAGGATGAATTTAAAATGGATTTGTTTTCTTTTTCTTTTTTTAATTGTTGTTGATAATTGTAATCATTATTAACTGGTGTGCTAGCTGAATATTTTTGAATATTTAATCTTTGGTTCCAATAATTTGGTACTTTAAAATAGAATTAATATCATATATATTTAAAAACTATACAAGTTATTTTAATACTTACATAACCACCAAAGTGAACCATATTTTGATAGTACAAATATGTAGACACTTGATAACGATGTTAATAACATCACATTAATAATATGTTCAATAAAAGACTTGAAAAATACATTATGATAAATTGCAAAATATAAACCTGATGGGAAAAACAATACTGTTAATGTCATTAGACATGAATCCAATCTATCCAATACAAAATCTGTGGGTTTTATAATAAAATTAGTATATTTGAGTTTTAATATTTATAAAAAGTAAAAGAATTATTTACCATGAGTCGAGTTAATTTGTTTGGTTGATCTGATTTTAAATGATTTTTGTGGTAAGCCAAATAAAAAGAATAAAATGAATAAATATCCAAGAAGATAGAATGGACTTGAATCGATACCATTGACAACAACTGTTGCCCATGTTAACAACACTGAAGTTGGATAAATAGTATTACCAAATAATAATCTTTCCAAAAGAGTGGATGCAAATGAAAATTTTTGTGTGAACCATGAAAACTGAATTGTAATCCAAACACCAATTAAACCCATAACTAACCCTACGTTCAATAACAATATTCCATTAATTATTGAATGCTGTACTAAAATCATACCTTCAAATAGTATACTTAAATATGATAAAAATAATCCAATCCATATTATACCAAATGATCTATATATAAAATAAAATAAAATAAAATGTTAATTTATATTTTTTACGAAACAATATTAAAAATGATAAACACTACTTACACTGATTGATATTTTAAATATTCGGAAATGTAAACTAAAAATATTGCAAATGTTGATATATAAATTGTACTATAAAAAATAAATTCTTAGTATAATTTTAAAGGATTTGAATATAATATGAAAATATGAAAATCTTACTTTTTACCACCAATATAAAAAAGTAACAATATAATTGGAACCAATGCAACTGATACTCTTAAATTATTTGAAAATTTAAACATTGAACTAAAGGATGATGTAATTTTTGACGATGATGATGATGATGATGATGATGATGATGAAGATTTTGATGAATATGAGGTATTGCTACCACCATATGTGGTATTGTTTCTTTCCTTCATTTTATTAAATTATCATTTATATCTCCAAACTTTAAATTAATTTATTTAAATTGTGATCATCAAAATTAAAAAAAAATTTTTAAAAATAAATTTAAAAAAAATAAAATAAAATAAAATTAATAAAAAAAAAAAAATTTAAAAAAAAAATTGAAAAAAATTGAATTTTTTATTTTATTTTTTTTCATTTTATTTATAAAACACCCATATATAAATATTTAACTATTTTATTATATTAATATATTATAAAATCCTAATATATATATAAAACACTTTTTTTTTTTTTTTTTTTTTTATTTTGTTTTTTAATAAAAATAAAGTTATTTTTTTATTTATTATTATTTTTTTTTAATATTACGTTTCACCACATTTCAATCAAACTAATATTTAATAATCCTAATATCTTTAATAAAATAAATAAATAACAAATAAATAAATAAATAAATAAATAATGGCAGCTCATGAAACGTTGGATTGGAGACTAACCTTACCTGCTGATGAAAGAAATGAAAAAAGGGGTAAAATGTAAGTATCAGGTATTCACTAGTTGTATAATCGATATAGTGCGTGTTGTTGATTAGAGGATATTAATAATGTTTTGTTATGATGTTTTTACTTTAGATTTAATTTTCTTTTAAAGTTATGCCCACAATACACCAAACAAGAATTGACAAATAAAGCAACAAGTATTGAAGAAACCATTTTTAATTCACCACAAATTACAACTCATATGCAGTATCTTGAAGCAATTGCGAAAAAAATATTTAAAATTCATACATCTTTTGATAATAAAACAGATCCAGCTGCTGCAACTCCACAACCCCAAACTCCAATCACACCAATTACACCAATGACCCCCATTGCAAATCAGCAACCTGCAACTCCACAACAACAACAATCAAAACAACAACCACAGCAGTCACAACAACAAACACAGCAGCCACAACAACAACCACAACAACACCAACCACCACA